GGGGTAGCTTTTGCCTGCGCTGGAAGCCCATAAGAAGCCATTGATGCACGTAACGGTTTGAAGCCTTTGAAGCGTTTAAGGCCTGGCTTGTAACGATTTGAAGCCTTTGAAGCGTTTAAGGCGTGGCAAACGGCAGGCTTGGACGCCCAGAAGAAGCCATTGATGTGGCCTTGGGATGAAAAAGCAATGGATCTGGCCTTGGGGTAGCTTTTGCCTGCGCTGGAAGCCCATGAGAAGCCATTGATGCACGTAACGGTTTGAAGCCTTTGAAGCGTTTAAGGCCTGGCTTGTAACGATTTGAAGCCTTTGAAGCGTTTAAGGCGTGGCAAACGGCAGGCTTGGACGCCCAGAAGAAGCCATTGATGTGGCCTTGGGATGCCTGTTGCTAAGAAAGACAAGTTCCACACCTGCGGTGGTCCCAGGCGCCGCCCCTGCCTTGGCGAAGGCCGGGGTCGGCGGATAACAACAATAGAAACAACAATAGAAACAACAACAACAAAACACCAGCAACACCACCAACAACACCACCAGCAACACCACCAACAGCAACACCACCAACAGCAACACCACCAACAGCAACACCACCAACAGCAACACCACCAACAGCAACACCACCAACAGCAACACCACCAACAGCAACACCACCAACAGCAACACCACCAACAGCAAAACCACCAACAGCAACACCACCAACAGCAACACCACCAACAGCAACACCACCAACAGCAACACCACCAACAGCAACACCACCAAAAGCAACACCACCAACAGCAACACCACCAACAGCAACACCACCAGCAGCAACAGCAACAGCAACAGCAACAGCAACAGCAACAACAACAACAACAACAACAACAACAACAACCACAACCAGAACCACAACCACAACCACAACCACAACAACATATATATATATATATATATATCTAAATATACATACACACATATATAATTAGTACATCCCTTATTAGAGACGTACCGACGTTGGATGATGTTGGATAATGTGTACTTCACTCTTCCAACGGGATGGCCAGTTACACATCCTTCAGCCATGGAGCCTCCGACATGCTAGGTAAAATCCTTGGCTGAAGACCTTCGCAGCCAAACTGCAATGGGGACAGACGGACGCAAGTTTGAATGCCATTTAATGGGCTCTTCTCATTCGTAGCTAAGAATTTCAGTTGCAGGTTCGGACTCTTAAGCTTAAGTCATCTTCCAATTATATCATAATTCCTGGTTGATTCCTCAAGGGACTTACCGGCTACCAAACAGTTTTTGATGTACCATGATGTATATTACCTTGGTACCCGCAAAGTGATGTTTTTTTTGGACCCCGCAGAGTTCCACGACATTCTGAGGCCCACGCATTTTGGAGCGTTGCCACGACATCGATGCCTCTGTGAGTGCTGCTGCGCTGCGCTGCGCCTGCGACTTGGCCAAGGCTGAGGTCCTCAAGGAGGCGGGGGTCAACAGCTGGTGGAAGATTTTCTATTGCAAACCTTATACTAAAATGTATATATGTATACACATGTATATATATATATACACACATACATGTATACTATATATATATACATATATATATATATATATGTTGGCGTGTAAAAGTTACTTAGCGCTACTTTCACTTAGGTAACATGTTTCACATTCATGTACCGCAGCCCTTTTTCAGAGCAGATCGAGCAGGGTAAAAGAGCCCAAATTTCCGCTGCATGGTAGCGGAGCGTCTGCCGAGGTGAATCCAGGTACTAGCTGCGTGGTGCTTCCCCGAGTGGTCGAGGCGCAGAGCTGTTTCAGCTCGCGCCCGGGCCAATTGGGCCCGTGTAGACACCTGAGGTGATGTCTGGACCTGGAAGCCCCACTGGAGGAGCGGCATCTGGTGGTGCATCGGCTGAACTGATCTTTGGACAGATCAACAGATGGCACTAGATGCTCAACAAAGGTATGAACTCCTGGAGCGAAGCTTGCAGGACCAGGCAAGAGTTCTGCGTGCAAGCACAGACGCACAGCTCAAGGCGCTGGAGGCCTTGTCGAAGAGGTCCAGCGTAGTAGACATCAAAGGGGTAGGAAAACCCGATGTCCTGAAGGGCACCCACAAGGAAGCCCGGAAAGCGTGGAAGAGTTGGGCGTACAAGTTTGAGAGCTGGTTTGCATCTCAATACCCAGGAGTTGGACAGGAAGCTTTGGATTGGGCAAAGGGCAAAGGAGACAACACAATCCAGGATTCGGATATCTAACTCAGAGAAAATACGGTTCCAGAAACTCGAACTCGGGACGGCCATCTGCACGTGGCTTTGGTGTCGCTGACGGGCGATATGCCCTACACCGTGGTGTTAAACTCAAGGAAGAAACGTGGCCTGGACGCATGGTGCAGGTTGAGCCACATGTACGAGCCCCACGACCCAAGGAGCAACATGAGGCTTCTTCGCAGGATCTTGGTGCAGCCAAGAGCCACCTTGGACGGTCTTAGAGCCGCCATTGACAAATGGGAAGCTGACCTGGTCGAGTACGTGCAGCGAGGCAACCGAGACTTGGATGACCCGCAGAAGGTTAACCATCCTCCTGAGCATGGTTCCTGAGTCCCTGGAAGACCACTTGGAGATGAACATTGGCCGCCTTGACACCTACGCGTCATCTCCTACACTGAGCAGAAAGCTGCGAAGGCTGACGCCGATAGTGGTGGTGCTGTTCCCATGGAGCTGGACGCATTCAAGGGGAACAACAAAGGCAAAGGAAAAGGCTCAAAAGGCAAAACCAAAGATGATAAGGGCAATCCCGACAAGGACGTGGTTTGCCACTTGTGCAACAAGAAAGGCCATCGCAAGGCCAATTGTTGGCACGCAAAGGCCAATGGAGGCTCTGGTCAACCACCAGGTCAGAAGGGCAGTTCCCAGCCCAACGCCAAGAGTGGCAAAGGAAAGGGGCAACAGAAAGGTAAAAGCCACGGGAAAGGCTCCAAAGGCAAGGCTGGAAGGCGAAGCTGAAGGGGATCAAGCTGCTGAACAGGAGTGGCCGGATGGTGACGAACCTGAACGAGAAGGCAACTTGGGACTCTTGTGCGTGGCCCGAGGGTCGAGTACTGGTTCAGTACCGTCCCAGGGTCGCACAGGGTCACCAATGGACAGGGAGACCGCTGCCAGGATCGTGCGCCCGGAGCACGGCAACCTCTCCTGGTTCTGGTCGAGGCCTTGGGACGACGTGTTCTCGGAGTGCAAGAGAGATCGAAGTAAAGCGGACTCGACCTACCGGTGCACGGTGCCTAACTGCAAGGGATACTCTCCAGCTCATGGCTTGGAAGCACACTTGTGGTCCAAGCTACAGACGATGGGTCACCCTGTGCAAGGGCAATGGGATGCCTCAAAGGTCGAGGCCAAATGAGGCCACTACATCAGGCCAGAGCTGCCTGGTGAGGAGGAGTTCCTCAGGAATCCCGTGCACTGTGGGAAGGACCCCGTTTGGGTGCACTTGCCAAGAGAACCAGACTACTCCAAGCACAAGGACAAGTACGAGCCCGAACAGGAAGGCGAAGAGGAGGAGATGCAAAGCGTCGAAGAGGAGGAAATACAAAGCGTGGAAAGCTCTGAGGAAGAGGAGTCAGCACAAGTAAGTGCTGAAGAAGGAGAGTCAGAGGTCGAGGTTGAAGTCGAGGAGACCAGTGGTGACGAGAGGAAGAGCGTTGTTTCAGCGCCTGTTCCACTCCACGATCCCGGTCACCAATTCCTCGCAGCAACCGAAGTGGAAGAATCATGAAGAATCACCAACATCTCCCGCGAAGGAGGAAGGCTCAGTTGGGAAGTACATTCCTCCACACCGTCGACGGCCAACTGGATCTGGTTCGCACAGTGTGGGTTGGAGCTTCGTCGTCGAAGCCCGCTCCTGAGCCATACAAGGTCAGCAACGCGTCGCGGGCAATTGTCCTTGGAGAACTCTTGTCCAAAAGGGTGGACGAGCTCGACAAGTTGAGGTCGCGCTTGGACGATCCAGGTGAGGATGAGTCGCGAGAGGATCTCCTGAATAGCATCGCTGTGCTTGAACTCGAGATCAATGGGCTGCAGGAAGAGCAAAAGTCCTTCAGGCGGAAGATGCGGCCCGGGTATTCTCCTCGGCAAGAGGCCGACAAGAAGGTCATGGGCAATCGTCTTGCCTACCTGAAGGAGAAGTCAAGAAAGCGAGCAGCGAAAAGACTTGAAGGCCAACGACCAAGGATAGAAGAGAGGCAGACCAACGAACTGGAATGGCACAGGCGGTTCGACCGACCTGGGGGCCAGTCGGAAAGTCCGTGTGTTTCCGTCGGCGACCGGCGCTCTAAAGGATGAAGTTCAAGCAGCGCCCCTGTCGAGAAAAGCCAAGAGCGCTCTACTGGAAGAAGAAGCGGCGTTCTTGGAGTTGCCGCCGGTGAGGCCGCGCACGACGAGCTTGCCGGCGACGGCAACCAAAAATTCACCAGCGAGAAGGAAAGCCAAACACAAAAGAGAGCAACGCAGAGAGCAGCGCCGAAAGGAAAAGCACAAGAAGAGGAAGGGCAAGGGTGAGCCAGAAGGAACTGGACACCCAGCATCCTTCTCAGGGAAGATGTGCAGTGCAACAAGCAGTCACCCGGAGTGGACCAGAGTTGATTTCGTGATCGATTCTGGAGCCAGTGCTACCACCATCCCTAAGGAGTTGGTGGGAAAGGTAACGCTGGGTGGACCCCGTGGCTACAGTAGCTTCAAGCTGGCAAATGGAGCGGTGGTGTTGAATGAGGGCACCCTATCTACCAAAGCATGGCTGATGGGCAATGAAACAATGGAAGTGCGAATGTCCGTGGCAGACATCTCACAGCGGCTGATGTCGGTTGGCCAAATGATCAGCAGTGGCAAAAAGGTTGTGCTGTCGCCCAAAGTCAGCTACCTGGAAACGAAGAGTGGTGGAATCCACAGGATCTTCCAAAAGAATGGGGTGTATGTCCTTCCGGTCTGGCTGGACAGCGCCAAGATGGCTTCTAGGCAACCAATCGGAAAGGTTGTCCACTTTGATGGGCAAGAAGAGGAGCAAGACGATCTTTTCCTTGACTGGATTTTCGGCGATCCCGAAGATGGAGTGCCATCAGATGAACATGGCATGGCAGAGGCTGAGGAAGGCAGAGCGGCCAAACCAATTAAGTCGCCAAGCTTACCTAGTCCCGAAGAAATTGAGGCACACGCGGTGAGTCACACCCTTCAGGCCGTGGTGCTCTCACTGTGTTAGAGGCAGGAAAGAGTTTCGCTCATCGTCGGATCGCAAGGTGTGACGACCCAGAAGAGATTCCGGTGATCAGCATAGATTACGGATTCTTTGGGGCACCAGGTGAGCTCCCATCCGATGCAGTTGGAGGAGCCAAGATGCCTGTTCTAGTGGTAAGAGATCGCAAGAGGAAGGCACTGTTCACGCACCTGGTACAAGGGGTGGAGCACTTCTATCCAGAGCAAGCGTTGTACAGGGATGTAAAGTTCCTGGGATACCCCAGTCTGGTCATCAAGAGTGATCAAGAACCTTCGTTCCAAGCTGTCGCAGACGCCGTGAAGAACGTGTTTGCATCATCAAACGTAAGGGTGCAACTAGAGAATTCTCCTAAGGGAGATCACCATGGGAAATCCAACGGGGAAGCTGAGGCGGCCGTTGAGATTACCCAAGGGTTGTGCAGAACCTACAAAGATGCCTGTGAAATAGGCATGGGAGAAGCCATCGACCCCAAGTCACCACTGTTGGCTTGGTTGATCGAACGCGCGGGCAGCATGTATACCCTGTATGCCCATGATGACACAATGAAGGATGGCCTTACACTTGTCCGCAGACTAAAGGGACGTGATTGGCAAGTGTCACTGCCCCCGTGGGGAGAAGCAGTAGACTACAGAGTGCGCACAAGACACAAGCTAGAAGCACGATGGTCCACTGGTATCTTTTGTGGCATCAGACTCAATACTCCGGAAAAGGTCGTTGCCACTGAGAACGGTATAGTGGTTGTGCAGTCAATCAGACGGAAGCCAAAAGAATTTCGTTGGGACCCTGACTTGTTCAAAAAGGTCAAGGGCACACCATGGGCGCCAGTCCCTGGTCGAGTGGCTCGGCCAGAGAGGCGCAGGAGCTGCCGGAAGTTAAGCAGTTTCAATTGAACCAGAACTGCTCGGCCAGAGAGGCGCAGGAGCTGCCGGAAGTTAAGCAGTTTCAATTGAACCAGAACTGCCAGACGAGCCAGCAAAGGAGGCTGTCTCGGCAGAAAGGAGTGAAGCGCCACGGCGCGTCTACATCAGTCAAGCGGATTTGGACAAGCACGGCTACACGGCATCATGTCCGGCGTGCGACTTGATCCGCGCCGGTGTTTCACGTGAAGGAGTCCACCAAACGGAATTTTGCCGAGCAAGGTTGGTTGGAAAGTTGGAAGAGACTGCAGAAGGTCGAAGGCGCTTGGACGCTGCCAAGCGTAAGGAAGGGCCTAGTAAGGTTCGAAAGGAAGAAATTGAGGCACACGCGGTGAGTCACACCCTTCAGGCCGTGGTGCTCTCACTGTGTTAGAGGCAGGAAAGAGTTTCGCTCATCGTCGGATCGCAAGGTGTGACGACCCAGAAGAGATTCCGGTGATCAGCATAGATTACGGATTCTTTGGGGCACCAGGTGAGCTCCCATCCGATGCAGTTGGAGGAGCCAAGATGCCTGTTCTAGTGGTAAGAGATCGCAAGAGGAAGGCACTGTTCACGCACCTGGTACAAGGGGTGGAGCACTTCTATCCAGAGCAAGCGTTGTACAGGGATGTAAAGTTCCTGGGATACCCCAGTCTGGTCATCAAGAGTGATCAAGAACCTTCGTTCCAAGCTGTCGCAGACGCCGTGAAGAACGTGTTTGCATCATCAAACGTAAGGGTGCAACTAGAGAATTCTCCTAAGGGAGATCACCATGGGAAATCCAACGGGGAAGCTGAGGCGGCCGTTGAGATTACCCAAGGGTTGTGCAGAACCTACAAAGATGCCTGTGAAATAGGCATGGGAGAAGCCATCGACCCCAAGTCACCACTGTTGGCTTGGTTGATCGAACACGCGGGCAGCATGTATACCCTGTATGCCCATGATGACACAATGAAGGATGGCCTTACACTTGTCCGCAGACTAAAGGGACGTGATTGGCAAGTGTCACTGCCCCCGTGGGGAGAAGCAGTAGACTACAGAGTGCGCACAAGACACAAGCTAGAAGCACGATGGTCCACTGGTATCTTTTGTGGCATCAGACTCAATACTCCGGAAAAGGTCGTTGCCACTGAGAACGGTATAGTGGTTGTGCGGTCAATCAGACGGAAGCCAAAAGAATTTCGTTGGGACCCTGACTTGTTCAAAAAGGTCAAGGGCACACCATGGGCGCCAGTCCCTGGTCGAGCGGCTCGGCCAGAGAGGCGCAGGAGCTGCCGGAAGTTAAGCAGTTTCAATTGAACCAGAACTGCCAGACGAGCCAGCAAAGGAGGCTGTCTCGGCAGAAAGGAGTGAAGCGCCACGGCGCGTCTACATCAGTCAAGCGGATTTGAACAAGCACGGCTACACGGCATCATGTCCGGCGTGCGACTTGATCCGCGCCGGTGTTTCACGTGAAGGAGTCCACCAAACGGAATTTTGCCGAGCAAGGTTGGTTGGAAAGTTGGAAGAGACTGCAGAAGGTCGAAGGCGCTTGGACGCTGCCAAGCGTAAGGAAGGGCCTAGTAAGGTTCGAAAAGTTGAAAAGCTTGACGAGCGATCTGAGGATCGGAGTACCGTGTCGGTACCAGGTCCTGGGTCCGGATCAAGATCGGCAGAGAAAAGAGACGCTGAAGAACCCAGCAGTCAGGAGGCGGGTCCTCCCAAGAAAGCCCACACTGACACTTCAAAAAGGGCCAGAGTTGAGTCGAAGGGTGAGAGTGTCGCTTCGACACCTGGCCCCAGATCAACCAGAGGTCAGAGTGCTGCTTCAGCACCTGGCCCCGGTCCAAGTGTCCCAGAATCACAGGGCATGGAAGTTTCCGAGGAGTCCACGTCTTCTCGGAAGAGGTCGTTAGAGACAGAGGACGAGATGGTGACAAACTTCCTACTTAGCCTGCGAGTAGGATTTCTGAGCTCTATCGCCGGAGGGATCCGTACCCGGTGTGTGAAGAGAAACTGCAAATATCTCGGGTAAGCAACTCAGCTCGTTCGCGAGTCCCGCTTGGAGGAGCTATCCACCATCAAGGCAATAAAAGTATGGGAAATAATCCCTCGTCCAAAGCATGAAAGGACCGTCACGACCAGATGGGTCGACACCAACAAGAAGGACGGGCGTAATCCAAAGTATCGCAGCAGACTGGTGGCGCGAGAACTCAAGAAGACGTTCCGTAGCGGACTGTCTTCGGATCTGCACACACCGTCATGGCATTAGCGACGACCCGGCGCGTGCCGGGGTTGGACGGCAGGATGCAGGAGTTACCCCGCAATCAGTGCTTATAGTTTTCCTGGACATCAAGAAGGCGCACTTCTGGGCAGACGCACGGAGGCGCATCTTGGTGGAACTGCCGGCCGAAACTGGTGTTGATACGCAGAAGTTCGTAGGACTTCTGAAGAAGTCGCTGTATGGAACCCGGGACGCCCCTGCCAATTGGGAGGCGACCATCCTTCGTGTCATGAATCTCTTAGGTCTTAGGATTCGTGCAAGGACGTTCCAACAGCTGCCTTTATTACCACCCAGTTCGAGGCATCAGAGTGGAGGTCCACGGCGACGACTTCACTGGACTTGGAGCCAAGGATCAGCTGGAGTGGTTTTCCACAGAAGTTGGCAAGCACTGGACGGTGGAAAAGCGTGGTTATTTGGGTCCACCGGGAATGCCTGGGACCAAGCAGAGCATCGACATCCTGAACTGACATGGACTGAGCGAGGCATCGAGCTGGAAGCGGACCCTCGCCATGCTGAACTCATCATCCGCGAAATGGGATGCCAAGGAGCCAAAGTGACCACGGCTCTGGTCAAGGAACGGTTGGAAGAAGTGGAGAGTTCGGAACCTCTTGAACCTTGAGAGGTGCCAAGGTATCGTTCAGTGAGCATGAGGCTTGCCTACCTGGCGCGGGACCGGCCCGATTTGCAGGTCTTGGCCAAGGAGTTGGCGAAAGGGTTGAAAAGTCCTACCGTGGCTCATTGGACAATGCTTAAGCGTGGTGCTCGGTATTTGAAGAACAAACCGAGACTCATCCACTTGTTTCCATCCCAACAGACTGCGTCCCGATTGGACGTTTGGTGTGATGCAGATCATGCTGGATGTTTGAGAACGCGCAAAAGTACGACTGGCTACTGCATCAGAATCGGAGGATCTACAACCAAGACAAGTTGCAAGAGCCAAGCTGTCATAGCATTGAGCAGTGGAGAAGCGGAATGCTTTTCCCTCACATCTGCTGCCTGCAATGCTCTCGGTGAACAGTCTGTCCTTCGAGACCGGGGACTATGGTTCCCAATCCACTGTTGGATGGATTCCAACACCGGGTTGTCAATCGGATCGAGACATGGCCTTGGAAAGGCCAAACACATCGATATAGTTTTCCTTTGGGTACAAGACGCAGTTCTCAGCAAACGCATATCCCTGGGCAAACAGCCCACCTTGGACATGCTTGCAGACCTGCTCACCAAACCCTTGGAACAAGCCAGGGTACGTATGTTACTCGAGCGCATGAACTACTTCTTCACAGCTGGGCGACACAGCCTTGCGCTCGATGTCTAGATCTAGGGCGAAGCATGAGAACCTACACCCAACTCGGGTAACAGACCTGGGTCACGTCACCCTCGGGAGGCGTGTTGGCGTGTAAAGGTTACTTAGCGCTAGTTTCACTTAGGTAACATGTTTCACATTCATGTACCGCAGCCCTTGTGGTTGGCTCAGCTGCTCAGCTGGGTTGATTGGAGCAGTGAGCCAAGTTTCGAAGAGAGAATTATGTTTGCTGCCGTGTGCTTTGCCGTGGTTGGCTCAGCTGCGCAGCTGGGTTGATTGGAGCAGTGAGCCAAGTTTCGAAGAGCAGATCGAGCAGGGTAAAAGAACCCAAATTTCCGCTGCAATATATATATATATGTATATTATGTTCATATCGTTATCATCAAGTACGTGCGCCCCAAAGGGAGTGGTTTATCTCTAGTACTTCATGAACAAATTAGTCCACAGCGGGTTTTCCACTTGATCGCGATGTGAGAACTTTACCATCCACACCATCCACCTTTGCAATTGCCAATTCACCCAGTTCACTGGAAAGTTTTGTTTGTCCTGGGATCAGGAGGACTACGACCGCATCACCGACCTTGTTTGGGACCCAGAGGCACTGCGCCGTGACGCAGCCTGCGTCTTTGTGAGCCGCTTTATTCTGCAGGAGGACGGGCAGTGGTATTTGAGATTTGAGACAATAAAAGAAAGTCTTCTGAATCCCTGACTTGGTCTGCCAAACAACTAATTTTATATAATAGGTTTTAATGCAGAAAATGCTGATCACTGCTGGATTTTGGGCGGATCTAATTTTCAGACAAACCCGTACACACCTGTTCGTTCCCATATTTACACCAACTAGATGGTTTCTTGTAGTGTTTCTGCCAGCCCTCTTTCAGAATTTGTCTGAAACTTGGCTGCTTGTTTTGCTTGAAAAAAAATTGATTTCGAGATGCCAGCATTTGATTCCTGGTTGCAGGATATCTTTGACCAGCCAAACGGAACAGCTGACGGCTCAGCTGCCAAAAGGCCAGTGGGGACAATCATGTGCAACTTGAAGGGTGATCAGTACCAGTCGGAAGCTTCCTGAGTTTTCTGAGCTGGACTTTGCATTGCCCAAAAAACATGTTACAAATCTTCATACGATTCCCAGTACTCAGCAATCGCACAGGCATTTGCAGATGCTGCTGGATTTCCTCGTCGAATTTGTCAAGCCCCACTTCGAGTTGACTGAGCGGCTCGTTGCCGCACTCTGGCGCAAGGCCAGCGGATGGAGAGTGAGTGAATGCACTATAAAGTCCGAAACTCTGACAGGCAGACTTTTTTGAAACCAAGATGTTGCAACCAGCAATGCAGGAATACAATGTATATATATATATATAATGCAGAAAATCGAAAATCTGAAGCCAACAAAGGGGGAATGAGAACACTGGGTAGTCAGAAAAAAACTACATCTGTATATCTATGAACATCTTACACAGACAACGTACATCCATGCATTGATTTTTGTGAACACAATCTTCATACTTTGGACATCTGGTTATCGCAGGGCGGGACCTCTTTTGTTTGGCTTTCCTGATCTTGACAGCGAGGCATCGTGCTTGGAGGATTGGGATGCCATGACCAGCCTTTTGCTTGGTGATGGGGAACTTGCTGCGGATCAACATTTGGCCATAGCCTTCCTGGCAGAGGTGCCACCAGATTGCTGGGAACATCTGGGAACTGTGAGGGTATGAAGGGCTGACATATTTAAGGCATGTCTGTTGCTTCGACTATGCCCGCGTTGCAACCCTCTTTCCAAATATGTTTGAAAGATGATGGAACCAATTTTGAAGAGGCACACTTAACAAACCAAGACCTCTCTCAGTCTCTCAGTGTTTCCAACCACGACTTGCTTCTTTCCGGCAGGCAACTGTTCGCGTGGCCTTTGATGACTGGTTGGCCAACAACACTATGGAAGCTGAGGTTTGCTCCTGAAATGTTTGCAAACTAACTCAACACAGAGACCCTCACTGTGGGTTCCACGGTGGCAGGGGATGCCGGTTTCGAGTTGGCTCGCGCTTTGTTGGACTTCAGTCGCAAAAACCTCGGAGAGACCCTTAAAAATGTCGATACTTGACTCATGTCTACACAGTTCTCCAGTGGAGAGAAAGTATACTGTATACTGATACATACCGATACCATGTGTAGTCTGACACCTCTGATGCTTTGCAACTGTCCCAGCACGAGAGCACTCTCAGAGATTCAGGCACTGCTGCAGCGCGCGGCTCGTGCCTTGTGCCCTCGATTGCCTACCCTGCTGAGCACCTTCCAGTCTGAGAAGGCCACTGAGATGTTTTGATCCTTTTTGGTATCTCTGTTTGATGCCGAAAGTCAGGAATCGTTGCGAGATGTCAAGAGAGGCAAAAGGTTCTCAAAACAAACAAGTGCAGCGAAGAACAGTAGCCATCAAGCATAGTACCAGACAATCTGAATACACCATGATAGTAGGAAGCCAGTATGATTCTTTGTGATGACTGTTGGGGCTTTTACCTTGCGGAAACTGCAGGCAGCTATGTTGCGTACTGCATCCTTGTGCAACTACTTGTTGAGATTCTGCGCTCAAAGTGCCTTAGCTAGTATATAGCTCTGAAGTTTTGGGTCATGACCACAGTGGCTTGGAGCTTTTCGAGAGTATCATATCATAGGCTGAGGCAGTCTTTATTGGAGATGTGTGAGTCATTGTAAGATAGGCCCCAGCAGGGCATACAGAGACTTCCCAATCCTTTCTCTGCCATGGAGCCTGCTCAATGTAGAAACCATTATTTGCTGGACAGGTGGAAGAATCAAGGCTTTCAGCATTTGCTGACATCTCATTGGAAGCCCTGGAAGCCTTGTAGTTTTGAGGTCCTCCAGGCCCAACTGGTGGATTGCTGGCCGGAAGCGCGGGAGAGCCAGTGGCGCGAGCCTTGCGCAGCCTATTCCTGCGACAGACAGATTTGGAGGCGCTCTGTCTCGGCTTGTGATGTGTGTTGAAAAAAACATTGTTGGGTGATTGTTGGGTGCACCTTTCGAAGTGATGTCGTTCCAGCTTTATCCAGTTTTAGTTGGTCAGGCCCTGGAACACTTGGCCTTGGCTTGGGCTCATCTACTTGAGCTCTGCAGCGGAGCCAGGTGGGCTGTGCCAGTTGCAACTGGAAGTAGTGGGAGAAGATCACTGCAGTGTCGAAAACATCCTGTTTCAGTTGCTACTGTAGTCCCCCAGTGATAGCTTGCGGGCCAGCTCTTTGATGGCAGAGCTCCAGGCCCGTGTTGCACGATTTGGTGAAATCTCTCTACGACACGTTCCTGCAGCTGGCACCGTTGGTCGGGAAACCTTCTCAAGGACTCTTGGGATGCATGGTGCTTGCAGCCTCAGCCACTGCAGTGACGATTAGGTCAGTTTAGGTGTTGGGGTGACGTTTTTTTTACCGATCGCATAGTGTAATCTTGAGCAAGGTCACTCACTATTTTTTGCAAGAACGACAAAGAGTATAAAACCCATGGCATTTCTGGCTGGTCGTAGCCTATGGGTGCTGGCAAACGTTCGTAATCAGTATGGAACAGAATCCCTTGGACAATTCAAGAATGAGGCGGTATGATTTGACAAAGCATGAGACATTTGACTCTCCAAGTCATAGATTTACCAATAGAACCATCATGATTCAGCGCCAGGAGAGATCGAGGCAGAGGTGCAGCTGTTGGGCAGGGAACTTTTCTGTGGCGCCCCAAAACATGCACTGCGATTTGTTATAGTTGTGTCTAGTCACATCTAGTCTCCAATGTGAAACTCCATTTATTTGGCAGGGTTCATTCTGTACACACAAAATCTACCAGATGTGGCCCTCAACTGGCGATGCAACTGGGCTCCTCATCTATCCTCATCTTATCTTAGATTTCTACTTTGATACCGAGTCCAACATTCCCTGCGGGCGAACAATATTCAGAGTAAGGTCAAGCAAGAGAAACAATGCATCAATGCAACATGAAAGCTGAACGTGGGTATGCTGTGAACCCATGAGCCCCTCTACCTTTAACAGAAGCTTCCTGATTGGATCTTATCATATCTTATCATACTTGGCACATCGCTCAGAACGGATCCACCTTTGCGAGGTACCCATGCCAGACACCTTACTGGCCACAGCTCAGCGACTTCGCATCCTTGCGAAGGCTTATGATGTTTCTTTGTGTGATGTGGAAGGCGCGGGGACCGAAAAAGCATCAGATGTTATTTGCCAAGCATCCCTGCGACTCAGTGTTCGAGAAAGTAATGGCTGCCTCAACTTATCCGTCCTGCAACACCCTGGGAGGCTTTGTGTCAACCGCTTTGAGCGTGGTTGATGAGCGTGTCCAAACAGGGACAGTGGAACCAGAGCTGACAGCGCCTTGGCCAAAGCCTAAAAGTGAACACACCCGCACATGCCTCTAAATTCATGCAATTCAAGAGGTGTTGCAGTGTTGCTGGACATGATTTTTTTTCCCGTTTTTCGAGATTCTATGTTTGAAGAACCTGTTGCTGACTCCCTTGGAAGACTTCCATAACTTCTGTACCTCCAAGTCAATTTGACATGAATCAATCTGAATCAATCTGAATCAATCTCCAGAAGATTATCTCCAGAAGATTTTGGGCAGATTGGGAGCTCCTTGAGGTCACTCTGCTGGAACTCCTGGCCCTGATCTCTGTGCGCCACGCCGGCCAGCTGATGCAGCCACCCTTGCCAGCAGTGGCAGCAGATGTTCGGGACGAGCGTCAGCTGCAGCAACTCGGCGTTCCAAAACCTTGGGGCCTTGGATCTACATGGATCTACCCAATCTATCCACTACAACTGTGGATCACGAAACTGGGAAGTGCTCTTTTCAAAAATCATTTAGAAGGACAGGAGGACGGGTGGATTGATCTATTTCGAAAAACTGGGGGGGACAACTGGCAACCACTTCTGTGACATTCGCTCAGATTCTGAGTCTGTGTGACTATTGTGACTACATGCACGCTTACGATTTCTTTTTTAGGACAGGAGTGCTGAAATGTATGGCTGAGGCAGGCGAGCACAGCAGCCGAAGATCTATTGGAACTTGCCACTTGGCGGGGAAGTTGAACCTTGAGCTGGACCTCGTTGTTGATCTCTTGCACTTTTTGCACTTTTTACAAGGGAAGGTTGGTGTTGAGAACCTGATGGTTTTCAAGATTCAGCTCTTAGCCACGCGTTTCATCTGTTGGATGTTTCTCCACAAGTTGATCATTCTTCAATTTTCCAAAACAGACATGATCTGTATCAAAACAGACATGCTCTGTATCTGTGGTGTGGTTGAAACCTTTTCTTTTTTGTGGGTTTGACATGAATGCGGACTTTGAATACCAGCACATGTTCCACATCTAAAGCTGGTGAGGAGTTCACGCTGAGGCAACAGGCTTCCTGACCAAAGATGAGGACCATCGACTGAAGAGCGCTGCCTTTGGGGTTGCCCTGTGCACCTTGAGCGCCTGGTGGAACGCCGCCCACTTTGGAAAGACCGAAGAGGTGCCGGGGTTCGGGCTGGGCTTCGATGGTGGTCCAGGCTCTTTGAAGTGCGATGTGGGCACCGAGGTGAAGCCTTGGTTCTGCCAGCTGCCAGATGCTCTTCAGGATGCTTTGGCCAACCACTTGGGGAAGTTGTTAGCGGAGGTGCGCAATCAGTGGCGGAAGTGGGTGCAGATCAATAATAGCCTCTCTCTTCTGAACTTTCCTGTATATCAGAAAAAATGTTGAAGCTTGTACTGCCAAGATGGGTCATGGACTATCATGGACTTGAGAATGGCGTTGTTCTACTATGAAGTACAAAGTCTCCCGAGTGGCGTCTAGTTGCAAGACAGGCCGGAGGTGAACTGTCAAATTTAAGATTTTTGATCCGCATACATTACGGTAGCTGTATCAAACCATCCCGAGTCTGCAACTGTGGCCAAGCCATGCCAAGCTCGCATCCCAAACTTTTGCACTGTCCAGGCCAATCAGGTGCCTACCGAAAGTGTTCTGGTGTCTGGGATGCCAGAGCCTGGGGACCTCCTCAAGAGCTCTGCATTTTCCCATCTATTTGTTCTGTTGCAGAAGGCCTGCAAACTTTTGACTCAGTGATGATGCTTCAAGGACTTGGTGTACCTGAGTTCTGCCTGCTTTTGCACTAGTTCCACTTCCAACACACGTGTTGCATTCCTTCCTTTTCAAGCTTGCCTGGGCAGGGCGTGGCATCGACAGAGTCTGTTCCTTCCGACGCCGAACGCATTAAGACGGCACGGCTTTGCTGTTTGATGGTGGCTACCTGTCGACATGCGCAGGCCAGGTCTGCTCTTGGCCGTACTGTGTTTCCATTGCTTCTTTTGGCCCTGACCCTCACCAAAACATTGAAGGGAGTGCATGCGAATCTCATGCCTTGTGAGGTCGCAGCCGGAAGCCTACCTTCTGTGGTCCTCTCCCAAGCACGCTCTCGCCGCGAGGATCTGCAGCAGGCCCATCAAACATGTTTTGAATTGTCAGCTGACAAAATCTGCTGGGATTTGGCAAATTTGGCAAGGTGGCTTGGACCCTTTTGCGTCGGCTGCGCAAAGAAGCCCATGTGGGTCCCACACAAGCCGAGGTGTCAGCTGGGAAGGGTTGGAATTGAACTTTGTATGCTCTTAGGAGATTGCCTCCAAGCCATCACAGAGAATTTGTAGTGGCGGCCTCCTTCCGTGCTGCTGTTTGATAGATTTTGGAAGCGGTACGTCAGTTTAACTCTGTGGTGTGGGAGCCTTGGGTCTTGCAGTCTTGCAGGACTTTTTCACAACGTTGCTTGCAGCTGTGAAGTTCTTGCACAAGGATAGTGATATGAATGTGAGACTCCTTTGGTCAGGGGGTGCTGACTTCACATCCTTTGGACAAGTCTCAATCAGAAGCCAGAACGCCTCGTAAGAAAGATTCTTTCAATGCTTTCCTGTCATTTGACGTAACTTGACCATTTTGATAGGTGCGCTGCAGCAGGCAGCGGTCGGAAGAAACGTGCTTCTACCAAAGGTTGAGGCAACATTGTTTCAATTATACATAAAAGTATAATGTTATATATACATACATCCATCCATGCATGCATACATTACATTACATTACATTACATTCCATTCCATTCCATTCCATTCCATTCCATTCCATTCCATTCCATTACATTACATTACATTACATTACATACATTACATTACATTACATTACATTACATTACATTACCATACATTACCATACATTACCATACATACATACATACATACATACATACATACATACATACATACATACATACATACATACATACATACATACATACATACATACATACATACATACATACATACATACATACATACATACATACATACATACATACATACATACATACATACATACATACATACATACATACATACATACATACATACATACATACATACATACATACATACATACATACATACATACATACATACATACATATACATACATACATACATACATACATACATACATACATACATACATACATACATACATACATACATACATACATACATACATACATACATACATACATACATACATACATACATACATACATACTATATATATATATGCAGATATACATGTGTACTGTATCCATTGTATTATACAGTATGGGTGTATATAATTGTGTATGCACTCCCTTTTTGTCCTGATCCGTGATTGATTGCTTACTGCATTTACTGCTATTGCAGGACCAAGGCACTGCCATTGCCAAAGATCTTTCCTTCAGGCTGCTGCAACACGTGGGTGTGGGAAAGTGTCTTGGATGAATTGTCTCCTGGATGTGATCTCTAACTATCCACCTACCTGGCCCATGGGAGTTGGTGACCACTGAGGCTGACCCCTCCGTTGCAAAAAGCGCTCCTCAACACCCTGCGCCGTGGGGTGGTGAACGCTGCTGCTGGAAGCGCCGCTGGCTTCTTGGAGGAGCGGACGGGCCCAAGATTCCAAGATTTCAGTGTCCTGCAGGGAGCAACTTTTTCATAGCATCTCCAAAATCTGGAATTGTCAAGAAATCAGCATTTTTTGGTCCATTTGAGTAATTTAGGCTCAACAACCAAAGCTTGGGATGTTCCCTACGTGTTCATATCAACCTTTTCCACATTGTGGTCCAGGCCTTGACTCCGTGGATCACGAAGCATGTCACTTGGTAGCAGCGCAAGGCTTTGGCCGCTTTGGCCGCTTTGGCCGCTTTGGCCGCTGGTCATCTGGATGCATCAAGCCGAATCAAGCCAGTATCTCAACCTTCCCGATGCCTAGGTGGTAGAAGACATTCTGATCGACAACCTGGCATCATGGGCAAAGGAGCAGTCCAATCAGGCCGGAACTTGGGTTTGCGACCATGCATTGAATTTCTTGCCCTCTTCAATCAAAAAATTCTTGGAGACATTTGATTACAACTCAGACTTGACTTTATGATTTGTTGGGATAGGATAGTCAGACATTTTGTGGGCGACCGCTCTGTTTGTGGCTAAAAGGAGCAGAGATACTCCCAGACTGTAGATTTGCGATCTTAACCTTCAATCTGATTGTGTGAAAACCCAAAAAAAACTCTCACATCCGCTTCTCTATTCAGATGCAAGAGTCCGTTGACACAGTTGGCACACTATTCTTTTGCAGTTGAAGAGCATTGGTCTGCTGTTCATTCATAGATTTATAGGGTCTTTGGTGCGACAGGCACTGCAGGAGGCTGGGTTGGAGAAACTCTTGGAGGCGTGCGAGAATACTGTGAAGAAACTTGATCCTGAAGCTCGGCTAAGCATGGCATTGTCGGATTTTACATGGTTTTGCAGTATTTAACGTATTTAATTTGATGAAGCCTTGTTTCCTTTTCTTCCTTTGATCAGAGGGTGTCTGCTGGGGTCACATGCACATGATTGCTTTCTCCACATACCCAGCAGAACAAATAGTTGCAGTGAAGGAAAGCATTGCTTCAAAAGACTTGTGGACCCGACTAGCTACACCAAGGAATCGCCAGAGAAGCCAAGCAACTGGAAGCAATTGTGGGCATTGGGAATTCTTTGGAGAACCTCTAGGCCTAGAAACTTCTTTGTGTGATTGTGAATCAAACTCATAGCTTCTCAATTTCCGGAACCTGAAAGTTGGAAAGCACTTCAGACATCAATGGTCAGGATCAATAGGTAGCTGCGCACGGCCATAGTTCCCGCACGCCCACATCCAGCCATCGCTTGTGGATATCCCAAGCAGCAGGGTAATTAACGTGAAGTGTGTCGCAGCCCAGGCAAGCGTCGCCGGATCACAAAAGGTGGAAACAGTGGCTGAACTGCACTTTGCTCTTCAAAGCATAAAGTGGATGTCAAAAACACATTTCACATAAAGGCAGTGTTTGCCGGTTGGCCAATTCCATTTCTATCTCAAGTGAGCGCGTCGCTTGCGGTGTCTGGCCGATTCGCCATGGATTGACATGGTCAGATCAGGAAAGACGCCGACTTCCACACAAGAGATCAAAGATGCCATGGAGCTGCCGTAAGATCTTGGAGGCATGGCTTTGTAGGTTAAGGAGTCAAGCACTTCAGTAGCACCAAACTTTCATGTTCTATGAATTGTACATGTGTGGTCCCAAGATGGCTTTCCATGTGTGGGTGAGTGGCAGTCTCTTGAAGCGAATTGCCCAGAGGTCACTGCGATGCAGCCCATGAAGGGTCTCAACTTGGTGAATGCATGGAATTTGGTACGCATTCCCACATTTGAGACAAGCTGAAACCACGAGGAAAATCCAGAAAACTCTGGATTCTCTGGATGCCGGAATCAGTTAGCGATGTGGCAATGACAAGTTCATACTTGTACCTGAAGATTCAGAAAAACGTCCTTGATGAATCGTTTAGGCACTAACATACCGTTCAGATAGGCGTCCATATATGATCGTATGTCATCCAGAGACGCGGCCTCGAGAGTACTGCCAAGAGTCTGGTAGCAATCTCATGCTACCAAAAGGAAGATGGAGTTGAGAACTCTTTAGCAAAGATGCACATGATTGTTCTCGCTCTTTAGCATCTGCCAATGGCCGCCTCCAAGAGTGCAAGGTAGCATGTGATCTGCTGCTGGTCCTACATAATCACGCAAAATATGCCCAAGGATCACAGAGGGAGGAGAGAGTGCATCCAAGCTGCAGTGACATGACTTCCCCAATGCCCTGGTTTCAGGATGTTTTAGGATGTTTCAGGGTTGCATGTTCTCAAAGAAATCCTCTTGGAGTCCACCAAAAATGGTATCACAGTATCACATTGCTGCAGCTATCCTTGGGCATCTTAAGCGCTCCTCTGGTCGGCGCTTGGGCGCCTTCTCACATTGTAAAGAGCTGCAGGGTGCGCCACACTCACTTCACTAGGGACCTGCAATCCAACTCTGTCAAATTTATCCAATTTTCCCAGGAGTCATTCCAGCATGGATCTTTGAGAACTTTGAAAGCAGCTTTGACAGATTCTCTCCTTTTCAACCCTCGCTCTTTCATGGTTTTTGTGAAACTTAGGGCCTTTGGGGGAGTGCCTCAAAATTCCATTAGGACAGGAACACCTTTGCTTGTTGATCCCCTGCAGCCAGTGCAATGTGGAATTAGCTGAAAAGCAGCACCATTGCACCATTGCAGTACAAAAAGGATCGTTTTGACGGCAGACCTGGTTTTGGAACGCGTCCCCATAAGGCAGAAAGAACTCCAGTCAAGAATCTTCCTTGATGATCAGTTGGCATACTACAAATGTATTGGTCACTAACAGAGAAGGGTGATATTAATATACGTGATATCGTTCGGGTGTGTGTGTGATCTTAGGAATGCTGGTATTGGTATGGACAGACTTGAATTATGGGCTGGCCTTTGAAGTCAGAATCAATGGATTGATTTATGGGAACATCGTTACAGGAAAGTCTATATTTGGCGGTAAAAGAGCAGTGTTTCCTGTAAATTGTCCCAGAAACCAAATTGGTCACAAAAAGGTACTCCAGGGCGAGAGGTACTGACAGCCCTCCAAGGCATTGCATGGCCAGGCTATTGCAGAAGGTGCTCAAGGTGCAAGTAGCTGGATGGTTTCTGGTCGTCAACGGTGTGAAGTTCTTAGTAGTTGGAAGTTGGTCAGGTTGGAATATCAATCTTTAGGTGTTGCTGTTGCTATTTGTTCATCCAGAGTTCATCCAGGACCTGCTGAAGCCTTCTCTGGGCATGTCCTATACCAGGCCGTGGTGTCACGCGCTGGAAACGAACTTCCTCCGATCTTCCAGGCCGTGCGTGGCAGTTTCTGTGCTCTGCTGATGGTGTTGCAGTCGTCTTGGAGGAGAGAAGAGAGTACTACGATAGCCATGAACACCATGTAAAGAGGGTGTTTGAAAAAAACAGTGAAAAACATGCCCTTGGTGATCTTCTTCACATCATGTGGCAATGTGTGAATTGTGTTGTTGCAGTCGCATAGAAAAAAGAATGATTTATTAATTACCCTCCACCGGTGTGCCCAAATAGGATGGGTGGGCTGGAGCCCCTTAAAAATGAAAAATCTGACTAAATTCGGATGTATTCTGAATATATCATGGGTCAGATCACATAATTTTATTTTTTGGGGTATGTTTTTTTGAGGGGCTTAACCCATGAACATAGCTGACAGAGATAGTATGATAGCAGAGATGAACAGCTGTGAACATTCTGTTTTTTTTTGAGGATTTAAACATATTTAAACATCATGAAACAACAGTTGCTATCGAATTTATACATCCTTTTTTTGGGGCAAGTAAGTCTTGTGAAAGGCACAGCGCCTTGGAAGATTTCCAGCAAGATATGTGCGTTTCTCCATGGGATGTCCGTCAAATTGTGTCGATGTTGGAGATTGGGGCCTGGCGGCCTGCCATTTTTTGGGAGCGAAACACACCTTGGGATAACAAGATTGACAAGGGAAAAACATGGGGCCCAACCTCCAAGATTTGCCATCTGGAGGGGCCTGACACCATTTTCTTTTAGTGTGTGTAGCTTGTGTTTTCTCATCTTACCTTATGCCCGATCATTTTGTTTCTATTTTTTCTTAGGCCCCTTTATTTTATTTTTTTAGGGGCCCCATCCCTCCCTGGTCCCTCTAGCACCACACAAGGGTATTTATTGATCTACGAAGCTTTCTGCGGCATTGTTGAGGTTGCTGCAAAGTCCAACCGAGCAGATGAGGCCGACACGCGGCAAAGGGTGCGTAGACGGTGTTTTTCTGCGTCCCAACGAAGTGGATATATGTATAGTATAGTATATATAGTGTTTATTGTTATTTATACATGGTATTGTAGGAGAATCCAGGGTGAATTCTTCAATTTTCTTGATGCTGCCATTTGTCATGATAAACACACACACACACATGGTGCAGCTCTGGGTGACTCTTTGTTGATTGTTCAGGCTGTGCATTTCCGAGATGCCTTTCAATGCTTCCTTGACAACTACTTTGTAAATGAGGCGCAATCTTTTTCCGAAACAAAAGAAAAGGACATAGATTCTACGACATAATCCTACATATTATATTGGGTTGTGGGAGGACAGCGCGATTGAAAGCAACCATACAACAGCGAGAGTCTTCGCAATACCAGCAATGAAAAGCATTCAGCCAATGTATGACAGAAATGACACATCAGAAAGTCAAGGTAGCCAGAGAAGAAAACCATGCATGAGTGAACAGCGTGCCTGCGACAGTTTTGGGTTTGTGAGTTCCAGAGCCACTTTCGTGTGGACGTCTTCTTTCACTTGCAAGGTGCTGATTGAACGCCTTGAAACCCTGGCTTCAATGCAAGGTTTCAATTCATCCAAAAATGCTCTGCGGTGTTGGAACTTTTTAATCATGAGCACCGAAAATGATAGACATTAGATCATTGTATTTTTAAAGTTTAAAAGGATGCTTTGGAACTTCTTCAAGCATGTTACATGTCCTGATGGGCCAGGATGCGGCAGGGGCTGCAGCAGAAAAGCCAGCTGGAAGCACTCCTCGGCGTTTTGCACTGAGATGCCAACGTTGCAATCGCAAGCTGGATCCAAACAGATCACTTCAATTTCAATCCCAAAAATGATTCCTAGGTCCAGCTTCAGGAGATCGTGCAAGGAACTTAGTGTGGTGTTGGTGAGCAAATGCGACAGCAGGAGGCTGTGACAGCCTCGCCTTTCTGGCCATTTCTGCGGGAGGTCAACCGACAGCATAGCGGCCTTGGGTGGTGGCGTGCCACAGTGCTCGGGCGGTGGGTCTGGTTGTGCGTTCTTGTTGGTTCCTGATATTGCAGTGTGGTTACAGTTAAGGGAAGCATGTGTGGAAGGCAGGGGCAGCGCATGATTTGCAGACACAGAAAGACGTTGCCGCCTGGTTGGCAGGTACGGCACTCGCAGGAGTTGGCTGACAACTCTGCGCGGCTTTGTGGGCGCCTGGCAGGCCTGGCCAAGTGAAGCCAACCCCCAAAGTTACCCTATGCCAAGCTACTGTTGGTTATCAATTCAACTCTTGCACTGCATGAAATTGAAGATGTAAATGCCAAAAAGGAAGGACAGATGCAGGTGCGATGAGATCCTAGCGTCCAAAATGCCTCTTCGATCATGTCCTGGAGTGTTGGTGCGTTCCAGATCCCGCTAGGTATCTTGACGGATGCTGCCGGTCTCAGAGCTGCATTGCGTGGGGACCTGGACACTTTAAAATATTGCCAAGTCCCCCGAGTTGTAGCAGAATGACACTGCATTCACTACATGCTTCGGCAATGACTTTCTTCACCGCAAGTGCAAATTAATCCTGCTGGCAAGAAGAATTGGGTTGTTTCCATCTAGGCACACTGAGCGTGCAGCTGTTTGATCCAATCTAATATGCTTCATGTCAACCCCATGTGTGTTTGATTGCATTCGCAAACACCTGAGAGAAGAGTCATCAAGCTGTGAGAGTTTGCAGGATCTTTGCCGTTTTGATAATGATTAAAATCATTAGACTGTCGAGCAAAGGAGCTCTCATAATTGCGGTTTTCTTAAGGCTCCACACCATTTCATTAATTTTTGGTCTTGCTGATGGGAGTGTGCAGTGGCATCGAAGCCAGTCAACAGCACTGGCACTAAACAGCCATCTGTCGACTTTTCCACCAGTTCGTCGTCCATCCACTGCTTCAATGCGGCATGTTGCCAAGGCCCCAGCTTCAATGCACAGATGCCGGCCTCATGCACGATGTGCAAGGCTTCATGGGGCGGATGGTCATGCGCACTGGGTGAGTTGTCCCCAGCACTTGCAATCGAATAACATACAAAATATGTACATATTCACAGTCAATTCAGGTAGGTCATATTTGTCAGTATTTTCCCGGTCTGCACACTCTCGCAGAGCACAATATCATTTTGCACAATCTTGATTTGTGTTGGGGGTTTGAAGAATATGCCATCTTGCTTCTCTAAGGCGAGGGCCTGACAAAGAGAACATGAATCTCCGCACACGTATAGGCAGTATAGGTTTAAACACTTTGTGGCTCTGATGAAATTGTTCAGGCTTTCTATGAGCGTGCACCAAGGAAGCATCCTGCATCAACATTAGAATCATTAGACGCAAGGGTCCTCACCACAATCCCACACTCAATCAGGCTTTCTGGAGCTTTACAGTGGAGCTCGATCAGGGCTTAGCTCTGCCTCGCTCTCAGGCTGTGGGTGCCAAGTGTTCTAACCTGGCACCGCTGCTCCCCGCACGCGCTTCTCCAAGACTTATGATTTCCTACGGAAATGTCTCAATCATCAAGAATCCTTACCAATCGGTCTTGTCAGTCCAGCAAATTTCAACAGCAACATCAAAGACCAAAACTCCCTGTCGCTGGTAGCCGCTGGCAGCCAACCATAGAGTCTATGCCCCAATATTCTGCATAATGTGGACCTCATCAAGTATTGCTGGCAGATCTGGTCCAACATAGGCATGTTGCGCGAGCTACACAACGTTGCCTGTTTTACTACCATTCCTACAAGTATGTATGTACAGATAAATGATGATAAATGCATTCATGCATGCGTGCATGTACGCATGCATGCATACCTACACACCTCCTGCCTACGTACTCGCAAAGAGACAGTCACTCAGATAGGCATACATAGACACATACTCACATATAGACATTCATGTAGATGTATGTATTTTACATATATAGATATATTATGTATTTACACACACACACATAATCACACATATATATACACACATACACACATACATACATACATTCATTCATTCATGCATGCATGCATGCATCCATCCATCCATCCATCCATCCATACATCCATCCATCCATACATACATACATACATACCTACATACATACATACATACAAACATACATACACACACACACATACATACATACATACATACAGACATACAGACATACAGACATACAGACATACAGACATACAGACATACATACACACATACATACACACATACATACACACATACATACATACATGCATGCATGCATGCATGCATGCATGCATGCATACATACATACATACATAAGATCTGAACCTAACTACCTTATGAGCTAAGTTATGTTTGAAAAGTGCCCCCTAATACTCAGACCTCGCCAGCAGTGGTTAACAACAACATATGCAGATGCCTGTTGACACTCAATCAACCAAACCTATTTGACATAGACAACACTGCGCACAGACAGCTTCTCAAGGACTTGCTCTCCAGAGAGTGTGAGTCTTCTCCAAATTCAGCACCAAAACAACCGTCACCAAAAACCGTCACCGAAAATGCATAGGGCTTTCTTCCTCTGCTGCCAACGTGTTGCAGCATATTTGGATGCATTTTTTCAGTTTATTCTCTTCGCTTTTGTTTTAAACAAACTCCAATCATGTCTCCACTACTCCATGCTAAGACAATGCGCTGCAAGGTTTTAGATATAGATTTTGCCTCCTGGCACAGTTCTTGCACTTTTGCTGGATTCTGCGCTCACCCTGGCAGGCCTGTGCTTTGGAAAAAACGATGTGTACAAGAAAAACGGAAATGCGGAGGGATCAGACTTGGAAAGCGGTCCCTGTCTGCTTTGCCGTTCCCAGGCAGAACTCTTGGATTTGAAGCGGTGCCACGAGGCAGCAGCGCAGCTGTCCGAGGCTGTGACCGTGGAGTTCTGTCGCTTTTTCTATACTCAGCGGGTAAACAAAATGGAGATGGTTTACACAGTCACACAAAGTCACACAACTATATGCATATTCTGTATATGATTATATATGATTGTATATGATTGTATATGCTGTACAACCGATAACACATATATACATACAGTAACACACATATTTGCACTCAGGTGATTCTTGCCGACAGATCTGAAGTACTTCACATCTCTTATGCTCCATTCATTTCCCGGTCTGGCTGGGTTTCAACACGCAGCATGACAGGTGCAGGAGCGACTCAGGCAATTGACCGCGAGATGTGAGAAAGTTGGATCCCTGGTGGCTGTTTCGGCTTAGTCCATGGACAGAACCAGTGGTATTTGTACGCCCTGCCATGCTTTGTGCCAAAAAGAATTCAGTTCTTTCCAAATTTCAGCTATTTTTCCATTTTTTCCATCAAACTCGCTCAATTCTGTGGGACTCTTGTATCAACGACATATGAAGATCTCAGACTGAAATAGACGCCCTGGCACATTCCACTGCTGAGCCCCTGCAGTGCCTTTGCTAAAATGTCAAGCGCAAGGCAGGTGTTGACATGTGCTTGGATCCTGACTGCACGGAAGCCCAGGTTCCCAGATCTTTGTTGAAACTGTGAGGTGATGCCCGTGATGCCCCTGATTCCATCAACCCACAGCCACAATCTCAAGGGATTTCAAGGATTTAGTGCCATCATTATGTCCTCAAAAAGCAATGCAGTGCAGGCAGTGACGCCCTGCCGTCCACAGCAGAGGTGCCAGAAAGCCGATCAAAGCCTTCGGTTGAGACTGGAAGAGAATTGCGGAAGTGTTCACCTGTGTTCACCTCTATCATCAAAGACCTTCAAAGACCTTGGGGACAGTGGATATCAAGTGCATTCCATGTGCTTCTTCAATCTGATATTCCAAGCATTCCAAGCATCACGGCATGTGCCTTCTCAGGTGCTCACGTTGGAGCCTTCTGTTCCAGGGCCAGTGAATGTACCTGCTATGCAGGACAGAGTGGGAGGTGTTCAGTCAGGTCAAGATAGTATACCGAACCGAAGAAGGCATGATATGGCCATGGCATAAGATAAATTTCAATTTCCGAAACACAATGTAACGCATCGCTCCAGGATATGTCGCGTCGCATCGAACTGTGCTGCAGTACAGTGTATCTCGTTGTCCTACCCAAACTAGAGTGCATCGCCTACGAACAGATATACTTTGATAGGTTGGACAAAACCGGAACCGCTCGACCCTGTTGGTCACTAGCGATGTCACAGGAGAGCATCCACTCTCTGCAAGAGGCACTGGTGCTGGGGAGACCGCAGATCTGTCACAGAGAGAGAGAGAGAGACATCTGCCGTATTTCTCAGTGTTCTCAGTGTCTCGAAGGACCCAAGTCAGAGTCTGTGCAAGGTTTGGTAGAACAATTTCTATATAGCTATATATATATATATAGCTTGGTTTGCAGTGTCATACGTGTTGACTTTGGTCTGGTTGCAGGATTTGGATGAGATGGGCAGCCAGTTGGAGAACTTCTCTCAGCTCATCGAAAAGGCTTCAGAATGCTCAACATTGGCGCTCTTTGGCATGATTGTTCGCTATCACATGTGATTGGCAACATGATCAATGGCAATGATGGCAATGGCCATTTATGTCAAGGGTATTGCAGTTGCCGCTGTTTCTTGTCAACAGACAAATCTTTAGAAGTATTGAGGACGGAGCTAGTGTTCTTTTAACCACCTATTTATGGTGATTTGGGGGATGGTTTATGGCATTGATTTTACCAACAATAATCAACAATTACTGTAAATGTAATATAAATTGTTGGTAAATATTACAAGTATATGACATTTATCAATAAATCAATATAGTCAACAATAACCAACAATAATCAATATATGAGTCATAAATCTTCTGCGTTATGTTGTGGGAAGAGTTGGGAGCTGCTGTGGAGATCGATGGAACATGATGGAACTTTGGCAGGCCAATTTTGCTCCCCCATCGAGATCCCAGGCGGCCTGGGCAAGCTCATTTCATGCAGGTTTTTAGTGGTTTTTACATGTTTTTACATGTTTTTACTGATATTTTGCTGATATTTTGCTGATGAGACATTTCAGTCATGCATTTTTATGTCCTGTTTCGGGGTAACAATCGACTAAGTAGCCTGAATTTCTAGTGGTTTTCTCAAAAGATGCTTCCAATTTTGGTCTGAGTTTGTCTCCAGAGGTCGCCATCCCTGAAATGGGACATCAAGTTCACTGGCGCTCTTTTTGTTGCTCACATAAGGCATGCTTCAGGATGTCCATCAGCTTAGGCTCAGGTGTTATGCTTTTGGGTCACTCGCGCTCTCGCGCTCTATTTGAAGCCATTTAGCTTTGGAAGTAGATGTCCCTTGTCGCCATGATGCGGCTTCTTTGCCTCGCCATTTTTGCCATCAGTGAAGCCTCTTTACTTCAAGTGGATGGAAGTGGAACAACGCAGCTTGGCCCTGGGCACAGACAATTTGCATCTCCGTTGTGCGTACATACATATAGGCACATATTACGTACAATTCTCACCATGCTGTTGCTTCAACAGCAAACTACCCATGCAACATCAAGAACTTGGCGGGCAAAAAGTTGCCATGGGTCCAAGTGGGCAAAATCGAAATGATCAGGTATCGTATTGCGTGAAACTGCGCACAAAGCTAACCATGAAAAGCGCATGAAAGCCTATGGATTCCCCACAAAAATGATCTGCAAACACTCGACTTGCCTCTATTTTGGCAAATCCGTCTTGGTTTACTGGAGGGATGCCTCTGGAGTTTAATGACACCGAATCCGTGCCGATAGTGCATATACATGTGACATCTTTTCTTTCTGTTTGCCCATGACTTACTGAAAAAAGCTTTACCGTGCGTGCCAGAATGGCAGAAGCAACGATTTTATTGGGAGCTGGATGATCTTGGAACAAGGCTTGGAATAAGGATGAAAACGAAGTGTTTGATGCTGGGAGTCCAGCTGTCAGGAATCCATCGAAGTATTTCTGGAAGATCATGGAGACAATGGAGGCTACCCCGAGGGTGTTTTAAAAGCAAGGAACACGTCGAAGTACAGACTCTTCATGTGTCTTTTTCCTGAGAGAATATTCATGGTCTCAAGATTCCTTGACTGTCTCCCTCTCTCTCTCTTTATATACATATACATATACATATATATATATATTATATGTATAGGCCGATACAAGTCAGATATAGAGCCAGATTTGTTTGGTGTGAAGGATTGCTTTCAGGACTTTGAAAGGACGCCACGTGTGAGTTCCGCCTGGACATGAGCCACAGCCTGTGTTCTGACAGGCGCGGCTGTTGAAGGACGTGCGCTTGACCTATCGCGCAGTGGGCAGCAGCACGGGTCAGAGGGAATTTACGCAGCAAACGTCCGGTGACTTCACTGCTGGGCTGACCGACTTTGCTGCTGGCGATATCCCAATGGACCCAAGTGCCTTGGTAGTTGGACCTGGTGGCATGCATAGTTCAACTCAGCATCTCCGTGTCTAACTTCTTCCTTGCAGCTCACAGATGTTGAGAGAGATTCTTCTTCCAAACCTCTTCCAACCAGCTTGGAACCGTTACCTGCCATTTTGGATGCGCATCTTCAAGCAAGACTCGCCCTAGAGACAGGATGCTGCTCCAAATACTGTTCGCGAGGTCGCTATTCAAGCCTCACTACTGCTGGGCGATCCATGGTGCACGTGCCCTTCTGCTTGGGAGCCATCGGAGTGTTTCACTCCGTGCCAGCCGGTGAGGCACCGCAAGAGCATTCGCAAGTGACACTGTGTTCGGTTCCTTGCAGGAACGGCGGACTCTTCCAGATCCTTCCAAATTCCTTCCGAATTCCTTCCAGATTGATCCAGATCCTCCATTTTTAATCAATTTTTTGTTTCTGGTAGATCTTCAAAAAAGGGAAGGACCCATGATGCCGCGGCAGTGCCTTGACTTGGCAGGTTGGAGATGCCAAGGGCTTGAAGCTTTCTCCGTGTGTCTTGGCAAAGATCATGAAGGGCGAGATCACGACTTGGGACCACCAGGACATCAAGGCGGAAAACCCGAATCTCAATGTTCCTGCCGGCACAACAATCAAGGCCCGGTTGGGAGATGGAGATGCACTTTGGATCTATTTATAGATTTTGTATGATTTTGTAGTTTGTGTGCATGAAGCTTTCTACACAAAACCTTTGCATACTCTTGCCAACTTCTCTTGTCTCCACCTGTCACAATACATCACTTGGCAAAAACGGAGTCAAACCAAGTTGCTGCCAAGAGAGGCAATTAACCAGACTTGTGGCAAGATGACAGACGACTGACGACCATCAAGACACGTTTTCTTCCTCCAGTTGACTTGTAAACCCTTTGTTGGGGCAGAGACAGGTGGGTCATCGAACCGAAGGATCCAGCAGCACTACTGGCTTCACAGGAGCAAGCTCTTGAGTACAATGCAACATGTTTGACGCCCTGGGTCAGTTTGAAGACCCTTTAAACTTCTTCCGCTTTGCATCTTTGGACCCCTCTTTGAGACTCTTGAAGGCTCTTGAGCATCTTTAAGCTCTTTCACCCTCTTCGTCGACCTTGTTTGAGCCCTCTTTGAGCTTCCCCGAGGTTGTCGGCCCCTTTTTGACCCTCTTTCATCGTTTCTCACCCTCTTTGACCCTCTTTTGATGGTTTCTGGCCCTTTTTGAGCGTCTGACCCCTCCTTGACCCGTTTCTGACCCTCTTTGACCCTCTTTGACCCTCTTGCGGAGTCGACCCTCCTTGACCATTTTTTTGAAATTCTTTGGTGCAGGATACCTGAACTCCAAATGCCCAGCTGATTGGAGCCTGGGCTCTGGTAGCACCGTGAGCTGGCCCACCAGCTCGGGATTCACACCGGTTCCGGGGCTGAGTTCGGCCAAGCACTGCATGTCGCCATGTCAAACTCGTGGGCGGTGTGTAATTGGATGTCATTGGCAGCTTATCAGCTCTGACTGCTCCCAAATCTAAGGTTCAAGGTTCCGGTGGAATGGCGTCCTTCATTGCTGGTACTCCTTATGCCATTGGTGCCTTGCTCAGATTGTGCGGGGTTGGCCATTCTAGACATGCCCCCAAAAGTCATCTCAAAGTTTCCATGCCGGGTTTGCACGTGTGCTTCAAGATGAACAAGTTGGTGCGGGTCGCAAACTCTTAACGTCTGTGGTGAAACTTGAAGGCATCAGCGTACATCAGCTAAGTGCTGCACGCCCAACACCAAATCTGCCTCCGACAGGCTACTTGGATGCTGGCCACGGTCATCAGCAGGATTTCCAGGAAGTGAACCTGAAGAACGAGGCAGATACGTGGCTCAATTCCAAGGATGCCTTGATGGCCACTGACGCCAACGGCAACAACGGTGTCGCTGCAGCAGGCGGGCTCCCGGTGGATCTTGTCTTTGTCATTAGGAGGCCTGCGCTGTTGGAGGGAAGAGGTATATATATCTTCCGTCCAGGTGTACGGGATTTCTTTGCAGCTTTTTGCGCCATACATTTTCAGATCCTTTGCTTGCGCGCTTCTATTGCTTGCTTCTCATATTCTCTCTTTCTTCTCTTAGTCTTGCTTTTCTTCGTTTTTGCTTCACCCGCTTTTTTCTCTATTTTTTTAAAAGCAAACACATCTTACCACGGTTTCTGTAGAGGCAAAGCCGCAGCGGAGGCCGCTCCCTTCCCAGCTGCAACTGATGACTGGAGCAGCGTGAACCTCTACGGCAAAGCCGGGACCAACACCTGGCCGATTGCATCTTGGTCAATTGGAAGTTGGCCAAAGGGTGACGTCCCTGCAAAATGTTTTCCAGTGATTGGGTCAAAGTCCAAGACCAGAAGTGTTTGTGTGCGCGATTGTGCGTAATCGTGCGGGATTGTGTGTTCTCTTTGTGACAGCTGATGTATTGAACCATCTGAATCTAGATGAGACCTTGACGGTATCGATCTTGGCAAAGATCAGGTGCTGGTCTCCTATTTGTACCTGCACAAGGACTCTTTGGGGCATCAGATTTGGCAAGCGGATTTGCGTTGATGAGGGAGTTCAGTTTTTTCTTTTGGTGAGCAACATGAATGAAGATGAAGGAACTATGAAGCACTTCGGTCTTGCTTCTCGACTTGTAGCAGGAAAACAAAAAGAGTCCCGGGCTTGAGACAATTGTAACATGTCTGTTTTTCCCCGAACAGTGTGTCCACACAGAAGGGTTCTTACGGTAGGAGTAAAGGCTGGTGCTTGATCAGGGTGCTCCAGCTGGGCCGCGGCATTTTTCCTGTAAGTTTCCGTATAACGTGGCTCTTGTGAAATGTTGAAGTGCATTTCAACTGCGCCGGCTCGCACAAAGTGTGTGTCCGCGTTCTGGGCTCATTCTGGGGCGCGGCATTTTTTCAGTAAATTTCCGTATAAAGTGGCTCTTGTGAAACGTTGAAGTGCATTTCGACTGCGCCGGCTCGTGCAAAACGTGCGGCGCGGTCTTGGGATCGGTCCTCCTCCTCCACATCAGCATCCTCAGTATCATCATCTTCCTCCTCCTCAACATCATCATTCTCAACATCATCCTCTTCCTTCCCCTTGACATCATCATCCTCCACCTCGTCATCCTCAACATCATCACCCTGCACCTCATCATCCCCAACATCATCCTCAACATCACCATTCTCAACATCACATCTTCCTCTCCTTCACATCATCATCCTCAACATCATCATCCTCCACCTCATCTTCCGCAACATCATCATCCTCCACTTCATCTTCCGCATTATCATCCTCATCCTCAATCCTCCTCAACGTCATCATCCTCCACATCATCATCCTCCACCTCATCTTCTGCAACATCATCCTCCTCCACCTCCTCTTCCTCAACATTATCATCCTCAACATCATCGTCCGCAACATTTTCACCACCACCACCACCACCACCACCATCATCATCATCATCACCATAATAATCATCATCATCATCAGCATCATCATCATCATCATCACCATCATCATCATCATCATCATCATCACCATCACCATCATCATCATCATCATCATCATCATCATCATCATCATCATAATCATCAAAATCATCACCATCATCATGATCAGCATCACCGTCGTCATCACATCATCATCATCGTCGCCATCGTCATCATCATCATCAATCAATCAACCAATCCATCCATCCATCCATCCATCCATCCATCCATCCATCCATCCATCCATCCATCAATCAATCAATCAATCAATCAATCAATCAATCAATCAATCATCAATCACCATCATTCATCGTCATCATCACCATCATCATCATGATCCATCATCATCATCATCATCATCATCACCATCATCATCATCATCATCACCATCATTCTCACCCACATCATCATCATCCACATTCCTCCCACTCCCCCATACTGTTTGGGGTCTCTTGCCGGTATAATTTGAATACATGTTTGGACAGCCACCGTCATATTGAGTGCATTTAAGTGCTATCATATCATTGTCATATTTGTCGTCTGAGACTTGGAATCTGTCCGCATCTGTTGAAGTGCAGTTTCCCGAGTCACAGACTTGGAGGACTGGAGTTCCTTTTCCACTGAGAAGGCCGCTGTGTTGAAGGCCTTTGTCGACTTTGTCCTTGGATCCGAGGGCCAGGGCATGCTGTCGGATTTCTCCTTCGTCGTGGTCCCAGCAGCCATGAACACCTGGCAGAGCGTTTGGGACAACACCATCACGAAGCCGACTGGCTTCGTTCCGCTGACCTTTGAGAGCAACACCGAGAAGTGGGTTGGCCAAGGCGCCAATGTGGTGAGCTCCAAGAGAAACTCATACTCCTTGTGGAAGCTGGGTGAACTTGAGTCCGCCGCAGCTGCTATGAAACTTGTCCAAGCAGGGCAGTCCCCTGCCATGGTTGCCATGCTGTCCCATACCTGGCCCATTGTAAGCGCTTGGAGACGAGTTCTGTGGTATTGAACTATGTAATTCCCACCGACAATTTCCTGACATTTTCGGCAGATTTGGCCTTCGATTCTTCCCAGAAGTAAAAGTGGTATCTACATGTAGCACTTGGACATTTCTTTCAATGGATTCCGAATCCGAGCTTACAAAGGTCATAAGGACAATGGCAACCACAACATTTTCAGAGACATCACCAGATTGGGTTAGGGTCAAACTGCTCAAGTCTAAGAGGCTGTTATGGACTTGGGAACTGTCCTGAATATGCACATCAGCCCTCTAGGGGACCTGCAGAGCGCAACAGTATGGCCTGCTGTCTTGAAGCAAAGACCCCAGCTGCAACATAGGAGTAACGATTGATAGCTCCAATAAGGAAGGCGCGCCTGGATGACATGGAGACTCACTTGAATGAGTATGGCATCGTCCCTTTGCACGGCAGCGGCACCACCAATACAAAGAACTGGCTCCTTGGTTTTGAGAAATCAATGATCTATGGGAATCTATGGAAAGCAAATGGATGGACATGGTACCACTATTCAATTCTGTCTTTTGCGCGGGTAGACTGCAAAAGATTGGTGGAACATACTGCTTCATTGGAATCATGCTGTTGCCCAACAAGAGATCAGTGCTAGTGATCTGTTACCTCTGTATTTGAGAGCAAAAGAAGGGGTGTTCAACTGCGGCAAAGGTTCGCGAAGGCCATGAAGCTGATGGAGGAACGAGCTCGTGTCCCCTTGTTCCTGACCTATCGTGCGGTGGGCAGCGGAACCGGTCAGAAGGAGTTTGTGGGTAATGCTGCCAGTTCGACCCTTGCCATGAGAAAAAGCAACGCTTTCTATAGCTTTTTCTATAGCTTTTTCTATAGCTGTCTTACACGGCAGTTGCACGAGTTATTGTTTGTTTCCTCAGGGGTGCAACCTCTGTTGCCTTGGACAAGGTACAAGAGCTACAGCAATTTCGGCGCTGGTGACATTCCCATGTCCAGTACCCATTTCCAGACCATGACTTCGCAAACTCCCCCCGAGTCCATGGTTCCTCAGCTCATAGTTTCGGAAGGCACGGACCCCTAAACTTCATTCGATCATTTGTAAAGAATCTTCTTCGCTTCAAACCGTTTGAAACAATGCAGTCCATGGCTGAGGTGCACATTCCCTTGGCCCTGGGAGCCATTGCTGTGTTTCACTCTGTTCCCACCGGTGAGATTGGAGGCAGTCTGAAGTTGGATGCCTGTCTGCTGGCCAAGATCTTCAGTGGCCAAGTGGAGACTTGGGATCACGCAGACATCAAAGCGTAGCTTGGCAGAAAAGGCTTCTTTGCTACTGAGAATCCATTCGTGCTTGTCACTGAAAAGAATGGCCCTGAGGGTCTGTGGGAAAGCATTCTCCTTACAGCGCGATCCGTGCCCAGTTCAGTATTTCATGTCAGATGTTGAAGCCTGAGACCCTGGTCCCTCAGAAAGTCTGGCACAACATTTTGACCAAGGCAGAACCCAGGCATCAATGTTCCAGCAGGCTCCAAGATCAAGGTGGAAGCCCCAGATCGATTTTGTCGATAAGGAACTAGGAGTGGATTTCTTTCGCAACAAGCCGGATTTACCATGATGCAGTCGGGCGACAAAAAATGAAAAAAAAGAACATGGAGTCTTGTCGAGTGGATTTTGCTCAAAGTTCAGACATACCTATGTCATCTCCCGGGCACCCGCAGATTGGAATTCGTTGACTTTCTCCGTGCTCGATGTGGGAGCTAAGGTCTTCCACCGTAGGTTGGGCTCCAGCAGCACTGGTGGAATCACCGGCTACCTCAACAAAAAGCGCCCAAGCAAAAGAAGTCAACTCATGACTCAGATCTTGGCAGGAAGGACCATGTTTGGAGCCAACCACCCCGTAGTTGAGAATTGGACCTTTTAAATCATACCAAACGGTACTTGGGAAGTAGATCTGTCTCTCAGTGGGTGCGCACACAGTAGCGACGCTAACAAAATTCCTGGCACGTATAATTCGTCTCTACAAATCGTTCCCTGGTAAAATACATGTGCAAGTGAAAGTTGATGAGCTGCTTCATGGGTGTGTGATGCTTGTTACTTTTAACCCACCTTTGTGGACTTTCTTGTCAATTTTCTTTCTTGATTATTGCTTCCTGCGTTGGTTTCAGAACGGTTTCTTGTGCGGATTGTTTGGACATGCTGAACTTGGAGGCAAGCTTAGACACTAAGAAGCGGAACAATGCGTCGAGTTTGACCGTCCAAGACAGAACAAAGCTCCGCTGGACCATTTTTTGGAATCAGTCAGTGAAGGCCATTGCCCATTTTCTTGCAATGGTCTGGCAAAATAGAGTGAAACCTTAATAGCTGCTTCATGGTCGCTGAAGTGTGGACTCGCATGAATCATAGCCTGTTTGGTATCTGGATGCAAAAGGCGCGAAGTTGCTTGGCGTCGTTTTCTTACCCAGCTACACCGCTGCAGACAAGATACATTTTTGCGCTTCCAATGTGGCAGCCCTCACGAAACAGGAAATTTGAATTAACTTGCCATTGACGTCTGGTGTTTTGAGGTGCCCAGAACATTGGAGCTTGGGAGCTGGATCTTCAATCAGCTGGCCAGCCAAGAGCAGCTTTCAGCCTGTGGAGGGATCTCCAGGCATGCAGAGTGCCCTGAAGGACTGGTTTGCCTTTGACCTAGTGACTTAGTGCTTTCTAAAGCTCTGTTGGCGCTTTATCTTTTGACTTTCTTTTCCTATCTTTTCCCATCTTTTCCTTAGCTTCTTAGTTTTGAATGGCTGGAAGGACAACCAGTACGGCATCGGCTACCTGGATGCCGGCCATGGCCACGACTTCGGATTGTCCGAAGTGGCCCTCACGAACCTTGCAGGACAGACCAGGACATCCAAGGAATCCATTGCACTTGGTGGCGTGGCAGAAGCTGGCACTGCTGCAGCCAATGGCAATGTCTTCCCCACTGACGTCTCGGCTGATTGGTCTAGAGACTTGTCTCAAACAGGATGCTTCTGGTATGGTCCTTCCCAAGGGGCCTGATGGCAGACATGAGATTCCAACCAGCTGCAGGTGACACCCAAACCTGGGCAAGACTGATCAACGAATTTATTGGACCTCAAGCGTTGAGCTGAAGCTTCATTTTTTTCAATCTTCTGATTCTTTACCGCAGGAAGGTCTGACTAGAGAAAAACGCAATCTGCCAGATGATTAGTCTCGCAACAACTTTCGACTACCATCGAATCTGCAGGTGTGAACCTGTATGACATGGCTGGGGACAGCACATGGCCAATCGTTCTGGTGAGCTATTTGTACGTGAAGAAGGATCAGTCTGCTACAAATCCAAAGACCGCGGCAGCACTGAAGGCAAAGATGTTTCTCTAGCGAGGTTCGAAGCCACTGACAATGCTCCATACTCCATTCCTACCCATTTCTACCCGTTTCTTTGGGTCCCACTATCCCTGGTGAGATTGGCCAAGTTGCACCTTGGTCTCAGTGTGGTCACAACGTCTTGTCATAACGTATGGTCACAACGTGAGGCCTTCATCAAGATGGTTGTGGATGATACGGATGGCATGGCTCAGCAGTTCGGCTTCACGCCACCAAGCACCTGGCCTAGACAGTCGGTGCCTGCGTAGATTGCTTCTAGTTATCACTAGTTGCCCTAAGCTTAAGTGGAGGTGCACACTGACAGAAATGCTTTGCCAGATTAGTCTTGTTTTGTAACAAGACTAAAGCACCTTTGTGTCAATCGAAGAGAAAGGGACAGGGGACAAGGAAGAGGGCACCAGCTTGATCCTCAGGCGCCGACCTGAAAAGATTGAGCAATAGTGCGGCTGATGCAATTGCCTATCCCTCAACCATGCAAGCCTTCGACGTCGAAAGCAGCACCAACGCCTATGGTGGCATGGCAACCAATGTGTTGCTCGGCACCAACTACTAGATTTGTGTTTTTCTACCTTTTTGTCTCTCCGCAATGGATGCTTCCTCTCAGATCAGCAGATGTTCGGTCTAGGTGGGGAATCAATCAGCACAACTCCACAGTGTTTTTCGCTCTGCACTAGCCTTGAGCAGGTGACAATCTGAGCAGGTGACTAGACTGTTTACCTGGCATTCCAAGGATCAGCATGAAGCGCCATTCCTACGACATCTATGACAGCAACGTCATGAGGGACGCGTTGTCCAAGCTCGAGACAGATTACCGCACAGTGAAGCAGGAGGAGCATGGAAGTTTGGCAGCCCTCAAATATAACCAAACACTGTAATTATATATGTATATATACATACAAAAGATTATGATATTTTCAACTAGACATGTGTGTAATACGTCTTTTTCCTGAAGGATGGCAAAGAGACGAGAAAGGAGATCTCTGAGATCTTGTGAAGAAGTCCACGGGCATATTGTGAACGAACGGGCGTAGGTCCACAACAATGATTATTCAAAAGTTGCTGAACGGTCACATGCCCAAACCAAACAACTGTGGGGTTCTCGACTGTGAGATGTATCTGTTGTCTCTGTATCATCCATTCCAACTGATCTCAGCACTGCTACGGCTGAAGGAGCCCATGAAAAAGTATGACAACACCCTCCCAGTGCTTTGCTCTGTGGTTGCCCTGGTGACACACGGCACAGAAGTTGCGTTCAGTTTTTGCGCATAAAAGATAAAACGTTGAAGTGCCTCCCTGGCAATAATGTCAGATCTCTCGCTATGCTTCACTACTCCGGAAAGAATCTTCGTCTCGCGCTGGACTCTAATGAAAACCAGTAGTACCGCACAAGGCGGTGGCGGAAGTTTCAAAGATAGGACCCTATAGGAGAGGTGAGTTGTTGTGATGCATGGATGGCAGAGCGAATCCACTGATGGACCGAAAGGTGGTTGGAGTTGTGTTTTTGGAGTGCAATGAGTGTAGTGCAATGTAATGTAGTGTAGTGTAGTGTGCTGTAGTGTTGTGTTTTCTAGTTTAGTCTAGTGTAGCGTAGTCTAGTGTACGTAGTGTAGTTGTAGTTGTAGTTGTAGTTCTAGTTGTAGTTGTAGTTTGTAGCTGTAGTTGAAGTTAGTGTAGTGTAACGCAGCGTGAGTGTTTTTACGGACCGCGTCCTAGCTCATCCCCTCAACTGCAGGGGTGGGGTAGTGGCCCGCCTGTCCGCCTACTGTTCCACCCAGGTAATGAACCCGGGCCTGACGCATGAGGGGTGCGTCTTTTCCACTTGACCATACCGGCCCTCATGTAGCGTAGCGTAATGTAGTGGAATCAGCGTAGTGCAGTGGTACTCCCAACTGCCCAAGTCGTGGCGAAATCCCAAAAATCTTGAAATTAGCTTGGGGGAAGGCTTTTGTGGAAGTCGTGGCGATGCGGCGTTTAGCTTGTGTTTAGGGTAGGTTGCTGTTTTACTATCTCATGTAGACCTAAAGTGGCGAAGCGGCGTTTAGGTTGTGTTTGGGGTAGGGCGTTGTTTTACTATTAGCATAGTGCTTTAATTTTGCTAGTTGCGTTCTCATTGTGTTTGGGATGGTTGCTGTTGGGTTCTGCAGCTACTCGCGTCTTGCTGTTGCTGCGGCTGCTGGTTCGACGGCTGCTGCTGTTGCTGTTTCCGGGTACTTCTACACAACGCTGGGATTATCATCTCTACACTGCCATGGCGGTGTGCTGGGATTCTGCAAATTGTCATTGTTTCGCTACCAGTGATCCAGGAAGGGCAGGTTTGCGGCTTGCGGGCCAAAGTCCATGTGTGTAGATGCGGGACTTTTTCCGTACCTCGTTTTGACCTCGTTTTGGACCTCGTTTTGGACCTCGTTTTTTTCCTTTATCAGAACCCATCCTGAAGTATACAAACTAGGAAAAGGGCCTGCTTCGCGTTTTTGTTTGTGGGCGTCAACAGTGCCCACGAAAAAAGGCCCGTTGGAAACCGGCGTTCCGATAGGATTCGATCAAAAACGAATAGAACCATGATAGTTTGGTCAAGGCTTGTTAAAGCTAGCGTTTCCAATGGGGAAAGGGGTTTTGCAAGGTCTGTGCCGGGACAGGGGTCGTGGCGAGCGTTTTGATTGGGAATAGCTGTCAAACGCAAACATTGCAAGGACTTTGGCGTATGGGTGTAGGTAGTTGCAGTTGTAGTTGTCGTTGCAGTTGCAGTTGTAGTTGTAGTAGTAGTAGTTGTTGTTGTTGTTGTAGTGTAATTAGTGTAGCATAGTGTTGTATAATGTAGTGTAGTTGTAGTTGTAGTTGTAGTTGCACTTGTAGTTGTAGTTGTAGTCTAGTGTATTGTAGTGTAATTAGTGTAGTGTAGTGTGATGTAGTGAAGTTTTAGCTGTAGCTGTAGTAGGGGTAGGAGTAGGAGTAGCAGTAGAAGTAATAGGGGTAGTAGGAGTAGTAGGAGTAGTAGGGGTAGTAGGAGTAGTAGGAGTAGTAGGAGTAGTAGTCGTCGTCGTAGTTGTCGTAGTAGTAGTCGTAGTCGTAGTCGTCGTAGTAGTAGCAGTAGTAGCAGTAGTTGCAGTAGCAACAGTAGTAGCAGTAGCAGTAGCAGTAGCAGTAGCAGTAGCAGTAGCAGTAGCAGTAGCAGTAGCAGTAGCAGTAGCAGTAGCAGCAGCAGCAGCAGCAGCACTAGCAGTAGCAGTAGCAGTAGCAGTAGCAGTAGCAGCAGCAGCAGCAGCAGCAGGAGGAGGAGGAGGAGGAGGAGTAGTAGTAGTAGTAGTTGTAGTTGTAGTTGTAGTTCTAGTTGTAGTTGTAGTTGTACATGTATATAGTGTAACTATTGTAGTGTACTGTAATTAGCTTAGTGTAGTGTAGTTTACTTAGTGTACTGTAACGTGGTTTATTTGTATATGTATTTGTAGCTGTAGTGCTAGCGTAGTTGTACTTGCAGTTGTAGTTGTAGATGAGTATCTAAGTATATAATCGCATATATCTATTTACCTATCTATCTATCTATCTATCTGTCTGTCTATCTATCTACCTATCTATCTCTATCTATCTATCTACCTATCTACCTATCTACCTATCTACCTATCTACCTATCTACCTATCTACCTATCTACCTATCCACCTATCCACCTATCTACCTATCTACCTATCTACCTATCTACCTATCGATCGATCGATCGATCTATCTATCTATCTACCTAAATCTCTATCTATCTATGTATCTATCTATCTACCTACCTACCTATCTATCTATCTACCTACCTATCTATCTATCTATCTATCTGTCAACCCCCAAGATTGAAAACGAAGCTATTCCACGAGACCTCCTCAATGTTCGAAGTTGACAACGTCAAAAACGAAGCAAGCCTGCGAGACGCCCACAATTTTCCAACTTGATAGCGTAAAAAACGAAGCAATTCTGCGAGGCTTCCTCATTTTTCGAAGTTGACAACATCAAAAACAAAGCAATTCTGCGAGACTTCAAAAATGGAAAGTTGAGTGCAGAGCTGACGGCCTCGTACCAATGCGTATTGCAATTTTTTCAGTCCATGTGTCTAAAGTATTGGGCCTGCCACGAAAAAGTGAGGCCAGGTCACACGAAGTGCTGCACCTGTCACACAACATCATCTTACCAAACCTGACGATCTGATGCCCCAAAATGCAAAACTCAGGAAATCAGCGCCCTGACCTCCTAACATCTCTGATGAACATGTCTCTTGTACTGCGCCTGCCACACAAAATGCATCTTTGCAGATCCTCTTCAAAAGTTCCACGCGTGCCAGCACGTTTGAAACTGCCACAGAACGCCCACGTTTTGCTCATTGTTGGCAAGGTGCAAAATCCCGTGCGCCTGCCACGCAAAGCGACATCTGAACATCCAAAAGTGCTCCAAGCCCCACAGTTTTTTACACTTTTGACTTGGCAACGTGCTTCGCGCCACAACGGCGTGCACTTTTTCGACATCTAAATGTGCTTCGCGCCACAACGGCGTGCACTTTTTCGACATCACAATTTCCAAAAGTGGTCCGAACCCGTCAGTTTTTAACACTTTTGACTTTGAAATGTGCTTCGCACCACAACGGCGTGCATTTTTTTTGCTCATTCTCTTCGCTGACTCTTCCCACCTCTGCTTTTCCATCTGCCCATATTGTCGGAAGTTTGACTTCTAAACTTCCTTCGATATTGCATGATCACATACTGATTGTATATACATGCATATATATATATACACACACATACTGATTGTATATACATGCATATTGCATATATATATATATATGTTGTCGCGAAGAGTCCTATACTTCTGGTATTTCCAACCCATACAATCTTACTTGTTTAACAGCACAGCTTCCGACCCCGACCCTAAACACACCCCACTCCCACACCTAGCCCCAACAGCCCTAACACTAAACCGATCCCCGCCCACCTCCGAAACCTAAGACCTACAGGTCTGAACCCCCTTAGGTACAGTATCAAATGCTGGAGAAACACTTTGCAGAGCTCTTATATAACTGGACTGATACCCATGTGCACACACACACATATATATATAATATTATAATATATAATTATACACTATTTAAACAAAAACATATCGTCCTATCATAGTGTTTCCGAGTCAAGCATTGACCCGGACTGAGGATCTCTTTGCTGACCAGCTGCATGGCTTGCTTTGCCTTCAAGGCAGCGAAGTCCGCGGGGGCGGCACCGCCTGCCCTGCCCCAGGCTGAGTCCGGCACCATCATCGGCCTTGCTGCACCAATGCCGAAGGAAGAGAAAAAGGCAGTCGACCTCAAGGACGAGGAGAAGGGAAAGGCGGCCATTTGGAAGACATTTCACCTGGAGGTGGTCAAATTTTAATGTCATCAAGACATTGGGGCTAACAACGATTTAAAGAGTGGAGGCATGTCATGTCCCAAACGGTGATCCTTGCCACTGAAGAGCGGAGTGAGCCTACAAATTGAGTTGTAGGGCCCAATTATTGTTCTGCGAAGGGTCATCATGTTGAGTAATTGGTTTGCTGGTAGATCTGGTAATAAAAAATTGAAACCTCTCGTCTGAAAGGTGGACCCTGGCAGCATTGCGAATCTCTGAGTGACGCCCAAGAAGACACTGACAGTGATGGGCAAAAATGTCGAGTTGTAGGATCGCCCGGATACGTCATGGTGTAGATTGTCTCTGCGCCGGACTTTTCCGATCCCAACTCCTGAAGAACGGAGCTGGTTGATTGCGATTTTGATCTGCGGGGTTTGTGCTGTTTACAGGAAACCTACGCAACCTGGACATCCCACATCCAAGCCAACCAGCTGTGTTTTTGGAGTGTTGAATCACTTCAGGCACCATCAAAACGAGCACTCTATCAGCACAAACCCTGAGAGGAAGACACCGAGACACCATTCATTTCTCCCTAGGAGACAATTCTCCATTCCTTCGTTCAGTTGTCCTCAGTGTGGACAGTACCTTGAAGCAGATGCCCTTGGAACTCGGACACCAACCCTATTAAGCGTGACCGACCTAACGGACCTAGGCACTTTCAAACCCCGATGGGTTTTTACTATCAATGCAGAATTAATGAGCTGCAAATCTAGCCGCCGGGGAAGAAATCTGGACGCAATACTACTCCGCTCGGGTGAAGTGTCCCGGTTTCAGGTTCACATCTCTCCGGCTAAGCCGAGAGAATCTGTTAGCCTTTGGTACTTGGAGTCCTGGAGAGTTCGACTCTGCGGAACGCTGATCGTCCTTTCCATGGGCAGCCCAGGGACCGAAGGATGGACACTATTCAAGTGCCTTTGAGAAGGGAAAAGACCGACAGGGGCCGTTTCTAGATATTTTTGACATTTTCCTACATTTTCTTACCGTACTTCAGCGGTACTTCCTTCAGCGGCAAATTTTCAATCCTTGGAGTATCCAGCATTTCTGAAACTTTTGAAGATGCTTTTCTCTTGAGGCTGCAAAGCTCAGACAACCGACTGTGGTCTGTGGTGCTATCCAAGTTGAGTGCCGCCGTGCTGCCAGTATTTGACTCAAAGACGTCCGAAGCAGTGCTCTCCTCGCGATGCTGCGACTTCTGAGCCTGGCAGCTTTCGTCACTGCGAGCAATGCGCAATTGCTGCAAGTGGACGGTAGTGGAACGACGATGCCTGGCGCATGACTTTTTTCTTAATGGAATCTGTGGCAGCTACGCTTCGCTGGCTTATTCGAACTAATACTGAGACTCTGACAATTCAAATTTAAATGCTATCGACGATCGATCTAGATTTGGCTTTGTCTTACTCTCTGGTGCACAGAAATTGATACCTTCCCTCTAATGACAGTTCCGGGGAACCCTCTTTGTCAGTATCTGCAATGTTTTTCTTGTCCGACTTGAACATGGGCCAGGGAATTGGGCAAGTGCAATTGCGTTTCAGCGCAATGATCTTTCTGTGTGCTAGGAATCCATCAAAGTACTTCTGGAAGATCATGGAGACGATGGAGGCTCACGACCCCGAGGGTGTTTTCTGAAGCAGGGAATACGTCGAAGTACAGACTTTCCATTCGTCTTTTTGCCAACAGGATATAGTCTCAAGATTCCTTGACTGTCTCTCTGGCTGATGCAACTCAGATATAGAGCCGGATTTTTTCAAACCTGAAGTGTTGCAGACGGCGAGCAACGCAGACGGAACTGGAAGTTTGATGTGAAGTGTTGCATGTAGATCCAGTTCGAGGATAGGTCTAGGTACTTAGAAAGGAAGCCACCTGTGAGTTCCGCCTGGACATGAGCCACAGCCTGTGTTCTGACAGGCGCGGCTGTTGAAGGACGTGCGATTGACCTATCGCGCAGTGGGCAGCAGCACGGGTCAGAGGGAATTTACGCAGCAAACGTCCGGTGACTTCACTGCTGGGCTGACCGACTTTGCTGCTGGCGATATCCCAATGGACCCAAGTGCCTTGGTAGTTGGTGGCATGCATAGTTCAACTCTAACTTCTTCCTTGCAGTTCACAGATGTTGAGAGAGATTCTTCTCCCATCTTCCAACCAGCTTGGAACCGTTACCTGCCATTTTGGATGCGCATCTTCAAGCAAGACTCGCCCTAGAGACAGGATGCTGCTCCAAATACTGTTCGCGAGGTCGCTATTCGAGCCTCACTACTGCTGGGCGATCCATGGTGCACGTGCCCTTCTGCTTGGGAGCCATCGGAGTGTTTCACTCCGTGCCAGCCGGTGAGGCACCGCAAGAGCATTCGCAAGTGACACTGTGTTCGGTTCCTTGCAGGAACGGCGGACTCTTCCAGATCCTTCCAAATTCCTTCCAGATCGATCCAGATCCTCCATTTTTAATCATTTTTTTGTTTCTGGTAGATCTTCAAAAAAGGGAAGGACCCATGATGCCGCGGCAGTGCCTTGACTTGGCAGGTTGGAGATGCCAAGGGCTTGAAGCTTTCTCCGTGTGTCTTGGCAAAGATCATGAAGGGCGAGATCACGACTTGGGACCACCAGGACATCAAGGCGGAAAACCCGAATCTCAACGTTCCTGCCGGCACAACAATCAAGGCCCGGTTGGGAGATGGAGATGCACTTTGGATCTATTTATAGATTTTGTATGATTTTGTAGTTTGTGTGCATGAAGCTTTCTACACAAAACCTTTGCATACTCTTGCCAACTTCTCTTGTCTCCACCTGTCACAATACATCACTTGGCAAAAACGGAGTCAAACCAAGTTGCTGCCAAGAGAGGCAATTAACCAGACTTGTGGCAAGATGACAGACGACTGACGACCATCAAGACACGTTTTCTTCCTCCAGTTGACTTGTAAACTCTTTGTTGGGGCAGAGACAGGTGGGTCATCGAACCGAAGGATCCAGCAGCACTACTGGCTTCACAGGAGCAAGCTCTTGAGTACAATGCAACATGTTTGACGCCCTGGGTCAGTTTGAAGACCCTTTAAACTTCTTCCGCTTTGCATCTTTCGACCCCTCTTTGAGCCTCTTGACCCTCTTGCGGAGTCGACCTTCCTTTCCTCCTTCTCTTTGACCACTCTTTGACCTTTTTGAAGGTTTCTGGCCATTTTTTGACCGTTTTTTGACAACTTTTTGACCCTCTTTGACTGTTTTTGACCCTTTCTCGACCTCTGACCTTTTATTTTGACCGTTTCTGACCCTCTTTGACCTTCTGTTTGTGCCTCTCTGACCCTCCCTGACCCTCTGTGACCGTTTCTGACCTTCTTTGACCATCCCTCACCCCCTTTGACCCTCTTTTGATGGTTTCTGACCCTTTTTGAGCCTTGACCCGTTTCTGAGCCTCTTTGACCCTCAATTCTTTGGTGCAGGATACCTGAACTCCAAATGCCCAGCTGATTGGAGCCTGGGCTCTGGTAGCATCGTGAGCTGGCCCACCAGCTCGGGATTCACACCGGTTCCCGGGCTGAGTTCGGCCAAGCACTGCATGTCGCCATGTCAAACTCGTGAGGCGGTGTGTAATTGGATGTCATTGGCAGCTTGTCAGCTCTGACTGCTCCCAAATCTAAGGTTCAAGGTTCCGGTGGAATGGCGTCCTTCATTGCTGGTACCCCTTATGCCATTGGTGCCTTGCTCAGATTGTGCGGGGTTGGCCATTCTAGACATGCCCCCAAAAGTCATCTCAAAGTTTCCATGCCGGGTTTGCACGTGTGCTTCAAGATGAATAAGTTGGTGCGGGTCGCAAACTCTTAACGTCTGTGGTGAAACTTGAAGATGGCATCAGCGTACATCAGCTAAGTGCTGCACGCCCAACACCAAATCTGCCTCCGACAGGCTACTTGGATGCTGGCCACGGTCATCAGCAGGATTTCCAGGAAGTGAACCTGAAGAACGAGGCAGACACGTGGCTCAATTCCAAGGATGCCTTGATGGCCACTGACGCCAACGGCAACAACGGTGTCGCTGCAGCAGGCGGGGCTCCTGGTGGATCTTGTCGTTGTTTGTCATTAGGAGGCCTGCGCTGTTGGAGGGAAGAGGTATACATTTTCCGTCCAGGTGTGCGGGATTTCTTTGCAGCTTTTCGCGCCGCATTTTCATACGTTTTCAGATCCTTTGTTTGCGCGCTTCTATTGCTTGCTTCTCTCTTTCTTCCTCAATCTTGCTTTTCTTCGTTGTTGCTTCACCCGCTTTTTTCCCTCATTTTTTTACAAGCAAACACATCTTACCACGGTTTCTGTAGAGGCAAAGCCGCGGCGGAGGCCGCTCCCTTCCCAGCTGCAACTGACGACTGGAGCAGCGTGAACCTCTACGGCAAAGCCGGGACCAACACCTGGCCGATTGCATCTTGGTCAATTGGAAGTTGGCCAAAGGGTGACATCCCTGCAAAATGTTTTCCAGTGATTGGGTCAAAGTCCAAGACCAGAAGTGTTTGCGTGCGCGATTGTGTGTAATCGTGCGGGATTGTGTGTTCTCTTTGTGACAGCTGCAGCTGATATATTGAACCATCTGAATCTGGATGGGACGTTGATGGCGCAAAGATCAGGTGCTGGTCTCCTATTTGTACCTGCACAAGGACTCTTTGGGGCATCAGATTTGGCAATCTCCATATCATGCTCCACATCATCATCCTCCACCTCATCTTCCACAATATCATCCTCCTCCACCTCCTCTTCCGCAACATTATCATCCTCAACATCATCGTCCGCAACATTTTCATCATCGTCATCATCGTCATCATCGTCATCATCACCATCATGCTCCTCCTCCTCCTCCTCCTCATCATCATCATCATCATCACCATCATCGCCATCATCACCGTCATCACCATCATCACCGTCATCACCGTCATCACCATCATCACCATCATCAACATCATCACCATCACCATCATCATTATCATCATCATCATCATCATCATCACCATCATCACTATCATCACCATCATCACCGTCATCACCGTCATCACCATCATCACCATCATCACCATCACCATCATCACCATCACCATCATTATCATCATCATCATCATCATCACCATCATCATCATCATCATCATCATCCATCATCCATCATCATCATCATCATCATCATCATTATCATCATCATCAGCATCATCAGCATCATCACTATCATCACCGTCATCACCGTCATCACCGTCATCACCGTCATCACCGTCATCACCGTCATCACCGTCATCACCATCATCATCATCATCATCATCATCATCATCATCATCATCATCCTCATCCACATTCCTCCCACTCCCCCACGCTGTTTGGGGTCTCTTGTCGGTATAATTTGAATGCATGTTTGGACAGCCACCGTCATATTGAGTGCATTTGAGTGCTATCATATCATTGTCATATTTGTCGTCTGAGACTTGGAATCTGTCCGCACCTGTTGAAGTGCAGTTTCCCGAGTCACAGACTTGGAGGACTGGAGTTCCTTTTCGGCTGAGAAGGCCGCTGTGTTGAAGGCCTTTGTCGACTTTGTCCTTGGATCCGAGGGCCAGGGCATGCTGTCGGATTTCTCCTTCGTCGTGGTCCCAGCAGCCATGAACACCTGGCAGAGCGTTTGGGACAACACCATCACGAAGCCGACTGGCTTCGTTCCGCTGACCTTTGAGAGCAACACCGAGAAGTGGGTTGGCCAAGGCGCCAATGTGGTGAGCTCAAAGAGAAACTCATACTCCTTGTGGAAACTGGGTGACCTTGAGAGTTCGATCAACTCGATGAAGGACTGATCGGGTCCCTGCTTAATATAAGCATTGCAAAAGCTACAGAGCATGCCTTGGATGATGTAAGGAACTTTTAGGCAACACCGTTTGCCAGCTCTGTATGCCTATCTATACGTTTGTGTTTATTCTCGGTCTTCATGCCCATGAGTTTGTCCACGCGTCCTCTGTCGACTTATTTGTTAGTTCCAACCCGCCTTATCCATATCCAGCCATCCCTCGACTCTACTCATAGATCCTTGTTGTAGCTACCCGCCTCATCATGTTTTCTTTCCAATGTATCCGTTTTTCTTCCAAAACCTCCAATTCGTCCAAGAGTATCGTCCCGTATCGTCTGGCCCCTCCCATTCCATCTCTCTCTCTCTCTCTTTCTTTCTTTCCCCATCTCTTTCTCTTGGGAGATCGGAATTGGAACACCTCTCTCTCTCTCTCTCTCTTGCTCTCTCTCTCTCTATATATTATATCTATATCTATTCGTCTAGCTCAAACGACCTAATTCTTTCTTTCACGTGCTCTGAGACTTGTGCGGTAGAGGAGCGCTTGGACTCCATGCAAACTCATTTGGATGGATATGGCATTGTCCCCCTGCATGGCAGTGGCACCACCAACACCAAGAATTGGCGGCTTGGCAGGGCGTCCATTGATTTGTGTTGGGTGTTAGGGGAGTTTCTCCAAAGAATTTGCATGTCAACTTGAGACGAGTCATCCGCAGAAAATGTCAAACTGTCCTTGTTTTGTCTGGCTTCAGGCGTAGTGGGCCGAAGTATCAATGATCCATGTAGCCTTGCGCTTCAGGTTTGCAAAGGCCATGAAGCTGATGGAGGAACGAGCTCGTGTCCCTTTGTTCCTCACTTACCGTGCTGTTGGCAGTGGCACTGGCCAGAAGGAGTTCGTTGGTGACAGCAACAGCGGGTTTCTTGAATGACACTTGCTTCCGTCTCCCCACATAATGACACTGTTGAGTAAGCCACGTCAAACAAAAGAAGGTGGCCGTTCTGAGTGCAACGAAGAGCGATGAAGTGTTCAGACTGGCCACTATCTGACCATCATAGCACGACATTTGCAGGTACAAGAGCTACAGCCACTTCGGCGCTGGTGACATTCCCATGTCCGGCACCCATTTCCAGACCATGACTTCGCAAACTCCCCTTGAATCGATGGTTCCTCGGCTTAGTTGCATTTCAGATTCGGAACTTGTATCATTTTGATTCACATTTTTGCCCTTCAAAGTAGAAAACACACAATCCATGCAGTCCAATGGCTGAGGTGCACATTCCCTTGGCCTTGGGAGCCATTGGTGTGTTCCACTCCGTTCCTGATGGTGAGATTGGAGGGAGCCTGAAGTTGGATGCCTGTCTGCTGGCCAAGATCTTCAGTGGCCAAGTGGAGACTTGGGATCACGCAGACATCAAGGCGTAGCTTTGGCAGAAAAGGACTTGCGCATAACTGAGAATGAGCTTTCGCCAAAAGGTATGAATTGCACCAGCATGGCTGTCTATGAGGATCCAATAATAAATAGGTACAGTATGCTACGGTAGGCTCTCATGCCAAGAAGCACCAGCCATTATATAACTTGCCGTTGTCTTTTTCTGCCTTTGCCTGAATGGGTGATGGCTACATTTGCACATGTCCCCTCCTTCAAAATGCGCATCAAACAAGCCATTTGTTCCCCGCAACACACACACACTTGCTCAGAACTGTCGTTGCGAATTTTTCTGTGGAATGCATCGGACATGCAAAACCACCACCACCAACAACAACAACAGCAACAACAACAACAACAGCAACAGCAACAGCAACAGCGACAGCGACAGCGACAGCAACAGCAGCAACAACAAGAACAACAACAACAACAACAACAAACACGATGATATGAACCTACAGTATATATATATATATATCAATATCAATATAAATATAAGCATAAATACAATCACAGTAGACGTTGACCGTATAAAACAACAGCGATAGAATATGTGTCCCCCCCAGCTGCCACTTATATGCGCCCAGGGGCGGGACTATACATATATAAAGATGTATATATATATATAATTATGTATATAGTCCAGGTACGTTTTCACAGGAACAATGCAGCGTCTTCTTTGGCCGGTGACTGCAATGTTCCCCAGCGGACCCCTGCAAAAATCAGAAGTTTTACATCTATTCGGATGGTACACCCACACACACACACACTGCCGCAGCAGGGTGGGTGAAATGAAAATGAACATGAAATGGACATGACCATGAAATGACAAACTACTTAACCAGAACACGAGACGGGGAAAGCAAAAGAGGACGTGAAAAAAAGGAGAACACCAACACCAAACACCAACACACCTAGCCCAGAACGGGAAAAGCGGACGGACGACGGACCAAACACCGACCAGAGGAGGGGGGGCGGACGGAAGCGCCTGACACAACCAACAAGGCGAGAGCCAAACCTACTTCGGCACGCGAAGGGCCCAAACCTGACCTAACACGGGAGCACGCATGAGATAGGGGACCAATGGGAACTAGTTAATGATAATTAATGCAACCATAAACGAGTGCAAAATGTCGTGATAAGGCTCGAGGCCCTCGGTGGTCAGATCAACCCGATGGACAGCTTACGCGCAGATTGTCGAGCACCGTACTCGCTTCGGCAAAGCTGAAAAAAGGAGGTTGTTCGCAGCTGACGGCTACTAACCCTTGAAAATCAAGGCGAAAAAATTAAGCCCGAGACAGCGGCCAGTAGTTCAACACTCACTCGATCGATGTGAAAAAAGGCCGACTGTTCCACTTTACTTTAACGAACTACTAAGTTAAAAATGTAAATTCAGAGATCAGATTGGAGGATCAAAAGTCCTTCCTAGACAGGTATTCTCCGAAGGGTTCATGCCACCTTGACGAACCGGCATGAGTCACTCAGAATTGTCGTTGCGAATTTTTCTGTGGAATGCATCGGACGTGCAAAAACACCAGCAACAACAAACACGATGAGATGAACCTATCTATCTATCTATCTATCTATCTATCTATCTATATATATATAAAATCACAGTAGACGTTGACCGTATAAAACAACAGCGATAAGATATGTGTCCCCCCAGCTGCGACTTATATGCGCCCAGGGGCGGGACAACACATAAATAAATATATACATACATAAATATATACATAAATAAATATATACGTTACATATAAAAATAAATACATATATAAATATATAAATATATACATAGATAAATATATAAATATATACATATATAGATTATATATATAATTATAATTATAAATATAAAAATAAAAAAATATATATATATATGTATATATATATATATTTATATTGTGCAGGTACGTTGTCACAGGAGCAATGCAGCGTCTTCATTGGCTGCTGACTGCAATGTTCCCAGTGCCCCCTGCAAAAATCAGAAGTTTTACATCTATTCAGATGGTACACACACACACAAGCAAAAACACAACTTCCACAGCAAACACGTGCAAAACACATTTTCGAGACATACCCGCAAACAACCTCAAACTGTACGCCTCGAAACTTGAACCAAGGCAGAACCCAAGCCTCAACGTTCCTGCAGGCCAGCCTATCCATGTCAGAACCTTAGGAACCAGTGTATGCCGTTAGCAACTCCTGGAGACTTTGTCAGCACTTTGTGACTTTGTGAGCTTATTATCGTAACATGTAGCCAATCATGAATTCTCTTGCGGAGGATTAGCACTATATAGTCTAGTCATGGCAAGTGGCAAGTGGCATTTTCTTTAAACTGCTGCTCGATCAAGTCCCTTCTAAGAGGCCATTTCTGGAAGCTCGGAGGTACTGAGAGGTTTTATGCAGTCAGATGTTCTCAGATGCTTTAAAGCGGATCGGAGTTTAGCAATGTTTATTGATTTGTTTGCATTTTACTCGTCCCACCATGTCCCACCATGTTTTCTTGCCTTTTAAGCAACGGACGCGCTCCCAGGTGTTCCACCGTAGGTTGGGCTCCAGCAGCACCGGTGGAACCACAGGCTACCTCCTGAAGAAGTGTCCTGGCCAGGGCCAAAACAGCTGACAAAAAATGATAAGTTGATAAATGCGTCAACGGGACATGGACCTCATCCTTCTGCGTTTGTCGGGTTGACCATAGCGACCATAGCGACGGAGTTTTTCTACAAGTCGTATCAGGACCTCAGTAGGCTCTCAAGTTTTGTAGCCGGGCCGAGGTGCCCAGAACATTGGAGTTTGGGAGCTGGATCTTCAATCAGCTGGCCAGCCAAGAGCACCTTCAAGGCTGTGGAGGGATCTCCAGGCATGCAGAGTGCCCTGAAGGACTTCAAGTGACTATAGTGCTTTCCGAAGTTCTGTTGGTGCTTTATCTTTTGACTTTCTTTTCCTATCTTTTCCCATCTTTTCCTCAGCTTCTCAGCTTTGAATGGCTGGAAGGACAACCAGTACGGCATCGGCTACCTGGATGCCGGCCATGGCCACGACTTCGGATTGTCCGAAGTGGCCCTCACGAACCTTGCAGGACAGACCAGGACATCCAAGGAATCCATTGCACTCGGTGGCGTGGCAGAAGCTGGCACTGCTGCAGCCAACGGCAATGTCTTCCCCACTGACGTCTCGGCTGATTGGTCTAGAGACTTGGCTTAAATATGAAAGGTCCAGAAAGTGAATGCCTAAAGCTTAATCCTAGATTGGCAATGGCGTGCAAGAGACCCACACATAAACACCGAGAAAGCTCAAGCTGCCATAAGCTGCCCATATTATGAATAATATGAAAACATCGAAAAACCATCCTCACAGCTAGTCAGCCAGTCACGAGTTTACTCCTAGACCTGCGCAAAGGTGTGAACCTGTACGACATGCCGGGCGACAGCACTTGGCCGATCATCCTGGTGAGCTACATGTACGTGAAGAAGGATCAGACTCAGACCAATCCAAAGACGGCAGCAGCTCTCCAGGCACTTTCGATGCTGCACAACTCTGTTCGATTCTTGAAGACAGATGGGGAAGAAGTATACAATATCGTGCAATTGTGTTCATTTGAGTTGCTGTAGCTGCTACGGATTGCAGGTCTTGAGATGTGTATTGCAACCTCAGCCCCCCAGAGCCCAGCAAAGCCCAGCAAAGCCCAGCAACGCCCTGCTATTTTACAGGCCTTCATCAGCATGGTGGTGAACGATCCTGACGCGTTGGCGATGGAGTTCGGCTTCACGCCTCCAAGTACCACATTGAAGGCTTTGTCTCTGCGGGCAGCAGGAGAGATCTCCTACCCCAGCACCATGCAAGCCTTTATCTTCGAGAGCAGCACCAACGCCTATGGTGGCATGGCAACCAATGTGCAGCTCGGCGGCATTGTGACCGAGTTAGAAAAGGCACCAAATGTCCAAGGCAGAGTAGGGTGAAAATGGTTGGTACTGGATGGTGCTGGTATGCTGCGCTGTAAGACCATGTAAGACCCACAGCATCAATAGCCTCATGCAGCCCTACAGGATCAGCTTGAAGCGCCACTCCTACGACATCTACGACAGCAGCGTGACGCAGGCCTTGGCCTTCCAAACTTTTTTTTTAATGCAGAAACTTCAGCAAGAATCATGTCTCTTGCACTTTCGGAAAAGGCCTTTTTGTATCCTTTTGTGTGATTTCAAGCAGCTCTGTCGATGCTAGCTTGTTTTCGTATTTTTCGTGGATCTTTGCCCATTCACTTCAAACGCGCGCGCCTTCAGGACGCTGTAACCAAACTCAGGGAGAGCTTGAGCAGCCTGACCAGCGGGGATGACCACGACGACCATGGTCACGATCGTGACCATGAAATGTCAGAGTATAACGACACCTTGCCAGTGGTCTTGTCCGTTGTGGCGCTTGTGTGACTTGTATCATTTTGAATCCTTACAACAGCATGAGTATGCCCACTGAAGCTGTTTCTTCCACCGGTTCTGACTCTAGATATTGAAGAAGTCAATCAGTTGATGTCAGCAGTTTCATCCTGTCAGCTTTGTGTTCATGTCGTGATTTTTCACCCAGCGCAATCCAACAGGTGTCAGCCAGTGTCAACTGAAGTTCTGCATCATTCTGCGTCCAAGGATCTCCTTGTTGTCGGGCTGCATGGGATGCCTCGCGTTCCGAGCTGCCTCCAAGTCGCGCGCCCTGAACGACGGAAGCAGCCCTTACGCCGGCCGTGCCTGACCAAAGGGGCCGGCAGGGTGCAGGAGCGGATCAAGCTTAAACAATCTTGAGATTTTAGATTTATAATTTATATAGTATATAGATTTATTATGTATTGTTTCATGATGCTCGTTTAACAGGAACAAGATTGAACTGGTCAAGTTTTCATAGAACTCCAAACAAATTCAAAAAGAAACAATTGGCCCGACCTGCGCTGAAGACAACTTTTCAATCCCGCTTTAGGATCCTGTGTTTGCATCCATGAGGAAAGCAGCCATGGGTCTGGGAGGGCTATCATTCGCGTATGATTGAATATGTGATTGCAGCATCAAGCTGTCACACTGAACTGGATGCAGTGCCAAAACTAGGCCAACGCCCTTCTCAATAGAGTCTGCACAGTCTAAGAATCCAACCACCAACTCACTGCTCTCATGCCTAGCATTTTTTTTAGCACTTTCTACGTCTTTCTACTCCGTTCTTCTCTGGAGGGGAAGATTAAGCATCCAGAAGCGAAGGGAGATGGGCTCATATAGCTTGTGGCACATATCAAACATATCAATAATGATATTAAATGAATTTAATGATCAGGATTTTTCTCGTGGGTGCTGGATGATTTCTCCATTTTGTCTCTAGAGTGGATGTCCTCACCGGTTCTCTGTGAGTTGGAGCTGTCTGCCTTCCTACTCAGTGGAACGCTGATGGGAAGTTCATGCAGTGACTGCGCTTGCAGTGAACCCGGTGCAGGGGCGACACTGGAACTGTTTTGTCAGCAAAATCCTGCTGCCATTTCCCTCTACCCCTGGTTGAAACCACGAGGTACGTTAGACATGCAGGTGGTGTCCGTGGAATCCGTGGATCTAATCTGGCAACCTGGTACTGTAACTTCCCCATTTCCCTGTATTGCAGCAGCCACCTTTCGCTAGAGGAGTTGAAAAATTATAAGCTGGAGCGGGTTTGCCATGGCAGACCTGCAAAGATACATGCTCCGTCTGGGCTCTAAAGCCAGATAGGGGTCATTTCGTTGCTGTGAAAGATTGGAAGCACTTGGGAAAAATCGCCCACCGGTGCGCAAGTTGGAACCCACAACTTTGTGTTCGAGATGAATGTGAAAAGACATCTTATGGATTGAGAACGATATAACCTGTTTCTTGGAGTCCTGGCTTTGAATTGACGGATCTAGCATATCTAGTAGATATCTAGCCAGTTGTCGCAGATTCCCTTAAAAAGCCAGGATTTGGATGTGGCTGCGCAGGAGGCTGGTTGCGGAGAGCTGCAAATCCTCCGTGCGAATTGGGACTGCTTGCATTGTCATTTCTCAAAAAAACATGCAAGAGTTTCACGGCGTTTCTGATTCGTTTCAGACTAGACACAGGCCCAAGATTGCCAAGAATGGACAAAATTCGTCAAATGATCAGTCCAAAATAGTCCAAAAACTACTGCTTTATTGTGGGGTCGTTTTTCCCAGGTGGCACGGCGCAGTAGCTGGTTCCATACGCCACCAGCTGTGGTGCCCAAGGACGTGCCCATCATTGAGGTGGATCTCTGGCTGTGTATCTAGCATGACATACACACACACAGTTGCTGAATGTTGCTGATAGTGGTCTGTATTGGTGTGTTGAAGTTTCTTCCCAACTGCACAAGTGATACCCTGTAGCAAAACTCTGCAAAGAATATGTTTCTTCTCAATGCACCCCCCGGCATAAATTTGCACATGATATGTACCCTGCATGCGTCCCATTTTACATCACTCTACAAGCAGTTTTGGTAGAAGGTCTTGCCAACTGGGATTGCCACCTAGCGACGCCAACAACTCTTTGAGTCATCAATAGCATGAACTTTTCCTAGCAACACCTGAAACCTACGGTTAACTATAGTTGGGTGCATTGTTTCAGGTGCAAGATCGCATTGCTCAGCGTGTCATTACGAGATGCCCCTCGCGCCCCCGTGGGGCAAGCCTGGATTGGGGGGGCTGCAGGCGCAAGGCTGACATCCAGGATTGCAAAAGGTGACGGGCTGGTGGTTTCACAGTTTCACAATGTTTCACTTACTGTCTCTCCGGGTAGATGATCCCAAACAACCAGTATTTCGGTGGATTGAAGCCCGCCACATGAGGCAAGATTGACCCTTTCAAGGCAACCGATCAAAGATGTTCCGCAGTTCGGGCGAAAGTTCCGCATCTTTCAGCATTTTTTTTTAGCTGAGGAACCGCTCAGCCGGCTTTGGTGGTGATGGCACAGGTGGGACCAGGATCCGAGGATCTCCTCGGATCCGACAAACACAGCCAGATTGGCGTGTGCTCAAAGTGTTGAACGACTTGTAGTGGGAACTGTTGGATATCAGAGTGCCGTGTGCCAGGCAGTGCGTCCGCACACTGCCAATGTTCAGGCCTCAGGAAGAGTTGGAGTTTTTGACGCTGGTGAGAACAGCTGCAAGCGCTTATTTTTTTATAGAGAGAGAGAGAGAGGGGGGAGAGAGAGAGAGAGCCCTGAGAGCCTGCACTGTATACTCGAGGTTCACAGCTGTTGCAAATGCAAGCATAGTTTGTCACAGATTGTATGACTACCATACTGAAAGGGACAATTCAGAGGTGGCTAACTCTTTTCTCATGGGCCAACGTAGCCAAGCAAGGTACAGGCGACAAGCAGTCGGCAAGGGGAAGGCCGGGAACCTGAGAAAGTCAGCAAGGCTTGTGCCACCATGTGCCACCAAGGAAAGTATTTAAACATATTCAAACATCAAATGAATCAAATGTCAGAGCTTCAAAGCTTGAAGAAAGCCCAAACTGTACATTCTGGCAGTAGAAAGTTTGTGTGGCATTGAAGCCTCATTTGCGTTGGATTGCTTCTGATTGCAAACCGAATAGTCCCAATTCCTTTCCTTTAGAACTTGTTCCATGACAGAGAATCCAAGTCTTCTCCAGCTCCAATCCCATTGAACTGTCGTGCACAATGGCCAGCTGCAGGCTCCCCAATCTGTGAAGATCGCTGTGAGGATGGTCTGCAGGAAAGTGAATCCAAAAGACACGCAGATGAAAAATGTCGAATGTGTTCTTCCTTGATGACATCATGTATGTGTACGACATGTCATTTTGTAGCCGACAATATTGTCACATGAAGAGACAGGTAGAGGCCTGCCTTGAACTTTGCCTGCCATCACGGAACCGTCAGAACTGATACGACCGAGCGCCATTACCCTAAATGATTCTAAGTTATTCTAAATTCATGTCTGAAAAACATCAGGACCTCACACCTGAATACAACTGATAGGGGACGGCCCAGTTTGCTCATTAATTACATTTACGAATAATATATAATAATATAATGTCCGTCACCAAGATATATTCCTTTTGATTGAACATCGAGTGCTCATGAGTGCTCTGTATCTTTTCTAGTCCCAAAGTTCCAGGAAATGAACATTATCCATGGAGCTTCGGCTGCGACCTCATACAAGTGACTCGGGTGGGTTGATCTTGCTTGGCGCAGAGCACCGCAGGAGCATCCGGAGATTGGAGCATTGGAAACCGTGCAGGATCTGCCCACTGTGGAGATGCAGGTGCCTATGCTAGTGGGCATGGGGACAGCTTGATGGATAACTCGCTGTGAATTATTGGAGCATCTTGGAGCATTTTTCACTATCTTTCCTCCAACGTCAATTCTTCACAGTTACCTCAGATCTACTGACGAAACGTGGCTCACTGGCTCCCATCTTGAGGTCGAAGGCGGAGACGACCTGGGCACGGAAGACATGGAGGACATGCGCTCGTACAGATTTGTGCATTGTCCACGATTGTCAGCATTATGCATTTTGCAACTTGATTTGATGCATATAATATCATATAATATATATATACAGTATATGTACATTTAACTATATTAATAAAAGAGACACATACGTAGACCAATCAAATTTCATTTTAACTAGTAGCAGGGGCACAACAGACAGAGGCACAACAGAGGCACGCCGTGAGTCCTGTGGAGGAACACATTAAAAATTCTGATAGGAACCGCAACATGCATGACGTGTGTTCTGCAGTGTGCAAGAGCATTCAAGTTGGTTTGGTAGTAAACAGATACACTATCAGGTACTATCCACCGTTGACGGGCAGTCGGCTAGTTCCCTTCTACTTGATCCGTTCTCGTCTCTGGATGAAACCTCGCAACCCTGAACAACCCACCAAGCATGTATGAAATCACGCATACATCCATCAGAAATATAGGATAAAGGGCAATGAAGGAGGTTGGTTATTGATCTTTATATATTATTGTCTCCCCAGTGCCTTTGTCAAACATCCCGCCGGGTTGGAAATGGGCCGAGTAAAAACAGCATTTTCATGTGACTGGCAAGAAGTCAATCATGCGTTTCGCAGTGTTTTTTCATGTTTCTATGTTGTCCATGAAGGTCAATTCTATTGTGATTTTGAATTTTCATTGGGATTTACTGTCTATAGTTGACATGTCGGAGTGCGAAAAAGGTTCCTTTTGGGAAGTCAGCGTGCCCAAAACCTCAGCGGCAGCCATTTTTTCCGGTGATCTCTACATCTTCGCTAAGTACGCACCTGTTTTCTCCAACAGCGCTTTTCCAACTACATTTGCCTCCCATCGCCACTGCCATTTGCGAACGTACGTCCAAATGAGGTCATTCAATTTTTGTTCGTTTTCTGGGCAAGATGTCAACTGATCGGGAACACTGGCAAGTACGTGAACGTTATTACCCCACCCCACCCCACCCAACCCCGGCATGACGTGACACATCTTCAACGTAGCATGACGTATGTGCGCACGTGCAAGTGAACGTGCCGTGGCGTAACATCATGGGAGTGCGCAAGTACGTGAACGTTATTGCCCACCCCACCCACCCCACCCCTGCGTGACGTGACACATCTTCAACGTAGCATGACGTATGTGCGCACGTGCAAGTGCAACATCACAATGAACGTGCCCATGCGTGACGTGACACATCTTCAACGTAGCATGACGTATGTGCGCAATTGTGCGCACGTGCAAGTGAACGTGCCGTGGCGTAACATCATGGGAGTGCGCAAGAACGTGAACGTTGGGCAGCAAAACGGGACGGTTTGGTCAGTGTAGCTGCAAGTTGCTCAATTGGCATGTGTCGTGATGGATGCTGGGGGTGGGCAGCAAAGAGTTGCTGCTCTTGGCATGTGTCGTGAGATGCGGGGGTCCAAAGATTGCTTTGATGAAGAGCGTCAAAGCCTGACAAAGACCCACAGAATCAAACTTGGCACTGAAAATAAAATACAGTGGATGGGTTTGATCTGTTTTAACATTTTTAACCCATTGTGCTGCAGGGCACAAGCCACCGGGAGAACTGTGATGTGCTGCTTTTCTGCCGAAGAGTTCAATGTAGCATTCCCATGCTGTAGGGCCTTAGGGCGGTGGTGCGTTTTGGGTATACAGACGTGTAGCTTTGTGATGCCTTTTGATGCCTTTTGGCCATCTAAACCAGCTGGAAAGTGCTGCTTTTTGAGACATCGTAGAACCAACAAGCCAGGAAAAGTATGAAAGTCCAACACATTTGTGAACAGCCAAGGTTGCTCCTCACACAGCCATAGGCAAACATGGAAATCCAGCTGGAAATCATGGTTCCAGAGAAAGTTGCCCACTCTTCCCATCCTACACATTCCACAGTAGGTATACACTTCGAGACCATCTGAAAATATTTACCCAGTGCCATACAACCGGAGCGGTGCCATGCCGCTGTCGCCCTTTTTGCTGCGACGGAACTTGAGGCGGAGGGCAGCAATGGAGAGGTATATGTTATAGATGACATACATACATACATATATATACATACATACACGGCCTGGATGGGGGTGCTGCCCGGGGAATCTCCCCCGGAAGTGTATTTTAACTGCGCAGAGGCAGTGTTTTTATGCATTTTGGGATGTCGGGCCGGGTGGCCTACCGGCTGACGAGACTTGTTTCCAAAACAACACCCTAACCCTGAAGCCTAAATTTGACATGAAACCCTAAGTAAGCCTTGAAAGTAAAATCTTAGTAAAACACATGGTAAAAAGCCTAAAATAACCCGAAATTAACCCCTCGATAAACCCTAAACAAACCTTAAACAAAACCCCAAACAACCCCTAAACCAACCCTAAACAGTTGGTGACATGATAAAGCTCTGGGCGGAACCCCCGGCCTGGGTGTATATATATATATGTATATATATATACATAATTATATATATACATATACATACACATACAGTAGATGATTTTTGCGACTGTTGGAAACGATGCAGACATCTATTTGTGAATCGGGAACTACAGATCCACAAAAATTCCAAGATGAGAACTTCCTATCATTCAATCAATGTGAATATCCTCGAGCTTCAACCGTTCAAAAACACTCAACACAATGCCAGAGTGTTGCACCTGGTTTGGCGCAAAGACACGGTGCAATTCGAGTCAAATCCTAATTTTATGGGGACATTGAAGGCCATGGTTGCTCATGGGGCATTAGCTGTAGCTACGGCAGCCACATTTTAATTCCCGCAATGCAGGGTTCCAAAATGGTTCCATCCATACACTTCTCAACAAGGCAACATTGTCCTTTACGCTTGTTTTTGACATCGTCTAGGGAGTCAGATTGAAACCCGGCACAACTTAGTTGATCATCATCACACTCCCACAAGCATGAAGTTTCGAAGCCGGAGTCCTAGGGTAAGGCAGCTGGGGCAAATTGTGATGTAATCCTCAACGCGTTGTCCACTGCTCCTGTGGCCGACATGTGGCTCAGCATGCCGGATTACCCAATTTAGGGTTTTCCTCGCTATAGTGAGTAGAAGTCATTGGCCTTCGAGTGATTGTACCAGCTCAACTCTCATAACTTGCTCTGATCATGAGACACATTGCAACTTGTGCACTGCCAAAGTTTTGAACCTGCGGAACTTGTCCACCTGGGCCGGTGCTATTCGTGTCTCCGGAAAAAAACCGGTTACGAGTCGCACGTCGCCCACCTGCTTGGGGTCCTGGACATGGTGACATGACAATGTGACGACATGTGACGACAGGTGACCCACCACCAAAGGTTCCATCAAATGTTGAACAATTTTCAAGAGCATATGAACATATTTGAAGTTTGAAACATTTCGAGTACGTAGAGAGAGAGAGAGATACTCGTACGTCAGGCTTCCTGTTTCATCCATACGCAGTCAGAATTCTGGGCTGATCATTCCGAAATGATGGGAGCAAAAACGACTTGGAGCCGCTTCCTCGTTGGAAAGTCCCTTGAAAAGTTTGTTCCATTCTCCCAGTATCCTTTGAGGCCACAAAGTCTGTGTGACTCACCGACCCCACGCTATCAGGGTCAGGAGCCCAGAGATGGTGATGAATAGGACCCGGGACGTTTGTTGAAGTAAGTTTCAAATAACTTTTCTGCCATAGTCATAGTTCTGCAAATAGAGAGAGTCTTGTGATATCGATATATATATATATGTATATATATACATATATATACATATATATATATACATATATATATATATATTATAGAATATCCTGGTGTCAGCTCCCAAGCTCCGCGTAGATGGCTTGGACACCTGCAGGCAACATCCTGCACGGTCCTGAGAGTTGCCTTTGCCGACCCATAAGAAGCGATTGATTCACCGGGCTTTACTGCTGCAGGTTAGCCGTCAGTGATGCCACCACGAGCAGATCGAGTCATTTACGGCATGTCATTCTGCACGGGGGCTCTGGGACTGCCTTCCTCACATTCGCCACATAGATGCTTAGCATAGCTGAGCATAGCTTCGCATCACAGATTGTGTCGATGAAATTTTTGAAACTTTATTTCTGCCCGACTCTTTGCTTCCATGAGTTGTTTTTGGCATGACCAGCTCTGGAGCCAGGTGAGGATTCACCCAGCATGCTTGGGAGATGATCCGGCACAGGACAGCCACAACCGCCAATCTCCTAGGATATTCCCAGGATGTACAGTGGGAATATCTCTACATATGTTTAGGCATCTTCAAGACTTCAGCATGATACCAGGTCCTAAACAATAGATCCCAACAGCTTCAATAGATCCCTTTTGAACCACAGGGTGGAGCCTTTCAGGATCAAGATTTGGCTCAAGTGGGTGATGACTCGGAAGAGCTTTGATCTCAGCATCCTCAGATCCGGCTGGGTGAAGCAGATGTTCTATGGTTTGTCCCCGACGTGGTCAGAGTTGGTTGGAAATCAAGCTCCCTTTTGTTCCTCACAATCCTACAGATTTGGTCTTGTTCTGAGGCTTGCGAAACTGATGGATGGATCAGGCGCACTTTCAGCATGCGAATTTAAGGGTTTCCAGCGGCAAGATACTGTGAATGTCATGTGGGAGAACTAAAACAACGATGGAGTATGGGTGTGTAGCACCGAGCTGACAAGGAATTTCCCCATATATGTATATATATATAATATAGTATAGTTATAGCAGCCCAAAAGCTTCTTGCTGTGTCTTCAGCTTTTTCTTTGTTTTGCTGAACAGGAAAGACACTGCTGGTAAAGTGCTGCATGTCATTGTGTGTTTGTGATTTGACCAAATCAATCAAATCAATCAAATCAATCAAATCAATCCAATCAATAGTCAATCCACTCAATCCGGTCAATCCAGTCAATCCAATCCAATCAATTAATTCCATTCATAAATCAACAAGAAATCAATCAATCATTGAATGAATAAATGAATCAACAAGCACATAGAAATACACATATCAGATTTATGCCTTCCCCTCTCTCTCTCTCTCTCTTTCCCCCTCTCTCTCTCTCTGATAATCACGTTTATGCTCAAGAGTAGCAAGAGATGCATTTACGGTTGCACAAAGACACACACACACCGGTTGCTTGCCTTTGAATGAAGTGTGTATGTGAGATCTCTTCATCAACTAATTGGATAAAGAGATATAAAGAGGCCACAAAGTTGTTGCAGCTTGTGCCGTTTTGCTGTTTTCTCAAGGCTGGCTCTTGATCCGTTTGGCACTGTCTCCATCAGGTTCTTCCTCCGAATCCACGACCAAAGGAAAAGGGCAGCGTCTTGGCAGCACTTTGGAAGCTCTGGTAGCGATGGCCATGGATCTGCCACACTTGGACCGAGCTCCAAACCTTGACGTAATATTTTTTTTTGTAATAATTCATGATTTTAGAGTTGTTTCACTCGACAATGGACTCAAAATCTTTGAGAGCCTCTCTGAGCAAACTCTAGGACCGAAAAGGGAACGTCCGAAGACATGTTGCAGAGTAAGCTTGACCTTTTGTGCACTGCTTGGTTGCTAGAGCGGAACCTTGCAAAGGGTAGACCAAGTGACGGGTTGCGCAAAGGTGAATGCAAATTCCAACTGGTGGATTGAACAGCCTGATAGATCCATATGATCCATCAACTGCGGATTCCAAGAGCTCACGCGCTCCGGTAAGAAAAGATACCTGTCAAGATCGCGGACCCCAAGGGGATCGTTTAAGTGTTAACAAAGGTAATGCCCGGTTGGCAGTTTGCAATGTGGCTGCTTGGAATTCAGTGTTGATCGGCTGCTAGGTTCCATCAGCAAAGTAATTATTCCCCAGTATTCTCGTCACACCGTGCTTTTCGCACAAAATCATCTAAGATCAGTCTTCACGTGCTTTTACATCTTTCCCCGATGCATTGTTCACCTGAGGCTACCTTTGCACGTTGTGCATCCAAGTCGTGGAAGTGAAAAGCACCACTCTGGCTCCTGCCAACCCTGCAGTTTCTTCTTACGAGGCGAGGAAGGCCAATCTGTGGAGTTTGCTCCACGCAGAGCGAGGCCTCAAGACCTCAGGAAATACATCACCAGAGCTTTGCTACAGTTGTTCAGACGGATTCAGATGGCCGTTTTTCTTTTTGGTCTTATATAAAATCCTTGAAAGATGGAAACACAGTGCCTGCTTCGATGCTTGAAGCTTGCACTTTACTCCCCACTTTGAATCCTTTGACATGTCTGCGAGGCAAGTGCACAGTTGCGGAGGGATGCCTGTACTGTCACTACGAACATGACCGGCACCAGTCTTAGAGCAGAGTTCCGTGGCATTGCAGCAAACTTCCTTTCGCAAGTGCATTGTGAATGGGCGAAGCTTTTCAAAAGATGGACGTCCTCTACCAGTGACTCTACCTACCATGCCATTACCGTGCAAAGATTCCTGGTTTGGTCATGTCAACCCTGGCTTCGAGACTCCCAGGCCACAACGTCCTGGAAAGAAGTCGCGAGAACGTGCCAAACGCCGCATCGCTATTGCCCAGGTGCAGCTGTTTGAATCGAATTTTCTCGTTTGATGTGACAACTTGTAGTAATTCCTTGATGCTAAAAATTAGAGGTGAAGCCACCAGTTATATTGAACATTATATATCATTATATATCATATATATTTATACACACCTTTGTCTGTATGTACGCATGCGTGTGCATTAGTACTTGTGATTTTCTTGTTTTTCGGTTGGGGGGCTCGGATGCTCGACGGACATATCAATGTATCTATCACACAATAGATATGTATGTATTGTATGCGTATATACACACCTCCGTATGTATAAATAACTATATATATATAACTATATATATAATATGTATATATATATATAATATGTATATATATATATATATAATATGTACATTTATAATATGTATATATATATATATATATAATATGTACGTATGTGTATATATATATGTATATGTATATGTATATGTATATATATATTTGTATATGTATATGTATATGTATATGTATATGGATATGGATATGGATATGGATATGTATGTATATGTATATGTATATGTATATGTATATGTACATGTACATGTACATGTACATGTACATGAATATGTATATCCAATATGTATATATATATATATGTAACGTATGTACATATATATATATTATTTAAATGATTATAAATATGTTTCGATCAATACAAATATGTATCTATACACATACATGTATGGGCATGCCTATCTACCCACGTCCAGCGATCTAGCTATCTAGCTACCTAAGAGATGATGGGAAACTGATGACCGACTTGAATGCATGCATGCAAGTTGTAGGTAGAGTCACTTGAACTTGTAGCATACAGCATTGGCGTTGACTGTGGCGACATTTTTGACTCTGTTCCACCTTGGAGGTTTCGCAAAGAGGTGGCTAGATCGTAAGACATCCCCAAGAGAGGTTGGTTTCGTTCCAGATGTCTTACGCAGGTCCACCTTGTGAAGATTTATCATAGACCATGATAACAACATGAAATTATAACCACAAATCACGGAAGGAGCATGAAACACCTTGAGGTTTGATGAATTTTGATGAAGTCTTCAGTGGCTTCGCGTGGCATCTCCACCTGGCACAGTAGCCATCAACATGGTATCGTTAGGAACGTGCTTTGCCTCAGAGTCACTTTGTCACCAGTATATATTGGAACATACTATATATCAATTATAGTATCATATCTATTGACCAAGGACACAGAATCTGTTGTACGCAGCAAGGTGCATTAGTTTGTGAATGATCAAAGCTAGTATACGCTTGGACAGAATCAATTGACATGCTTTGCATTCCGGATGGTATCCATGGCTTCTACACAATTCAGATATGACACTGATTGTATGCGTATCATTTGCACAGGACCGTTTCCATAAATAACATTGATGGATGCATAGCGGGATAGTTGAGTTATGTGGCCTATAACTTGAATAGCAAATATATATCGAATATGTACAAGCCATATATGCCATCAGTATGTGTATATATATATGTATATGTATATGTATATGTATATATATATTTGTATATGTATATGTATATGTATATGTATATGGATATGGATATGGATATGGATATGTATGTATATGTATATGTATATGTATATGTATATGTACATGTACATGTACATGTACATGTACATGAATATGTATATCCAATATGTATATATATATATATGTAACGTATGTACATATATATATATTATTTAAATGATTATAAATATGTTTCGATCAATACAAATATGTATCTATACACATACATGTATGGGCATGCCTATCTACCCACCCACCCATCCATCCACCCATCCACCCATCCACCCATCCACCCATCCACCCATCCACCCATCCACCCATCCACCCATCCATCCATCCATCCATCCATCCATCCACCTGTCCAGCGATCTAGCTATCTAGCTACCTAGCTACCTACCTACACGAGATGATGGGAAACTGATGACCGACTTGTTCGGCCACTTTTATGCATGCATGTATTGAACAAGTTGTAGGTAGAGTCACTTGAACTTGTAGCATACAGTGGGTGTTTGCATTGGCGTTGACTGTGGCGACATTTTTGACTCTGTTCCACCTTGCAATTGAGGTTTCGCAAAGAGGTGGCTAGATCGTAAGACATCCCCAAGAGAGGTTGGTTTCAAACTCTGTTCCAGATGTCTCGGCCAGGCGACGGAACCGAGCTACGCAGGTGGACCACAATTTATGGAGATCTTGTGAAGATTTATCATAGACCATGATAACAAAGGAACATGAAATTATAACCACAAATCACGGAAGGAGCATGAAACACCTTGAGGTTTGATGAATTTTGATGAAGTCTTCAGTGGCTTCGCGTGGCAGGCGCCAACTCTCCACCTGGCACAGTGCCTGGCGCCGTCAGCCATCAACATGGTTTTGGATCGTTACTTACACTGGAACGTGCTTTGCCTCAGAGTCACTTTGTCAGATGAGATTTCTATAGATGACGTTCGATCAGTATACAAGCAACATTAAGTAACAAAACCCATCAGGATTTGACTTCGATACTTACATGCTCAAAGCCTTCGTAGCATCAATCACTTTGGGACAGACCGAAGCGTCCTAGTTCCGGGATGCATGGGTGATCTTGCATAGACCAAGGTATGCAGAATGCCTTTTGGCGGCAAGCAAGGATGAAGGATTGTTGTTTGTGAATCTGCAAAGCTAGATACGCAAAGACAGAATCAATTGACATTCTTTATTCCCTATGGTATCCAGTGGCGGTGGGTGTTTAGACACTTGTCGTTACATACACCTCTTTCTCATTTGGCAGGCTTTCCATGAGATCTAGATTGATGGAGTGCAAGTAGCGGGATTGTAGTTGAGTTTTGTGGCCTCAGAACTTGAAAGCAAAAGGTTCGAAATGGTTCGAAGCCACAGTTGCCATCAAAAATGAATTTCCCTGGCTAAGAGACTCGCAAGACCATGTGCCAGCGGGATCCTGCCATGTCTGGCGCAGATGGTGCTCAGCCGAAACCCGCAGATGCAGAGCGACGGGCAACTACCCGTTTTTCCACCGGAACCAGACTTGCTAGATTTGCCAGACCCACCACCTGGTGTAATCCGGCAGGGTGCCCCAAGGTCTTGACAGGACTTGGATTGGACATAATTTATAATGACTACGAGATGTTGGTTCTCCCTTTGTCAAGCGAGGTTGTTGGCATGTTGACAGGGGCATCCAAGGTATATATATGTATATATATATATAATTATATATACATACACATAGATATTGGTAGGATACATGAACATGAATCATTTTGCTGTACTTGACCCTCTCAGGAAGCCTAGGCTTACAGAATGGACAGTCGCGGTCGCTTCAATCCCACTGGTGGTGATCTCTCCGCTGTGAGGCTATGAGGATCCAGTTGCCATTCTCGACAGGCTTGGGTCGCATCTCAACGAATCCATACAGATCCATGCAATGCAGGTTGTTTGTGCTTGGCCACATTTCTTATATTTTAGTGTACAAGAATCTAAATGAAAAAGTATACCAGTATATATATATATATATACACGTTTATATATATGTGTGGCTATTCCATCTCTTTAAAAGCACGTTTCTTTCCCATCTTGGCCACAGAGCATGCCGATCAGCGCCTGGCTGTGGAGGCCAGTCTTACCATGCCTGCACGATCAGTGAAAGTGCTTGCCTTGCCTTTAAGGTTGGCAAATTCAGCACTGCTTAGATTTCACTCCGTTCGAGTTCCAACTTGAAGCCACCCAGGGGTTGGAAACCAGAATAAACCGTTTGGCCCTTTGCAGCTTCTTTGACATTGGCTGGCCGCACGCTGATTCGAATAATGCCATTTCATTCAAGCCAACTGGCCACTTGGTTGCCTCCAAAGACGGAATTTGAACGGTCCCTGGGCGGAATCCCAGAGGGAGCTTCCCTACCGAGCTGCGGCCCCAGTGTGCTCGCCAGCTTGACCAGTTGCCATCAGTTGCGAACTGTCAGGCTATGGCGGCTCTGGATCATGTCACAATGAGGTAAGGCCAGACACTGGCAAGAATGCATGTGAATCTGTCCATGTTTGGGAGAACCACGCCAGGCAGATGTGGGCAGGAAGGCATACAGACAGGCAAAGATATTTTGAAGGATTCAACGCGAGACTCAATCTTTTTTCCCTTGCCCTTATTACATGCTTTGAAACGCTCATGTTGGATGTGGTCTCATGAGTATTCCCATCGCATGTCCCATATACATCCATATACTTGCATGATGTCCATGATGCAAACCTCGAGAATCTAAATTTAACTGCAAAACATGTGTCATTACATATTTATACACACCTAGAAAAAATGAGGCTAGTGCAAATACATGCCAACGTAAACATGTACTGACTCAGACATATCCATCAGGAATCCCATGCAGATCTTAATCCAAGCTAGTTGCTGGCCGCAGCTCCTCTCACCGTAAAGCCAGGGATGCGCTGGCAGCAACAGTTTTTCGGATGTATCCAGCAAAATCCGATCTGGACCAAGTCTCCTGGAAGAATTTCTCAAGACTGATGATTATTCTTGCCACGTGATCAATTGCTTTTCTTGCTTGGATAAGACTTATTTTTTTGCAAAGTTGTTTCCAAGAGTACCCAATTTTGGATGGCTGCCCTGCAGTGACTTCCCTGAACTTCAGTTACGACACACAATTTTTGAGCCATCCGCACCAAGAGCGACGGATTGGCACTTGCAAAGCACCGCCGAAAACCATGACGTTTATCTTATCGGTGCTTCATGTGAGCTTCATAAGTCTGAATTTTCTCCATCCGCTAACAGCGGCAAACAGCGGGCCACCCTCGAGTGACTCCGTTCAGCATTGGCTGCGGAGTTGGTAGATGACGAGAAGGTAAATGGAACATTCAGTGTCAATCGCAAGGACCTGTGCAGCCAACATGGTCGTGGTCTTGCTCATCAGATATATCATTGACATATCTGAAATCCTTCAGGCTGTGCTTGCCAAGAGAGGGTGAGCTGCAGACCAGCTGTTTGCGTGCGCTGTTCCAATGCACCATTGAGTGACCTGAAGCGTATTTGTCCAGGTTCGCGGGTCGCGTCTTCTTGCAGGATGTTGATTGTTTCCAGGGATAAGATGATCCTGTCTGCCTTGATTCAAGATTTCCAACTTGAAGGATGGAATATCGGAATTATTCAGGAAGACGCATCCCACTAAGACGCATCCCACTCATTTTGCAAGATTTGCAAGGTTTTGAACCTCTGAAGAATTTTGTTTGGCGTTAGTTTAAAGGCATCAAGCCAATTGTGAAACTGAACCAGCAGGTGGAATACCCATCACTCATTTTAGGTTTGTTTGCAGAGTGTTGACAAAGGGATCCTTTTCTCCCCTGTCTTGATGCCTTTTCTCCCCTGGTGACTGCCTTCGTCGTGCGAGTTGCTTTTACGATCCGATGCGCAACGGGTCGGGAGCATTTGCATGCAGAGCCCGATGAAAGAGGGACTGCCTAAAGGAGCTCGATCAAGGTCTTACATGGCCCCTACGACGCCTTACAAGGCCCTACAACGCGGTACAGGTACTCGTACAAGTTCTCACAGCTACTCGCAGGTCACAAGCAGAAAAACAAGATTAGATGAACGATGATGAACGTTTATGTGACAATTTAAGGCCTTTTGAGCCCAAAAAGTACAAATGGGAGGCCATCCCAGCCCGAAAGATTCGCGCTTCGGAGCCACCTCAGCCAGTGTTGCTGGTCAGCACGCAGTAGCTTCGGGTTGTAAAATCTACCTTTTAGGTGAAGACATGTTGTGCCAGATCGGCCTGAACTTGCAAAAAGTGGAACTAGCAGCATCTTTCGTGGCTTTAGAAGGAAAATTAGGGACAACCGAGAATCTGTTGATGTAATGTGATTGTGATGTAATGAACGAGCTCCTTCGCACTCCCGCTCTATTCATAGATTCGTCCGGGTTGGTGGTCAAAGTCGGCAAGTTAAAAGTGACCCTGGCGGCAAAGGCTGGTGGGGTGACATGAAACGTGGGTTGCCTTCTGTTCACGACTGAACGCGCGCACTCTTCACAAGACTGTGACCCTCAAGCCCATAGGTCCTTAGTCATGCAGATTTTCCGTACCAGTCACGCATGGTGTTGGGTGGAAATCTGATGAGATTTAATAATTTAACCATAGAGCCACAGACAGCTGAAATTTGTAGCACCGGAAGATGCTGGAAGATTGAACAGACCATAAATCTTTGGAGCTATATATCTAGTTTTGATCAATTGCGATCCTTTGGAATTTGGGGTTCAAGGGAGCTCCCACTGGGTGCAACTGACCCTTGGCATCACTAGCCATGGTCCAATCTAACAAGTGGATCAACGGTGCCAGGTGGGGGCTGCTTGTCTTGGTCTTTCTCCTCAGTGATGCTTAGGTTGAGCTTGTTAGAGACAGGTTGCAGGATTGAGCTTCAGAGTGTATACTGAATATACAAATAGACACAATACATATGACAATAGTGATAAAATGTGATAAGAACAAAAACGTAAACACAGATGGTAATTATTAGGAAACCACACGATAACACTAGCCGTAATAAAGACTGACCAAATGAATAACAACATCCTAATTCAGCTTGATAGTATATGTGCATGTGCAACTTTACAGGTCGCATGGCTGGCGACCCTGTGGTTGCAACTGCCGAGGCAGCTTCCACTGTATGCCCTGGTTTGAGGAGAGCGCCCCAGTGTCAAGACTCCGCTTGCGCTCGCCTTCTGTGCTACAGTAGCTGATCCGTTCCAGTTGTCTTAAGCAACTTTGTGATGTCTTGGCAAATGACATTTTGATTCAATCCTTGGGAGACTTGAGAGCTGCGAGTGCAGACAAACACACACACACACAAACATCCTTTTGTGCAGAAAAAACAGACACAGACACACGTGCTACCAATTTTTGCAGATTTTGCTTTGTTCAAGCACACGGATACCGCCCCCCCCACCCACCCACACTTGAAAGACCGCAAGTCCCCGATGGTTTGATTGATTACTCGATTGAGTTATGGGAAATTCCCATGAAGGCCTTGCGAAGCGCCGTAAGACGACATGGGCGGTTTTTGGCTTGGCCACCTTGCCATGATACAGAATTGATGTTGAAAACTGCTGCATCTCGAATCGAAAAATGGAAACTTCATAGTTCAGAACAGGTACATGGATTCTGCATCCCGAATCCATATCAGCGACTTGTAACAGCCTCTTCAAGTCAGGCAGTCCCCCTTTTTTGAAAATTGAAAACTGAGAAAAGCCCTTAGAAACAGGGATCGAAACACGCATACACGCACACACACACACTCACACCCATATGCAAGCTGCACCAGCCTGGCCGCATACATTGAACTTGTGCATGATCCTTTCCACTTGCATCAGCATCATATGGGTTTGAAACGTAGGTAGAAAAGAACCGAACACAATTTGGCAAACACACACAAGCAGATCAGGTCACTTTTTGCAGTGGTGGAGAAAACTGAGAAGAGACGACAAAGAGATGATCTCTACGGCGATTCGTGGGATGTTGGTCCGGGAGCTCGGTACGACATTTTTCTGACCGAGGACAAACTGGTCTTGGATCTATTCCCTGCTGGAGAAAGGTCAAGAAGAGTTCTCAATCACAACTTGTTTTATGCTTGGAAAAATTGTAATTAGATAAGGACGGGTCCAGTCAAACTGTAGCTTAGTACACCTCCATGGAATGCAACACTTGTTGACTTCCCGTCGCTGAAGCGGTTTGGGGCAAAGTCAGCACTGACAGAAGAATGCAAGTTGGTGATTGCAGAGAGGCCCGGATGGACACTGGAAACCTCCTCCAGTGTCAGAAGGAGGAAAATGGGTTGGACGGTGGAGTTGATTTCCATTCTTTGGTTTGTTGTAGTTTGCTGTGCGGGATCGGCTTCGACATGTTTGTGAAAAAACTCTTTTCAGATCTGCATGTGTTTCATCCTGATTCATCCCTGTATTTGTTTAGTAGGAAGTGGTTTCTGAAAGTCGGGTTGTATACATGGCATAGGGGCCTCTGCACAGACAGAGTTTGCCAATTTTCCAACGACCAATCTGGCGACTTTTATGTTTTTGCTCATGTGAATTAATGGCACTGGCATTTCTGTCAGCACTTCAGATAAACGGGGATCTCCTGGCACTTTCCCATCTTACCAATGGAATTTGCCGAAGCAGGACCAACAGCGAGACTTGCAGAAGTGCCTAGAAGTTATGAGGCAAGAGCGACACTGATATTGATCCTGCTGAGGATGCTTTTACTCAAATTATGTAGAAGAAATATTGAATAGATTGGACGAATGTACAGCCACAACCAGTCATTTCTGCAAGACCCTAGCTTGATGCTTAAGATAGAAACGCATGCTTGCTACCTACTGTACTCTTTTGAACGGAGAAGCATCAATCCACAAAGAATCTCATGGTGCCTTGTCAACAAAGCACACGTGAACTCTTCACTTTCTGTCTGCGAACCTCCTTAGAAGCAATGCACATGCGAAATGGAAACTGCAGGGCACTATGAGACAACTTGAGATGCTTCACACACACACACATCTCAGATTCAAGAATCCTCCGGTACTCAGAAGGCGATGTGTCTGTATTGTGGCCCTGGCAATGCAAGTCTGTTTTGACCGCTGAATTGAGAGATGATACCACGAATATTTACCATCCCCCGCACATCGAAGGCCTTCTACGAAACAGCTGATGATGCCATGCGCCCGGACCTCGTCACCTTGCGACTGAATGAGCTGTAACTTGTCAGATCATTTGATCGCTTCCCACAGAAAACTTGGGATGCTACTTTCTTCATGTGGAAAAACATATAGACCCTAGACATCCCTAGACATCCCTAGACATCCCTAGACATCCCTAGACATCCCTAGACATCCCTAGACATCCCTAGACATCCCTAGACCTCCGTGGCAGAGGGTGAGTTTTTGGTGTGCCCTACCAGGTAGTTGGCTCTCTGAGGTGCCCAAGACGAGCTCGATGGCCTCGCCTTGCGTGGCGTTTCTGTCAGGGTGGGCGCTCTTGTCACTGTCACAGTAGTCTTTCTGAGTTTCAAATGTTTCAAGCACGCAATTCCAGACTAGTAATGATTGGTATCCTTCAGCAAATCAACATAATTAGATTACTCAGAATCAGATGCAATGAGATGGACTTGGGTTGACACGTTGACACTGATTTGATCTTCCAGGTGACCTGGCCAAAGGAAAAGTTTGCAAGGAAAGAGCCTGGCATGGCAGGGAGTCCCAGTGATACCAAGCCATGTGTGTCTTGTCATGTCTTGAATAGAAATGGTTCCACATTTCATAGTTCTCTATAGATGTTTGTACTTGTGTGTGTATACGTATATGTATATATATAATATATATATATGCATTCATGATAATTATGCGCATACATGTCCGTACATACATTGGTTGTGTGTATAAACGAAAAAACCAGCCACAGGGACAGGCAGGCAGCCGCCAGACAACAGATGGATGGATGGACGGATGCAAGGGTGGAAGAGCAGATAGAAAGACAGACCAATCTGTAGATGGATAGAAAATGATAGAAAGGCATCTTTTCAGGTAGCTAATATATATATATATAATATAATATCATATTGATACAATATATTATACATATTATATGATACAGATCTAAAATACGTATTTATGTATCTCGACTCAACATGCACAACATCAATGGGTCACGCCGCAGATTCGCAGCCAAAGGCTTCTATTTGCATAGAATATCATAGGATCAATAGGGTATGGTTGGCCAAAAGGTCTTCTATAATAATCTCTGACCTTTGGCACTGCACCGAATCGTCCTTAAATAAATAAATGATAAGTAAATAAATATATACATAAATATATATATATATACATTTCTGTATATTTTCATAAATTCATCTTGCAGCGGTACCGGCCTGTGCTGTTTGCACATCTGAGCGAAGATTCAGGTGAATGTGCAAGGCGTGATTGGTGGAGTACCTGATGAAGAGGCCGCCTTCTTCAGCTTTGTGGAACATGTGTAGCTCAGTGTACAAAAACCTACAATCTGCGGATCTGTTTCTTAAATCTGCTGTGGCCGCATCTTCCAGAGCTTCCACAGGTCAAGGAATTCCTTACCCAAGCTGGAAAAGTTCGATCCCTCAGGCCATGAATTGGACGGAATGCGTAAACCGTATAAACTGCAGTAAGTTTCACAGCTAAAGTGTGTTATTGGCCGTACAGGATAGGCTCTGGAAGCAAGGATCCTTCGCTCGACGGTAAAGATCTGCAGCGCTGAGCCGTTCCTTTGCCAGGAGATACAAGGACATCCGATTTGGCGAGGCGCCGTGGCTTTGTCCAGGTTTACCTGGTTTACCTCTGCCTCGATATGTAGGAGGTGATCCAACGAATGATTGAAGAAACATGGCTGTATTATGCGGTATTCTCAGAGACCTGCCAGTTTGCTATGAGTCATGTCTATGCCAGGTGTTGTTCAAAAATGAGGATGACGCTTGGAACGCCAGCGACACAGACATTTTTGGAGTCAGATAGTCGAATTTGCCGCAGTTTCCACTGCTTGTAGAAGGTCTCCTGAAATGTGCAGGCCAAAGTAGAGCTGGAGGGTACCACTTTGTTGGGAAAGATACTTCGCCTTGAGCTGCTTGTTTGCAAAATTCGATGAAGCCTTGGGCAGGCGCATCTGATTTGACCTTGATGGGATCTTATGATGTTTGGTACAAGCCTGCGTAGCCAGTCTGACAAAATCTCGGTGTACTTGGTTACTTGGGAGGTCCTGGTAGTTCACCCTGGTTACCCCAAAGGTTTGGCCTTCAAAGCTAGGCAGTGGAATACTTTGAAATTTGTTGGAGGGCAAGAGAAAAAACAAGAGCATTTTTCATTAACTTGGTACTGGTACAGTTCAAGTCAACCGCGAAACCTTTGGCAACATTTGATTTGAAGGCAAGTCTTTGAAGTTTGCCCCTGCCATTAGGCTGTGATCTTCCAAATGGACGGATTCACACTAGTTTTGTTTTACTTCCAAAATCTTGGAACTTCCAGATCATCACTCCATGACATGCCGTTTTGCACTATGCAATGTTTTGTGCCACCTCCGGTAAGGTTAGACTGCTCAACGAATAAGTTGGACAAGGCAAGCGGTCCTTTGTTTGGGGAAGATTGCGTACAGGAAATATCAGGAACATGATGAATTTTGCATGAGTTGGAATACAGATCAGTCGCTGCATCTACTACTTAAAACACTATGTTTCCCGTTGAAGATGCTTCTGGTTGTGCAGCATCTTAGATCATACACAGTTGATCACAGCCAATATGTGTGCAAATACACACTTCTCCAACTATCGAGACCTATAGACTTCCTTCTGTCCCACTTTTCACTAGCTTCGGCACTACAGAAATACATGTTGGGGACCCTACTGCTAAGGTCCTGGTACATGGTCTTAGCTTTTGCACGACCTGGCAGGACTGCAGGAGTTTGTAAAGGCAAAAGATTGGAAAGATTAGATTCGTTTTAGCTTGACATTGATGCTTTGCTTTGTTTACAATGTCTACAGGGCCCTTACGTGCCCTTTCTGCTATGGGATGAATTTCAATTATGGGACCAGTGGATTGGCATGTGCATGCCTGCTGCCTCGGAAGCATCACTGCTGAACTGGAATGGCACCAAAATGCTCTTCGCTTTAAGCTGCATTTTCAGTGCGGCATGAAAGTCCTGTACGCTAGATATCGTTGGAATTTAGCAGCATGGACAGCATGGCAGAGCGAAGTCATTGTAGATTTGCCAAGGACTTTGGCCCCTTTGAAGTGAGAAGTTTTGTGTCGCTCATACTTTTCACCGGAAACCATTTTCCTACATTAGATTTCATAGAATTATTTTGGATCACATGAACTCCAATTGCTTCAATCGCTGCTTCAATCGCTCATGCTATGGCTTTGTACACCGCCTTGGAAGACACCAATGGCATCTCCGAGACCGTCCGCAAGGTGCCGCCAAGTTGGGATGGAAATAGCAGGAAGTCGCATCTCACAGGTCCCACATGGACACAGTATGACACTGTAATCAGTTTTTTTTTTTCTCAAGGGCACACACCATTGAACATATATGAATTATAATATGAAGATAGATGAATAACACATACATTACAAAGAGCTTGAGCTGTTCGGATTTGTTTCCACGTAAAGTCAGATCTGGTGCAACACTATGCACAAAGAACCACAAAAAACAACTTCAAGCCATGCACAGGTCAGTGAGGACCTGGGTGAGCCAGCACCAAAGGTTGATGTGCTGGCGACCAAGGGACGATGGCATGGTGTGACTCGACGCTTCAGTGAGCGAAAAAACCGTCTGACCATGGGAAAAAAATTGACCAAACCGACTTGCGAAGTGTTATTGAGACTCATTGAGACTCATTGAGACTCATTGAGACTCATTGAGACTCATTGATATTTTTGAGAAGCAGGATTGGGACCCTGAACTCTGGTTGCAGCATCTCAGTCCCCAGGTCCTCTACGGTTTCTGGCCTACATTGATTTGGTCATTTCTTATCCTTGAAGCTTGGACCTGCGCAGAAACCAAAGGATTGATCAGTGTTCAGAAGCCAATTCTTGTGCCGAAGTCCTTTGCACAGTTTGCACAGTCTCCTTCAGCCTGAGGCCTGCCTCATTGCCCTGAATGTGGCATGGGACTTGGATGGTTCTTTGGGCTTCAGCGATTTGGATTCCAGGACCATGTCCGTACTTGGGTGGATTTGCACAGCAATTGCCTTCTTTGGAGGCTGAATCCACACGTTTAGTGAAGCACAGCCCTAGCATTTTGCATCATTTTACAAAATTTTACAGCTTCAAACTGTGGCTTCAAAATGAGCTGCCACCAGCTTGAGAAAGTTGCGATCCTGTAACAGCAAGCGACTCAAAGTAAAGATCGGGCAATGGTCAATAATACCCGCCGATCTTTGAAGATTTGTGAAACCATCTCACAATCATCTCACTTTATCTTCTAATTTCTACTAGCAATATATGGTACTAGTACTAATGTACATAATGTACTCACTTCATGAGCACAAAAGACCGTCTACCAAATGCGCCAGATCTTGATGCCTTTTGGATCTCTGGGACATTCTGTTTCTGGCGTCCAAGCCTCACAGCCCTGGTGAGGACTGCAGTGGAAAGCTCTTCGATCCTGCCAAATGCTAAAGCACTTCTTCTCACACGATTTGTCCCTGGGCAGCGTGGGCAATAAGAGCAATCTCACTGCGGATGGTGTGATTTTGGACAATTCGGTATCGATCATAGCACTTTTTTTTGTCAGATTTGTTTGATAACCTATTTGACTGATTGATTGACCCAGTGCAAGAAAAGGCTACAAACGGTATGGGTACAAAAATGCTGTAGTAAGAAGTGTGCGTGCCATGCAAAGAAAGTTGTGCTGATTTCAATGCTTGTAGATGTCCTCTCTTACTCCAATGGCACCACTTTCCCACCAGTCAGGATGTGCAGTTTGAAAAGTGGGGTGTTCAGGTTCCAGCCTGCACGGTCTGTGTGAGGCAAGCCTCATCCTGACCTTCCTCCCCTGCGCAGTTGCTGTGAAGAACTATCGACAGCGGCAGAAAGACTCTTCAAAGCACACCAGATGTCAGAGTCAAGTAGGAGCAGGGTACTTCTACTACATAATGGGTCGACTTGAATTGCATCTTGCAGTGATCTTGCATGATCTTGAACAGTGGCTATGAGGAGTGCGAGGTTCAGTCGAACTTCTCCTTTTCGCAGAGATTGTAGCCTGATTTTCAAGATCTGATGCCTTTCTTGCAGATACTGCTGTGGTTTGTTTGACCACCCTGCAATCAACTAAGGACACCCCGGCTTTTGAAGGAAAACCATGAAAACAATACATTCACATGCAGCAGACTGACCCAGCTGCAACTTCTTTGGTCTTCAAGACTATATATGAGAACCATGTTACCGTGTTCTTAGTTGTTTCTCCTCATGTTTGCCACAGCTACCAAGGATGCCGGGGAACCCTTGATTCTTGCTGGACTGGAAGTTCTTTTGACCTTTTGCACCCTCTGGACTGTGCTGGGCTTCGGGTGATAAACTTTTGAGTACGAACGAAGACCATGCCAATTTCTTGCGGCCTTTCTTGTTTTAGAGTCTCTGCATCGCAAACGACACATTTTACCAAAATCGAACTATATAGGGTATGGGGCAAAAAGCTTGTATTTTGATCATTTTGGCGAACCATGGGCAAGGTTTGAGCTTCACAAGTCTGGTAGTTGTCTCTTCAACTGCTCGGTTTCTCCCTGTCACATGGCCACACCAGATACACTGCTGGGGTCCATCCATTTGGCTGCAGAAATTCATTTGAACTGGATTTTAAAGATAAATGCAATACACAAGCATACTGGTACATTTTGAGACTGGGTTCTTCTTCAGCTTGATGGCGACTGGTTCGACGATCTACAAATGCCTTCAGGACCATCAAAAGTGCAATTAGTAACTTGGAGCACGGCCTTTAGATGGCCGTGTTTTTTTTTTAATGAATGGGATGTTGTTGATCATGTTTGATGTGCTCGTGCCAATAGGAATGTGTGTGATTTTATTTCTAAGGTCATAAACCCCTTATTCACAAGCAGTAGAACGAAAACAGTCATTTCGCCAAAACCAAATCACCATTTTTGGGTTTTCTGGCCAACCTGAAACTAATTCATCGTCACATGTTATTAGCCGTCTTTTGGTCAGAGCAGCGCCTCCAGTTCTTCCAAGAACCTTTTAGGATCTGGACTCTGTAAGCTTGAACGCAAGCAAAACGTGAACACATAATGTGTCACGGAGGGTGCGTAGCATGACCCACATACGATAGCGTAGCATGACCCATGAGTGCAAAGTTCAAGAGAACATGCGTAGCATAGCATGACGCATGAATGCAAAGTTCAAGAGAACATACAATAGCGTAGCATGACGCAGGAGTGCAAAGTTCAAGAGAACAAACAGTACCGCAGCATGACGCATGAGCGCAAAGTTCAAGAGAACATGCAGTAAAGTAGCATGACGCATGAGTGCACACTTCAAGAGAACATACAATAGCGTAGCATGACGCATGAATGAAAAGTTAAAGAGAACATACAACAGAGTAGCATGACGCATGAATGCAAAGTTCAAGAGAACAAACAGTAGCGTAGAATGACGCATGAGTGCAAAGTTCAAGAGAACATACAGTACCGAAGCATGACGCATGAGTGCAAAGTCTAACATACAGTAGCGTAGCATGACGCATGAGTGCAAAGTGCAAGAGAACATATAGCGTAGCATGATGCATGAATGCAAAGTTCAAGAGAACACACAATAGCGTAGCATGACGCATGAATGCAAAGTTCAAGAGAACAAACAGTACCATGACGCATGAGTGAAAAGTTCAAGAGAACATGCCATAGCGTAGCATGACGCATGAATGCAAAGTTCAAGAGAACATATGAAAGCGTAGCATGACGCAGGAGTGCAAAGTTCAAGAGAACAAACAGTACCGAAGCATGACGCATGAGTGCGAAGTCTAACATACAGTAGCGTAGCATGACGCATGAGTGCACACTTCAAGAGAACATACAATAGCGTAGCATGACCCATGAGTGCAAAGTTCAAGAGAACATACAATAGTGTAGCATGACGCATGAATGCAAAGTTCAAGAGAACATATAGCGTAGCATGACGCATGAATGCAAAGTTCAAGAGAACATACAATAGCGTAGCATGATGCATGAATGCAAAGTTTAAGAGAACAAACAGTAGCGTAGCATGACGCATGAGTGCAAAGTTCAAGAGAACATACAGTACCGAAGCATGACGCATGAGTGCAAAGTCTCATAAGAGAGCATATATAACGTAGCATGACGCATGAATGCAAAGTTCAAGAGAACATACAATAGTGTAGCATGACGCATGAATGCAAAGTTCAAGAGAACAAACAGTAGCGTAACATGACGCATGAGTGCAAAGTTCAAGAGAACAAACAGTAGCATAGCATGACCCATGAACGCAAAGCTCAAGAAAACATAGAGTAGCGTAGCATGACCTATGAAAGAGAGAGCCATGGACGTTATTATCCCACCCCACCGCACCCCACCCATGAATACATGCACCTGCCAGCAGCCACAGAGTAGCATGTCCTTGCCATGACGTTATTACCCACCCCACCGCACCCCACCCATGAATACATGCACCTGCCGGCAGCCAAAGTTAGCATGTCTTCCTCTGCAAGTTCACATGAACGTTAATACTTGCCCGCCCCACCCCACCCCACCCAACGTCAACAAAACACCACGGCCGTCTACAGGCCGTGGTCCAACTGGACTCTGGTCCGTTCTTGTGCGGCCCTTCCCTTCAGCTTCAAGCTACCAACAAACAGCAATCACCTGTGGTGGAGGACTTGGTGCTTGAAGATCTTCTACTTCTTTTTTGCAACCTGTGCCTTAGTTGAAGTCAGCTTCCGTGCAACTCCTGTCCTCATGATGAGTCAACGTCAGAGTTTGGCCTAGTACATTGATCGAGGCGCCAGCGCTCTTTATGTTTGCTTTGCTTGGGTACCTCCATTTTTTGTGACGGCTGGACTTTGGATTGTCTTTGACATGGACGCTTGGCGCATACTTCAATATACATATGATACATCGCTGTATCACTCCATATTCTGCTTTGCCGGAGATCCAGATCTCAAACATGCTCCTGTCTGATTCACTTGAGAGCTTATTTGTTCATTGGTGCCTGCGCCCCAAGCCCAGGCCTTCGGCATGGCATGGCTGATCTTTTGGGCGGTGTGGGTCTTCTTGTTGCCTTTCGCCTTCGTGTCCGGGCCACTTGGTGGTTGACAGGTGGGCTTAAGGTCCTTATGGATCAGAATTGTGGATCATCATGGAATAGTATAATATCATGGAGTATCATGGACTTGCCCAACACGCGACTCCTGCAAAACTTAAACCTATCGAAACACCTGAAGCTGGGGCGTTTTGGAGGTTGTGACATTTCACAGCACCCCATGTCCCTCGCTCAACTTTGGGTTGTTTCAGTCGTTTCAGTGCAAAATAACAATTCATCGCAAGATATCAGTCATAAACCATCATAAAACCTTGTTGTTCATGCCTTGAAATGCCGTAATAATCTGTATCCACGTTTACTTGGGTGTTTTCACATGCATATGTACTGACTAAGAATTGCCGAGGGAAAAAAGGTGGCACCAAGCTGTTTGGTATGGATCAACCCTGTCCAGAAAACAACTTGTTTGTGCTCACCCGCGAAAGCATTAGGAACAAGGCGGCTGTCGACGAGATGTCTCTTGATTGCACGGCATGCAGGTGGTGGATCATGCCACAACAATTGACCCGCAACACCACACTGTTTCTTTGCGAAGAAGGCAACACAATTATTGCTTCTTCCCCTTTAGTCACTGTAGTCTGTGGAAGAGGATACTCAGGCGGAAATGTCTCTTTAGTGAGGGTGATAAGACAAAGTTGTTGGGCTTTCTCTTGCGTCCAGGTTATCAATCCTTCCCTTCTACCTGCACAATGCCAACGTGGTCTTGATGATGGTCGAGCTGATTTGTTCGCGCTGGACAATGCTCCTTGCTCTGGTCGGTCACGGGTGCTCCAGGGCACCAGGACCAAACCAACACATGAGCGTAAAGATAGCAGATAGCTGCAAAGCTACACTCGCATGTGGGCAGATTCACAGCAAAACGTGAGAACGTGCTGTAATATACTAGAAGAACGGGTCAGAACAAAGAGTCGTTAGGGAATGTTAGGGAGATTCCCAAATGGGAACTGTTGGACACCTGGATTTCGAGGGTATCCCTTGCAGTTGGGACTCGATGATGAGTTTGCACATCTGCCCAATAACAATGATAATAATCATCATAACATATCATAACTATAACTGTAATAATAATAATCATCATAATGGTAATCATGATCATAGTAGTAATAATAGTAACAATAGTAGTAGTGACGGCAATAATAACAGTGAGCAGAATGATAATAATGATGAAAATACTGATAATCATAACAATGATAGTAATGATCACGATAAAAACTAACAATACCATATGTGGCTGGATGTAGGGCGAGTATGTTACCCTTCATGGAGTGTCTTGCAGCGATGTTGCAGCTGAGGAATCTGGAGCATAGCATCTTCCCAGTGTACTTTGCACTGTCCTACCTGTACTTCAACTGGTGGCTCTACTCCAAAATCCATATCTGGATCTACTTCTTCCTGGACTATGACAGGCTAGATTTGGGACAGGAAGTCAATATCACGTAAATGAGGAGTACGGCATGCTTTACTTGATACTCCAATAGATAGCAGACAGAAGAAGTCATCAGCTCCACTGGTGAGTAGAAGAAAGAGAGGTCGCGATTCACCAAATATGTGTTATATAAATTTATATAATATATATATATATGTTGATAAGTTATAAGGTATTCATTGGTATCAGTTCCATCATGTATTTTGACCCTGCATGACCCTGGAGGCCATCTTCGGTGCCGGTCTGCTTGACCCTTTGCGGAGTCACGGTCGCATCCTTTTCCCAGGGTGCTAAGTTGGCAGGCTATGTCACGCATCTCATGCGGCCGTGAACAAAAATGTCCGGGAATTTGTGGGAGTTTATGTGGCCTCAAGAAGTCAAGGCTGTAAAGTGCTTATTGTATCTTATTGTAACAAATAAACAAATATGCGGTCAAATATGGTCAAATATGGTCAAATGCTAATTATAGTTATACAATTATACAGTAGTTATACAGATTGAGATTGCATCAGAATCACCATGCTGGCAGTGGCAGTTCCCAAGCTGCGCAGGACCTCAAGGATCACTTCCTTCCCATGGGCGACATCAGCTTTTGCACCATCCATGGAGGCTGAAACGGAGGTGTCATTGAACGGTTATTGAGGCTGTTGTGTCCAAATGGACCTGGCAATGTCCACATTAACATCCACATTAACATCAGTCAATATCAGTCATTTACAGAAGTGCCTTTTCATGTGGACGCCGTGGTAGCCGTGGTTCCATTCCCCTCGGCTGCAGCTTCGCGAACTGCGCGATTGAGCTTTCCAGATGCGAAGTCGGTTGGGGAGCCCGGCTGAAGAGATCGAGAGAGCGAACAGAATGACAGCCCGAAACAGTCGCTTAGTGGAAAGATAAAAAACGTCAAAGTCTGGCCATCGGGCTCTGACTTGATAGAAATCTATGGCTGGTAAAGTCAACTGATGTTCAAGAAATAGTGCAGTTCAAAATCCTTCCGAATTTATTCAAATATATAATCCTCCACTCATTTGCGTGCATTCTGGCTTGGCCCACTCCATGTATCCTGCTAGTTCCCCGAAAAAACATAAAGGCAAGCTATGAGTGTTTGAAAAGCCATGAAAAGCCTGCGCTGCTTCGCTCACGGTGCCACAGGCTGCGTCGGCCGTCAAGGAGTTGTCAAGGCCCTGCAGATCTGGGATCTTGTGGGTTGCCCAACGCAAATGATTTATACCGATTTGGAGTCCAGATTTTGGACCGATTTGATGCATCCATAGCAATAGAAAGACAGCTCGAATCTCACTTCAGCCATCAGACTATACTGCAGCATCGTCGTACAAGGATGATCCTTTCAGAACTTGTCAGAACTTTTCAGAAAATCTTGCAAGTCTGGTTGGATTGGGAAATGACTTCGCAGTTGAAGTCGCAGGTCATCCATTGAGGGTTTCAGCAACGAGATCAAAGTGTCGCCTGACTCAGTCGTCCAGTCGTCCAAAATGTGGTGTTTCGTATTGGTCGAAGTTGTGTCCAAGATGCTGAGGACATATCCATACCACCGGGCACAGACAGAGGCCGAAAAAGTTCGCCCAGGAGAAAAACAGATCCAAGAACGATGAATCATCATGAAGAGTTTCTGAAGGACTTGATGAATGCAAAACTAGAATGGCATTTCAATTTCAATAGATCTATACTGGACAACATGAGAGTTGATATATATATAGACATCAAAATTTCATAAAAAAAATACATGGGCATGAAACAGCATCTCATCCACATTGGCTGTTCTATTGTTGAAACTGTTGAAACTTAAGGGACTTTTGCGGGTAGCATTCGGGTAGCATTCGGGTAGCTTCAGTGCGCCAGGTGCGGGTGTCCTGTTTGGACAAGGAGGTCACTGAAGATCAGCTTCGAATGCCTGGTAACCTATTGATCCAGCTCCAATCAGCTCCTGGGAAGCCACAGATCCTGTCCTGCCAAGGCACTTCGAAAAAGCAGGCGGCATGATCCATGGCTCAATGGGGCACCTGAGGAAGCCTCGGCATCATGTAGAACAAGACTCATCAGACATTCCAACTCCAACCACACTTCTGGAGCTTTCGGAGTTTCTCACAGGGAAGGAAATCCGATGTCGTTTGTTGTTCTTTGTTGTCCTCCCCATAGATGTGATAGATGTGAAAACAGATGAGCTGAAACACAGCATCTACACTTGCTGTCACGATGGAGAATGTGTCTTTCCTTTCCTACTTTCCGCCTATCCTTTCACCTGCGCACCTTCCAGACTTGCATACACATATTATATATATACATAAACAGGGGCCAACAGGCCCAAACACAGAAGGGAACTAGCAAACAGACAAAGAGCACAAGAGCATGCGCCTGTACTTTTTGCAAGCTTCGATTTTCAGGCAGGCAGCAAACCGTAGGAACACAGGGAGCACGCCCAGTGCAGCATCTGCGACCAGGTCCGGTCGACGTGGTGGAGTTTATCGCTGAGGAGCTGCCCCCTGAGTTCAAAGAGCGCCGCATTCAGTCTTGAGAGCCGTGTAGCCCAAAAAGCGCCGACACGATTCGGGATGGTTGGGAGAGTGACATTTCTTTCAACATCTCGGGGCCCAAACAAGTTCAGGAAGATTGCCTGGCTATTCTGGACTTGAAGCAACTACCTCGTCCTTTGTAACGCACGATATTTGCCTCCAAATTGTCCATGAACGCTGCGGATCTTGGAATGTTCCTGATTGCCATTGTGGTTCAAAGTATCCTGCACCATCAGCAGGGAGGGAGCGGCAGGCAGGAAAGTGCATAAGTGGCAGACTTGATTCGGGAGGATTGCCACATAGAGTGTAGGAACATCAATGACGCATCCGGGATACCGAATCGCAATGACATGGTTTCACTAACAACAAACAGTTTGTAACAGCCATCGCAGCCTTATAAAACCGCGTTCCCGGATATTGTTTGATGCATTTGCTGAGCCTTGTCAACGAATCATCGCCTATGGAAGTCATCCGACCAACCCTGGGATCTTACAAAGCTTGATGAAAGTCTTGGATGTCTTTGGTTTTTCTTTGGTTTTTCTTTGGATCGAGTTGTTTCACATTTAGGAACAGGATGGCGCGGGCATCAAGTGTCACCGGTATTCCAGCAAGCATTAAGTCTTTGAATAGGCAGGTTCCTCTGCTCTTAATGTAAACACCAGGGTCGCACTCTGGCTAGCTTGGCGCCAGGGCAGACGCCAGCCGATCATGGGCCTGGATGCCCAGCCTTGTTCAAGTTGGGTGCAACTTTCGATCATCGCTTTTTTTTTTTTATTTATATATAATTACGGTAATTACGTATATATACTAATATATATATAATATAATTATAAACATCACAGACCCCTGATCTGACAAATCCTTGCCCTTGTCCGGGCAAGACAGATATGGTGAAAGTCGACTTACATATTTCAAACGAGATGTCATAACTTTTCTGGTGAACTTTTTTGCATTCTTCAAAGGAGATTAAAAGAGAGACGGCAGATCTCCCACACAGTAAGTAAATGCACATCATATCCATCCCACAACTGGGTGAGTCCAAGTTTACCCAGAAACCGAGGCCGCACGAATGTGCGGGTCGTGGCGCGAGCGCGTGGGGAAGCCTGGCAACAGAGCATCTCTTCAGTGTTAGATCCAGTAGCAATTCCAATAGCACGGGGTTGATGTGTATTGCCCATCTTACATAAGGCTAGGTAAGGCATTTTCCCACATGGAATCACTGTAGATGGACTTGGCGCTGTGGACTGTACGTCTTTTGCAGGGCTGTCAAGGCGCTATGGACTGTACGTCTTTTGCAGGGCTGTCAAGGAGCAAGTCAATTCCAACTGCAACTAATCTCAAATCGCGCCCTTAGCCCAAAATACTCACAGTACTGGACTTCACTGTAGGCAATGCTTTTCGGCCATTGATTCATGGACAGATGGCCAAGGTCCAACGTCGTCCTTCGCCTCTGACATCTTCAAGTTTAATGAGGTTTGGGAAACCGGCTTTTCGGGTCATCTAGGGTCCAGATGCCTCATGAAATGGTGATCTCCTTTGGAAAAAGCTTAGTTTCCGCACTACAAAGGAAGAGCATATCACACCATGGCAAGTTGTTTGTTTATTTTTCTTGGACCCTAACCACTTTATTACTCTTTATTTCTCTACACAATCATTTTGTTGGCGTTCCAAACTTGACCAACCTGACAGGCTGCAGATAGCATCGATATGCGTTTGCCCAAAGATGAGTCAGCGGGACTTGTCACTTGGCATAACTCGGCATACCTTGACGCAGCCCATCCGCGTGTGGCTTGTGGTCCAGCTTTCTGGAATCACAGATCTTCAGCCTCCCTTTTGCTTCTAGAATTTGCAGTAGCTGTAGATGATACGCTTTGATCTTAATGCAAATGCTGAAGCTCCCTCATCATGGGTTTATCCAAATCCATTATAGCGTCGTGAAAATGGCCATAGCTATCTCCATAGCACTTTCGAAACCTGGCCCTTGACTTTTGTTTGCTTCGCGCCCAGTGGGTTGAAATCACACAGGAGCAACTGACCCACTGATCACAGGCTGTAGCTGTCTCATTACCGTGAGGTGAACAACCAGCAAGAGACTTGGCACTTCAAGCTGGACAAGGCCTGGGGAGCGGCCCAAGGGGTGCAAGAGGGAAGTCGTTTTCTTGGAGAGCAATGGTGCAGATAGCTGATTCGTTCCCCAAATTTTTACGAAGAACATGTGGACGCGATGTTGAGTTCTTCATCCAGGAGGTGCCTGGGGCACCAGACGGTATAGCCGAGGTACTGTCGAATGGCAGCCAGGAGCAGATCTTCGAAATCTGCGCAGCAGTGTGGCCGCCCAGATTTGTTTCGCCGTCTGTTGGCCTCAGCCAACCGCTGTTCCCAGGATGTGGTGAGATCTGTGATGGACGGTTACAACGGCACCATCCTGGCATATGGCCAGACAGGGGCTGGTAAGACACACACCGTGCGCTCCTCAGCTTTCCGGACGTCAATGGAGAAATTGCTGCAGACCAGGTAAGGAGGGTCAAGGACCTCCCCGGTTTATCCTACCTACATTCCCGTGCAACACAGCTTTCACAGATCTTAAGTTGAAGTTGTTGGACTAAGCGTGGTAGAGCTTGATAATGCTTTTGAGCGTTTTGGGCCGAACTAGTGTTATTTTTTTCCGGATTCAAGTGCCAACTGCAAGGCACCGTGCCCCCCTGCAAAGTTCTATTCACTAGGGGACTATTGACTATTGACCTTGTTTTCAAAGGTGACGCATGTATGCAGCAGTGTAGTCTGCGAAGCATTCCCCTAGTTTGTCCAGTTGGATCCTTGGCCTACCCTGCCAAAGTTTCTGCCTTGACATCCTGCCCAGATGTCTGGTGGCCACATGGGTTTTGCGGATCGCGGTATCGTGCCAAGAGCAATTTCTGCGATTTACTCAGAGGCCCGGACAGCATTGCCTTGGCACGAAGACGGAACCACAAATCCAGTTGTTTTCAACATTTCAGTATCAGTATATATCAGTATCTCTTCCAACCATACCTTCATGCACTTTTGACTCCTGCTTCCCAAATGCATGTGAATGCCCCCGCTTTTAGGATGCATTGAAGCAGACATTTGGGTCTGACTGCGCATCAAACCATTTGCTAGTGCAGTGGCAGGCAGCAGCACGTCCAGAAAACAACATCACAATCAAGCTATCGTACGTTCGCAGCCCAGAGCAACAAGCTGGAAAAGTGTATTCAGGTATAACAAGATACGACATGATGCTACCATGGAATCTTGGAACTGAGAGTGGAGCAGAGAAGTGTGAGCGTCTCGTTTTCTCGAAGGGTTGGTGATTGACCTCTGTGACCTTGTGACTGGTGTGGCCAACAACCTCTTGTGGCACGTTTCTGGACCGAATGCTGATTGCATGGTTGGCTCAATCCCCAACCACGCTTACTTGGTTTGGTTGTACCAGTAGGCATCAGTAGAGCTGCATCAGGTTGAGATCTACAACGAACTCATGCTGCTTGGTCTGAAAAGATGCCAGACTGCAGTTCATGAAGCTTTTCAAGAAGGGTTTTGAATAACTTCACAGGGAGAAACCACAAGCTTATACAAGGGCTGCCACCCCTGCCGCCGACCCCGGAAAACACCGGGACACAAACATAGGGAGAAAATCCGAGTCCCCAACGTCCCTTCTGGATTTTTAGCTTTTTCAGCTTTCAGCAACATCTTGCAGCCAACACGCCCGCCAAGCAGACATGATATTATGCCTTTGTGACGCTTGCGAAACGGCTAAACACCACCTGATTTCGTGCCCAAAACATAGCAAAAGGAGCCCCAAAAAGTGCCTAACGTCCCTTCTGGATCCCTACTAAAATCTAGATAGACATTTCAGGTTTTCGATCTTTTTGCAACGTCTTGCAGCCAACAAGCCCGCCAAGCAGAAATGATATGCCTTTGTGACGCTTGCGAAACGGCTAACACCAGCTAATTTCGTGCCCACAGCATAGCAAAAGGAACCCCCCCAAAATGCCTAACTTCCCTTCTGGATCCCTACTAAAATCTAGACATGTCAGCTTTTCCAGCTTTCAGCAACATCTTGCAGCCAACAAGCCCGCCAAGCAGAAATGACATTATGCCTTTGTAAACGGCAAAACACCAGCTAATTTCGTGCCCAAAATATAGCAAAAGGAACCCCAAAAAGTGCCTAACGTCCCTTCTGGATCCCTACTAAAATCTAGACATGTCAGCTTTTCCAGCTTTCAGCAACATCTTGCAGCCAACAAGCACGCCAAGCAGAGATGATATGCCTTTGGGACGCTTGCGAAACAGCAAAACACCAGCTAATTTCATGCCCAAAACATAGCAAAAGGAACCCCAAAAAGTGCCTAACGTCCCTTCTGGATCCCTAAAATCTAGACATTTCAGGTTTTCGATCTTTTTGCAACATCTTGCAGCCAACAAGCCCGCCAAGCAGAAATGATATGCCTTTGTGACGCTTGCGAAACGGCAAAGCACCACCTAATTTCGTGCCCAAAACATAGCAAAAGGAACCCCAAAAAGTGCCTAACGTCTCTTCTGGATCCCTACTAAAATCTAGATAGACATTTCAGGTTTTCGATCTTTTTGCAACGTCTTGCAGCCAACAAGCCCGCCAAGCGGAAATGATATGCCTTTGTGACGCTTGCGAAACGGCAAAGCACCACCTAATTTCGTGCCCAAAACATAGCAAAAGGAACCCCAAAAAGTGCCTAACGTCCCTTCTGGATCCCTACTAAAATCTAGACATTTCAGGTTTTCGATCTTTTTGCAACATCCTGCAGCCAACAAGCCCGCCAAGCAGAAATGATATGTCTTTGTGACGCTTGCGAAACGGCAAAGCACCACCTAATTTCGTGCCCAAAACATAGCAAAAGGAACCCCAAAAAGTGCCTAACGTCCCTTCTGGATCCCTACTAAAATCTAGATAGACATTTCAGGTTTTCGATCTTTTTGCAACATCTTGCAGCCAACAAACCCGCCAAGCAGAAATGATATGCCTTTGTGACGCTTGCGAAACGGCAAAGCACCACCTAATTTCGTGCCCAAAACATAGCAAAAGGAACCCCAAAAAGTGCCTAACGTCCCTTCTGGATCCCTACTAAAATCTAGACATTTCAGGTTTTCGATCTTTTTGCAACATCTTTCAGCCAACAAGCCCGCCAAGCAGAAATGATACGGAGACTTTCTGGCGGAGATCGCAGTGGTGCAGCCTCTTTTTTTCCCTTACGCGCTCCCTCTTTCTGTCGGCCGGGGTCGGCGGAAATAGCCTCTCCATTTTTTTGCAATATCACTCTTCGCGAAAGGAAGTTTTCGTCAAAGTCAATCAAAGTCATGGACAGATTGTGAAAAGAGCATGCGTAGCTGCGTATAGCATCGTATAGCTGCTATTGTGATATTTTATTCTGTGCTCCAATAGCTGTCACAGAGCCCACAGGTTTGATTTGCTGACGGATGTTGGCGTGGCAGAGCAGAGTGGTGACCTCTCCATTGTCGAGGATTCGCGCGGGAACATCCAGGCCAGTTGGTTGCGATTCCTCGCGATCCATGTTTTTTTGGATGGTGGAATCATGTGGAGTCTGAATTTGATCATATTGTAGGGCTTCAGTCCTGAGATGGACATATGTAGTAGCTCAACTTTGTTTCACATCTGTCAAAGTATGTCAAAGTGCTATGTACTTGGTTTCTTTGAATGCGGGCTAGTCGTAGCTCCAGTATGTTCTGTGGCTCTGAGAAGCAATATTATCAGGCGGAAAGATCCAGATGGTTGAGAAGGACCCCCCCCCCAAAAAGGATCAGAACACGAAAGCAGCTATCTTCCCCTCGATTTTCCATGACTTTCCTATTTTGTTTGGTTTGTGTCAAGCTAGCCACATGCTACACGCCAGGTGCGAGGCCTCACGACACCTGTAGGGGGCACTGAGGAAGAGGCTTGCTGAACTTGCGAAGAAATCCCGCTTTGCAACACCAGATACTGACAGCTTGTTTCACCTTGTTGTTGTGCTGCAGGCGCTGCATATCTTCTTTCAGGGCGACACCAACCGCCACGTTGCTGAGCACGCTTTGAACAAAGGGTGGAGAACTCATCTCTGGAACTCTGGAACCAGCTGCTGTCATGGATTGCACACTTTGGTATCAATTCTTAAAAACAATAACAAACATCATAATTGCTAAGTACTACCTACTACCTACTACCTACTACCTACTACCTACGACTACTATTACTACTACTACTACTACTACTACTACTACTACTACTACTAGTACTAGTACTAGTACTACTACTACTACTACTACTACTACTACTACTACTACTTAGACTACGACTACGACTACGACTACTACTACCTACTACTACCTACTACTACCTACTACTACCTACTACTACCTACTACTACCTACTACCACCTACTACCACCTACTACCACCTACTAACCACCTACAGTACCACCTACGTACCACCTTACTACCAGACCTAATACCACTACTTACCCCACCTTACACCCCCTACTACCACACTACACCTACATACCACGTCAAGTACCACCTTTGTTTTTTTTGTCGCTTTCGTATCCAACTACTACCACCTACTACCAGACCTACTACACACATACTGACCACCTACTACAACCTACTACACCTACGACCACCTACTACCAATACTACCACCTATGCTAGCCACATACTACCAACTACTGTTACCACTACTACCTCCTACTACCTACTACCTACTACCTACTACCTACTACCTACTACCTACTACCTACTACCTACTACCTACTACCTACTACCTACTACCTACTACCTACTACCTACTACCTACTACCTACTACCTACTACCTACTACCTACTACCAACTACCCACTACCCACTACCCACTACCCACTACCCACTACCCACTACCCACTACCCACTACCCACTACCCACTACCCACTACCCACTACCCACTACCCACTACCTACTACCTACTACCTACTACCTACTACCTACTACCTACTACCTACTACCTACTACCTACTACCTACTACCTACTACCCACTACCCACTACCCACTACCCACTACCCACTACCCACTACCCACTACCCACTACCCACTACCCACTACCCACTACCCACTACCCACTACCCACTACCCACTACCCACTACCCACTACCCACTACCCACTACCCACTACCCACTACCTACTACCTACTACCTACTACCTACTACCTACTACCTACTACCTACTACCTACTACCTACTACCTACTACCTACTACCTACTACCTACTACCTACTACCTACTACCTACTACCTACTACCTACTACCTACTACCTACTACCTACTACCTACTACCTACTACCTACTACCTACTACCTACTACCTACTACCTACTACCTACTACCTACTACCTACTACCTACTACCTACTACCTACTACCTACTACCTACTACCTACTACTACCTACTACCTACTACCTACTACCTACTACCTACTACCTACTACCTACTACCTACTACCTACTACCTACTACCTACTACCTACTACCTACTACTACTACTACTACTGAGAATACCATATAATACCAATAATACTAATAATACTCATAGTACTAATAATTCTAAGAATACTAATAATACTAATACTGTCATGCAAGTATTAGTAACCGCAACAACAACAACAACAACAACAACAACAACAACAATGTCAATAACACAAACAATAACAATCACAATAATCATATTCATCCTCGGCCATGTTTTCAGGGGCATGGTTTGGACATTTGGATGATTTTCCTCCTCGCCTCCCCCATTTCGGCGGCCCTGTTGAGGTCCACTCGTTCCCACGTGGTCTTCACCATCTATGTGGAGAGCCGCTCGAGAGTGGAGTCTTCCGAGAAGGCGGCTACATGCAGATGCAGACGAGACATGTCAAACAACCATCAAAAACGATCAAACAATGCCACGTGAAGAATTTGTTTTCATTACTTTTCAACAGCCAGCAACTATATTGCATCATCAGTTAGATAGATGATAGATACAGAAATGACCAATTCTTCGTGTGGTGCTGGTTTGAAAGACTATGTGCAGGTCATTTTTTCGAAACTGCATTTGGTGGATCTTGCTGGGAGTGAGCGTGTCAAGAAGTGCCTTGGCCTTGAATTTTTGGGCATAGAATGTGCATCCATGATCTTATAAAGAGTAAGTACAACATAGTACAACCATCAGATGACATGTATGAATATGAAACCCCTTCATGCACTGGGAAGGTCCACCACTAGAAGTGCGGAGTGCTGGGCAGCACCTAATATGCAGCACATCATTTTTCCTGGCTGGCCTTGGGGCAAGCATCATGTGCTTGAACGTTCATGTTCTGATCAAACCCAACTGGTTTTCCATCAACATGCAATGGCTTGGGATTTTGTTGAGGGGATGCATCAGCATCATAGAACGAGCGACGTACGCAAGGACTGGCTCTGATGGAGTGATGCCGAAAGAGGTTGGGGAAAAATGGCCATCATTTTCTGCACAAGTGCCGTTCAAAGCAGTGATCAACCGCGCAGTATTGAACACACAATGGCCAATTCCCCCACTTGTTTATCTTTGTTTCATGTGTGTTTGTTTTTCTCAAACAATGGGTGTGTTGTTGTATCTTGAGAAACAGTCCAGTGAACAGTGGTAAGAACACAGAAACCACTTGCAAACCGTTTCACTGGACTTTTGGATGACCCAACATGGGCTTGACAAGGCCACCTTCATCAACAAGTCCCTGACATTTCTGGAGCAGGCAATGGTTCTGAGCAGTTGGTTTCGTGTCCGGGTTTTCCCTCGCTTTCTGGTGTTTCCAATATATACCCGACCGTATCAGATACGGGGGAAGTGGATACATAGTGCTTGATCAACTCCAAGCGCAGACTTCAGCTCATTGCTGAAACATCGCCAGGTGGTTGTTGCCCTTGGCAACAAGCATCGCGACCATATTCCGTCACTTGAGGGATTGCTATGGGGGATGAGTGGTGGTGGATTGGACCGAAATGGACCCAGCACAGAGAAAGGGCATTCTTCAGTGTCACTGGATACTTTTTTACAAAACATGCTACTTCTGTCCCCTCTTGTGCTGCTTCTTGTTGCGTTCATCTACTTGAACTGGCAGCCGAGTTGCCGCGAGGTATCGACAATCAAAACTCACACACATCTTGAAGGACAGATGGCGTGCCTGAACGACGTTCACGACAAAGAGAATGTGTATTTAACGGGGTGAAAGGCAGAAACACATATAACACACACTTGTATTGTAGTGCAAGTGGGACTTGGTGTGATATGCAAGTCCCTTTGCGCTGTTTCATGTTGTAAATCCAAACTCTCTCGATGTCATCAAGCTTCCATCGCCAGGACTCCTTAGGAGGCAACTGCAAGACGACCATGGTGGCAAACATTTGGCCAGAGGTCGGGAAAAAGTGGCCGTGGGCAAGCTGATGGTATTTAAATGTATTGGATGATATTGAGAGTGTGTGTGTGTGTACAGCATCATTCAGACGGACCTGCAAACCGACATATCTCTTTGCAGTGCTCGTGAGAGCCTGTCAGAGTTGGTCACAGATTGAATGAATGTGGCCATGCAAAAACTCAAATTTACTTCTTTTACTTGGAGTGACAGATCAAACATTTGTCATTGTTGCCAATTTCTGCCCCTGTTTTTTTTGGCCAGGGCAAGATGTTGGAAGAGACCGCCAGCACTTTGCGCTTTGCCACGCGCATGATGAAGGCACCGTATCAAGGGATGATCATCACTATGACAGAATATTGATTCTATACACAACCTTGTTGGTAGAGATGCTTTGCAGGCTTTGTAGGGTGGTGCTACAGTACCTGGCAAAGCTGCGATCCAAACCTTTCAGGTATTGAATGGTCACACTTCAACCGGTAGAGATTCTATGTATATATAATATATACTGGGTTTAGGGTTTTAGGGTTTAGGGTTTAGTATATTATGTATATATATATTGATTAAACAACATGTCGTATAGGCACTGCACATCACAGAGAAATGACAAGTTGCCATCTTCAGCACAAATGATTCCACCAGATGGCACCTGGGTGATGGTAGGGCAAGGTGAGGCCCAATTATTGGCACCAAATCTTCACAGTCCCAAGTCAGGCTACGTATGCAATGCATACTTCATACTTGCACTATCTTGCACTCGTGTAGACAACAAAATAAACTTGCTACATAGGCGTAGGTGTATACATTTCTGAACCCAGAGCTCTGGGATGATTGCGATTTGAAGACCGAATGGAAAGACATGAGGCGAATCACTGAAGCAAATGTGCTTGTTGAGGTCTCAAATGAAGCCTCTGTCAACGTGCATCTGGATCCACAGTTGCTCATCAGGACGCTTTGGCACTGTCATGGAACTCCTTTTGCTGAAGCTCATAGTACATTGTTTAAACACTTTACTATACTCCCAAAAGAACATCATTTCTCTCCCAAAAGTCCCAGCTCTCAGGAAGTATGAGCGGCAGATCAAAGACCTGAAACAGGTGGCCTTGGGAGGGCAGTGTCATCGGGCAGTCTGTAACAAGACAAGGACACATCTCAGGTCGTTTGGATCTGTTGGAATAGATGCTTCTGAGTTTGGAAGCTAACAGGCAGATGTATACCATGTCATACTGCACAATAAGTTCTCCTCAACAGGCGTCCGTAGAAGATGTTTTCGTTGGACACATTTGCCTGCTTTGTGATCTTTGTGGCAGCTCTGGCAAAGTTTACTATTTCTGTGCTGTCATCACTGTCATCCTTAGATTTTAGATGATTCACTTCGAGATGCACAGGAGCTTGCCATGCATGACACCCTGGCTGGTCGAAGCCGCGTCCAATACGAGGAGATCAGGGTATTCAATGGTATTCAGGGTTTTGGTACAAGGTGGAGATTGCTAGAGCTTTCTGGAAGTGGAATTGCTTGATTCACTTTGAATCACATACGCACGATTCACAGTATGCTTGAACCAGCGTCCGTTTTTTCTTGTTCGGCTGAAGAGTGGAGCTCTCAACTGCATGGCTTTGGCTTTGGGCAGTAACAATAACACTGACACTTCAAACCTCAGGATATTTCTCCAATATCCAGACAGCGAAGCCTTGTTTGACTCGCAGTAGGTTCAAAGATACACTTGGTGTTGCTTTTCACAGAGCTAGGAAGACTGACACCGTCAGTCAGTCAGTGCGATTGCAGATCTTGGTGTGGATCCACACGACTTCAAGAGGCTGCATATACTCAATGCAACGGAGAAGCAAGTACCAAGACCAGGCTTCGCAGCCACGTGGCCATGCAGGAGTACGCTCCAGATGAGCAGAAAGAGCTCCAGGATAAGGCCTGGGGGAGCAACACTGGCACCATGCCATGGTGCAATGATTCTTCGCACCTGCACCGGGTCTCTGTTGAGGTGCAGATGTATTTGGAGGGTGACCTGCAGGAGATTGAAGTAACCAGCCAAGAACCCAGTTGTGCAGATCTAGCCTGGCACCACGGCACCACGGCACCATGGCACCATGGCACCATGGCCGAGGCCTTCGCATGGTCTATGAGTCCTATGCTATTTTCCGGAAACTCTACCAAAACCTCCGTCCCAGTCCTGGAAGCTGTCTGTGACCATTTGAATCATTTGTATCATATGTATCATCTGTGATCTTAGCAAGGAACATGCGCCATCCACCAGCACCAAGAGATAACTTTGTGCGCACGTGTCGTGATGTAAGATGAAGTCTGCTGGTTCTTTGGTTCAAAGTCAAAGAAAAGTGGAAGAGGGACATTGATATATATATATATATAATCTATGTATGTATACATACATATGTATAATCTGGGTCCCTGAGTCTCAAATAAATATCTGAAGCTGACCTGCCGGCCCTTGCAGCCATCATAGCCTTGCTTTCAGGCACCGAGCTGGCCAATCGGCCAACTGTTCCATTGCCGCCACAAGGGGGTGATGTGGAGGCATGGCTAGTCCCAGTTGCAGTCACTTTTTCCACTGACCACAGATTTACTCCAAGCGGCAATCGCAAAGACCCTGTTGTGGCTAAAAAGATCTCATTCATACTTGCCTCTTTGTTGATGAAAAAGGGATGCCAAAACATATCTTGGACCGCGCACTTTGAGCGATGCTGAGTCCCCGTTATTTGGGCAGGCTGGTGATGGTGGTCAGACCACCACCATGGAGGCGAGGGAAGGTGCGGCCGGCTCCTGGATCCTAGTGGATGAAACATGACGACATGACAATATGTCAAAAGATGTGGATTATGATCTTGCTATGTATTCTTATATATATATATATATTGTTTCACAGAAAAACGATCTGTTTTGAGTTGGTGCCCTGCTCCGCAACTAACTGCGTTCGCACTTCACCGATGCAATGCTTCCAGGTGAAGTTGGAGAGGACGTGGAAGGCAAAGGCATTGCGGCTTGGCACCCAGTGCTGCAGGGCCTTGGGCGGCTTTGAGATTCCTGTGCCAGGGGTGGCTGGGTGGCTGGTGGAGAAGCTTCATGATGCTACGGGTATGTTTATTTGTACATGTAATATAATATAATTAATTATCACGTAGATAGATATATATATATATATACATATATATACATATATATATAATATATATATATACACATACATACATACACTATTTTGCACTATTATATACAACATAAATAGCTGGCAAGTGAGCTCTCTTCTGAGCTAGTTTTTGTTGCAGAGATCACTACCGTGAGTATTGGAAACGAACGATCACATACCAAAGCTTACATCGAAATTGCTCACTTTTTCTTGAATTTGAGAATAGCGTGGAATAGTTCAATCTGTTTTTTTTTCTCCCCTTTCCGCCGCTGATGTTCATCTTATTTGTATCTTTCCCAGCTTCAATCTGCCAGAATCCATCAATACCATCCAAGCTATCAGTGTGGCTATAACCCCCCGGATGTGGAGCCCAAACGAGCCACTCCCAGGTCGGCGTAGCACCAGCCAATTCGCGACCTCCGCAAGAGGCCTGGCAGATGGCAGATCGACATCGACTCAGAAACCGGTGACCTGGACATTGGAACATTTTGCACCTGGTGGGGGACATTTGTTGATCCAGGGATGGGAAGGTGATGGATCAACAAATGGTCCTTTCCTAAAGTGGAAACCAGCCTGGCAAACATCAGTTGCTTAGCGATGACTCGGTGCACCATCGTTGATTTTGGAGAGGCCATGGTGCCGGATGCAGGTGCGCTTCCGAACTTTGTGACTGCATCGCCAGAGCTTCCACAGGGCTTCATGCAGAGTGTTGGGATATTGCTGATTATTGGTGATGTGAAGTTTTGGCCATCAGAAATTACCATGTAGCGGTGGCTTTACCCATATCTCAGATCTTGCCTTGGCACCGACTGGAATTTCTGAGGAGAGGATCCCGATGATGCTCCGGGCACTGAGTCGGACGCTTTCAGTGGGGTCACACTTTCCCGTACTTGCCTGGTTTCAACGACCCGAGTTTGGGATCTTGTGGAAAGCCTCAACACTTGAGCATATTCTTCTGTTTGAAAACATGGAAAAACATGGAAAAACATGGAAAAACATGGAAAAACATGGAAAAACATGGAAAAACACATTCAGCAAACAGAAACAAAACCAAATGTGATTATGGGGAGGTTTCCTGGCAGCACCTCAGTACAGATTCCATGCATTTGAGTATTTATCTGATATTTATATGTATTTGTACATATATATATATATATACATATATATATATATGTCAATCTATATCCATACTATACCCACAACAATATAATATGCCCATACTGCACCGATATCTATATCTATACACGCTACACAGCTTGTCGCTCCTCATCCGTCCCCAATTTTCACTAAGGCCCCGGACGCAACGAGATGAACTCCAGAAACCACCGGACAAGCAGGTGCCACGGTGCCACTGATTTAGACTGGAGGAAGCTTTCATATAATAGCAACTATCATTTGGACTCATCAATTGTTGCTATAAATTCTATAAAATCTATAAATTCTAATTCGAGAGCCATTGATGAAGATTTGGGCTCACACAAAACGATGCAACTTGATGCAGTTTACATGATCTTGATCAATCATAGTTATTTTGGTAGACAGTTAAGCAACATCTTTAGCGTGATCATCATGGGGGATGGTCCTGGAATGATATGCCAAGCAGCGGTGTAGTATATATATATACAGTGTACATGTACAATTCTTATGTCATTATGTATATTGTATAGCTCTATATATATATATATATACACGCATCATTTGATCACGTATGTTATATACAACATATATAATCATATATATATATATAGTTTTTTCATCACTGTTTTCTCCAGATACCTTGAATCTTCAACCCCCTGCGGTGCTGTGCTGCGGTGCTGTGCAGTGTCAGGTGGTCTTTGCGGAGTGGAAGGCCAAAGAGGGCCAGGCAGGGTCACAGCATGTCAGCAGGTTCCACGAGACCCAAGGAGTTCGTGGTTTTATGGGAATACAATGGGAACATCATGGGAATATCATAGGATTCTGTGAGATTTAATGGGATTATAATCCTGTATATCCCTATATATCCTATATAAAACACATCCTAAATGGGTAAACATGTGTGTAAATACCCTACTAAATCATGGTAGTCATACCATGTGAAAAAACGTATATTGAATACCATGTTTTGTCACGTTTTACTTTGTACCGTTGAAACTTGAGTGCCGAAACGGAAGTTGCAGACTAGCAACAGAAGCAAGTCGATTTTCTTTGGAGGGACATGACCTGCGTCAGGCCTTCGAAGATGCCTTTGAGAAGAATCGGCAGGACGAAATGGGATTCACATCTTTCGAGCTACTGTTGCTGCTTGGGCTGGTTGGTGGTTTTCCTTTTCATACACTTTCATACACTTTCTATTTTTAGGTGGAAACATGTTGAACCACCAATCATACTTATCACCACGAGCCTGGGATTCTGTGGCTGCCCCAATGGTTCCTTCCATACCCACTGTCATACTGTGTAAGCACCGGCTGTAGGAGCTGCGAGAAAAGCGCGCCGAAATGAAGGATGCACTGGTGCAACCCTCAGCTGTGCCATGGGATACGCCGTTCCGCTGCGGTGTCTTGTTGGAAGGTCTCTTGCGTCAATAGAAGATTTATATGGTATGGATTGATATGTATTGATCAGGATCAGTGATAGGAGCAATGACGATTATGGTCAGTCCTATCAGTGCTGTCGCTTCCCTTGGACAGGCCTAAGGGGACTTTAAGGGAGCGCAGGCATGTCCGTTTCCCAGGTAGCAGCAAATGCAAAGAAGAAAGATATTGATGAAGCCAAGGAGACTTCGGATGACTTCGCTTTCCAAACCGATGAAGTCGGTTTTCTCCCCTTTTTTCTGGCCTATCCCATTATATCCCATTGTCATGCCTGAGATTGAACCTGGCTGCAAGATGCTTCCTGCATCAATTGCATCAATGTTCGCAAAGTCGCAAAGCACCCCAGATGCCGAATGCCGGAGCAAATCCAGTGCAAAGCCTTTTCTGGTAGCTTCCTGGAGCAAGTATTTGACATTGATACACTGATGCCTGTGGTATCAGAAGCATCACTGAGATCATCATTGTCCGGAATCCACAGGAATCCACAAGTCCTTAGTAGTCCTTTTGTATCGTTATGTATCTAATGTCCTCTAGTCATCTCTAATCGAATGGATGGATCAATGTAAACTGCCAGAAACTTGGCCCCCAGTAGATGGGTCGTATCTCCCAGGAGCTCTTGGCCCGAAAGCAATCGGAGAAGGGTATGGATCCAGACAGAGAGGAGCTGTTGCTGGGGGGGTGAGGAGATCTCGTGATGAAGGTGAGTTTCTTGCTAGGATTTCCCCCGTGCATCTCCATGTTTTCTTGCGATGTTTTCTTGCGATGCATCGACCATGGTTGTGCATGCTACGCCGGGATGTCTCAAGCTACACATCGCAGGTTCGGAGAAAGAACAAGAGACTAGGCAACCATAGGCAACCACAGGGAACACAAAAGTAGCTCTGGCACAGCCAGTGTGGTTTTGCATGGTTTTGTTGTGATATTTGTGATGTTTTGTGACGCCGATTCAAGAGTTTCTTGACCGAATCAAAGGTGTCTTTCTAAATGCCGTCCACCTTGGCGCCATGGAGTCCATTCCAGTGCGTGAAGCGGTCTGGAGATCGATTTGTACCTTGCCTTTGTGTTGACGTATTGTTCACCACTGTATACCACTGAATCAAATCTGAATCAGAGAAAAGTTGAATGTTTTTGTTAAGCGCTGCACAGCTGGCCTACTGGGAATGCCCAGGTACAAAGCCGCAAATTTGGCAATGCGAAGAATTTTTGACTTCCGAAGAATGTGCAGCGATTCGGCGTTTGGCGAAGGCCGATCCGAGTCATGTTTCATTATGTTTCATTGTGTCTTGAAGCGTCTTGCAGTTGCCATGGGGATCCATGGGGTGCTTTTTTCATCATGTGGACTTCCGGATTTGACTCCCAGTCCGCAACATCGGAGGCCAGTTTGCCTGCCAAGTGCTTCTCAAAGTTTCGCATTGATTTGGACACAGATCCTGAAGGCGATGGCACCCACGATGTATCAACTTCTGCGGAGAAAGATCATCCTGCATGACTTGGGAGAAGATGATAGATGATATTTTCGTATAATACACACACACATATATACGCATATATATATAATATACACAATCATGTGCAGTATTTCACGGGGTCTTAAATATCTCATCTCGAACATTTAGATTTGAAGTCTCGTTGAACCCAGCAAATAAAGATCAAGGGAACATTCATAAACACAAAGCATCCACGCAATAAACAGTGAAGAATTCAACTCATTCTGTTTCACCCTTGTTTAAACAAGACAGCAAGCTTAAGATGGATACTTTGAAAGATTGTTGGTTTGGATACCTGTAGGGACTGTAGGCTCCTGCAACTCCATTATCTCCATGGAGTCTGACCCTGTCCTAGGTGCCTTGGCCTCAGCCCAGCCAAAGGATGCTGCAGTGTTGCGGGCCGTGGATCGGCGCACCTGGGCCTTGTCTGGTGCACCACATGAAGGTGCCTCGCAAGATCACCAGCAATTGGAACGGGCAGCATTCCAAACGTGACCCGGGCAATGTCCTTTTCTGTTCTGAAATTTCCAATGGGCATATTTGACATTTCAAGCCCTGAACTGTCTTGAGGGGAATTTCCAAGGAGAGATGCCTTGGGCTGTTCACTTTACTCCGTCTGCAGCTCACCTCAAATTGTGGCGCTTACAGTTGGAACTTGGAAGCCAGACACATACCATGACCATTGCACAGTTTTGGGTTGGGTCTGGAAAGAAAGGGAACGCCAAGCATTTTTTGTGCAGCCCATGAGATTTTCATATCTCATCAAGTCTCACGAGAGCTGGCCTCAATAGCTCCAACATTCATGCTGACATGGGATGAAAACCTGGCACCTCCGAGTTTCCCTTCATGAATTGCTACTTGGGATTACTTGGGTGGTTGAATAAATATTGAGAATATTGAGACACCCACAAATGAATGCAAAATGATTGGACAGTCTTAGGGCATCACAGGAGGCTGTTTTGTGAAAACTGCCACAACCACTCGGCAAAGTAGATTTTTCACTGAGGAAATGAGGACAGAGTCAGATCAGCCTCGAATTAACTTGGGCCTTCACGTTGACACCAACAATGGCAGAGCCTTGACGTTGATCTGATTCGCGGACCAAGTTCTTTGCTTTTCCCACCCAACATCCTTATCTAAGCTGCTTAGTCATATTACTAATGTTATTTATTAGTTATATATTTAGTTCTTAGTGTCAACAATGATAGTAATTAATCATCATCATTATTACTTTCTTTTATCTTGATTTTATAGCTATAGATTAATTTCAGAAGTTGGCATATGTGGCTATGAGATGAGGCATGAGGCCAGAGATTGTTTCTGCAGCTTAGAGTCATCCTGGGTCCGGAAGCCGATCAGGAGAACGTCGACACCTGACGTTTCTGATCTATTTGAACACCATTCCACCCAGTGAGGCACAAGCTGTGCAGCGCGACTTGATGAATTGCACATTGCAGGTGAAGTGAAATATAGCAATTTTGTGTCCAATTCTACTTATCCCCTGTTTATACTCATATGTTGCAAACTCCATGTTCCTTTCATCTGGATCTTGGCGGCCCTTAGATTTTTCCAACACCTGGCTGGAGGGTGGCCACACGATCTTCCCTTTGGCGGAGCTTCCTGGCGAGGCAGCAGACCAGTCGTTTTCCGAGGCACGGCCGCTGGGAGAGATGTTGCTCCAGGCGACGGTGCAACACACCGGGCAGGCATGGAGCCGCGACACGCTCGAGGTGCAGGAGCGATCCGCATCGACGGTTGAGTGATTTCAGTGACACGGCACACTAAATGAGCTTTGAAAAAGGTGACAGTTGGAAGATTGACATCTTCAAACATCATTTATGCAACTTAAGTAATCCCCATCAAATCCCAAGAACTCAAGGAGGCCGCAGCCGCTTTGCTAGCCTGTGCTGAGCGCCTGGCCGCCGCAGCGGCATGCCCCGACGCCCAAACGGCCCCGACACGTTTGGGTTTGGCGGTGGCAGCCAAGGAGGTGACAAGGGCAGTCAGTGGTGAACAGCTTGTCTTCTCAACCTCTTCATGGAAAGAGCTGTATACAAATGCATTGATATGAGATCATATGAGATGTATCATGAATTATCATGAATTATCATGAATTATCATGAACGATCATGATGCATGAGATGTATCATGATTCCAACATGCAAAATGACCCAAGACGTTTCTGCAAGGGGCGCTGCGTGGCCTTTTGGTCAAGAGATTCACATGGCCACCTTGATGCCGCTGCATGGCATGGCGGTGCAGCGGTGACAGCAGTGGATGGGAAGTGGACGCTGCAGATGCTCGGCGGAATGTTGGGACCCTTGGGGGTCTTGGCATTCGACAATATGCTGGCCAGCAATGCTGGCTAATGTGAATTTATTCACACTAGGATACTGAAAGGGAACTAAAATTGCTATAAATTGCTTGAATTAATTGTATAATGTTGTATAATACTCTATATGTTTGCCTCTTTTGGCGTATGCACGGGTATACCTTACTCGCATGGGTGGATTGCGTCGATGTCCGCTTGACACCAGGAAGTTCCGCGAGGCGCCCATGTCGGCCTTGAAGGGCTGCTGCATCGAGGCCAGTTGGGGGTCATTCCATGGTTTTCTGCTTCTATGCGGAATCTGGTAGATTTCTGCACCAACAGTTGCGCTTCATTATTATATTGTGTGGCTAGGTCCTAAGCTAGGAGAATGGCTGATTTGCAGACATGGGTCGCCAAGAAACGTCAAGAACTTACATCATTGAAGGTCAGAGGATACGATTCTGATCCGGTGGTGTGGGTCATGCGCCTGCAGACTTTCGCCTCCACGCACCAGCATCTTCGACTTCCGTGCTTTGCGGGTGGAGTGCGCTTTGTGGATGAGGCATCTTGATATCGCAGATTCTGCAAAGAATTGCAGCAAAGAACTTTAGTGAATTGGTAGATGATCTACCAACCTCATCCAACCTCCAGGCAACCCCTGCGTTGGCCAGAAGTAGAATAGTCAAGAATATGTGATAGCAGTGACAGTCAACTCAAGCGGCTGAGTAAGCATTACTGTAACTTAGGTACAGCCTGAACAGGTGTCTTTACATGGCTGGATTTGTTGAAACAAGAATGCGATTGGCCCTTAGAGACTGCTAAGATGAAGGCGCACATTTCTTTTAGGTTTTTCTAAGGTTGAGTTCCTTCTAGGTGTATCAGCAACTTGCAAGCAACAGCCTTGGCCTTGTTACCTAACTGAGGAAGATGCAGATGTGCCAGCAGAGCAGATGCAAGAAGCAAGCACACATGAGCTCAGCGGACAAAAGACATTTGTGCGACTTGTGCGAAGTGCTTATCTTACCAAAGCGCATGGGTGCTTTGTGGTTCTGGGTACCGATAAATTCTTGCTAGAGTGGAATGATGTCAGGCTTGGTTGGTTCTGCCTACACTATTTATTGCTTCATTCTCAACCTTGCCGATGTGCTGCCTGCTGCGAGTGCAAGACTTGACTCTCTATCCCAGGCATTCCAAATATGTTTTCCCAAATTATCAAGAAGGAACAAGAGACAGATGTAAACGTCATAGCCATTCGAGCATTCCTCCAGTTTGATGCGGCAGGACTTGATCGATGAGGAAGAATACGCTCTGATTAAGAACCTCAAGGACCGTGAGCATCACAATCACCACCATCATCATCAACACTACACCATGAACATCATCACCACCACCACCACCATCACATCAGAACAGACACATTCATGGCATCACATGATAATATTTCCCCACTTTGTGGACTGTATATCAAGCTGGTGTTCATCTGAAATAGTGACATTCTCCGTCGTTGGTTGATCCCCGTCCCGCTGCTCCCGCTTCTCGATGAGGAGACGAAGCAGCAGTACCGAGACGCCTTCGAACGGCACAGCCGGGTCAAGATGGATGTGGAAAACTCAGGCATTGTGGATGCACAGCTTGAAGGCCCAAAAAGTGAGACATCCAGGGCAAGTTTGATGAATTATGACAACCTGGTGGTAATCTAAGCTACTGCTACTAGTATGAGCTACTAGTATGAAGAGCTGGCAGCTAGCTATATGATATATGATATAATATATTATATATATTATGATATGAGATATGCAATCTTAATTGATATTACAATGATATTACTCACTCTATGACGACCGGCACCGCCACGATGGACGGCTCGGACGACACTGAGGTGATCCAGATTGAGCACGTGATGCAGCAGTGCAAAGGTCGATTAGTCCAGGGCTTCGAGGAGCGCCTGTGAAAATTTGGCATCAGATTTGAAGAGTATGAAAGTTGACTGGATGAAAGTTGGAATATGAATTGAATATGATAGAATTGGGTGAATTGGGTGAATTGGTATCAGTTCCAAGATGCCATTGGATGAATCAGAAGAGAGATTGTTTGCAAGGGACGAATGATGAGACACCAGTCCAGGGGTGCATGGTCCAATCACCAGAATGTGTTGGATACGTATTAACCTAGCTTGAGCGGAAATTGCGAGCCGTACTTTTCCTGGTACTTCCTGGTGCAGGAGTACTACGAACATAAGTTTGGTCATTTGGTCAAGCAGGAGGCTGGGAAACTAGTTTCCCCGAAGACACGCAACTGTTGCCAGACTGCTCCGGATGGATTGCTTTCATGCCTGAATATTGTTTTGTTTGTGCAGACAGTTTTTAGCAGTCTGAACCTTTGCTGAACCAAGGAGTATTAAAGCAATGCTTGACAGTGATTGATGCTTTTGTCTTTTGTAGGCGCCAGAAGACGAAGGAGAGCGCTATGACCCTCAGGCACGCAGCCAGCTTCCCCTGAAATTTGTTTGCGTCTCTCATGTTGAAGTTGTGCCTCGTGTATATCATACCACATGCTGATCAAAGAGCCACAAACGGGAAGACAAAGACAAACACAGCACTGCAAAACTGAACATCTCACACATGTTTGTGAAACAAATGCTTTGCAGCGACAATTATGCCTTCTTTGATTTGTGCCGATTGCCAAGAATCCACACAGCATACACTGCATACCACCTCTCCCTATTTATTTAGGAAAAAGAAGAGTTGTTGCCGGCCTTTGCATTGGAGATATTTGATGGTTTTGATGACAGGGAGGTTTCCCAAAATGTGGGTCCCCCCAAATCATCCAAGTCTGACCAGGAGATGTTCGACTTGGCAGAGGCTGACCGCTTGGAGACGCAACACCCAGATGCCATGGCGTGCGCCAAGCCCGACTTTTCTGATGACCAGGGAGTCATCAGGTGACATGGCTAAAATCATCTAAAATCATCCAAAATCATTGAATCCTGGGATATATCGGATATGGAATCATGGATAAGATTGGATGATAGATCAGATGTATCAACATTGTAATATTGACATATAGGAGAATATGCGCACAGTTTGGTGTTCAGACACTTGACAAAAGACACATCCGTGGGTCAGTCTTTGGACAGATAAGGGTAAATCATACCTACCAAGTTGCCAGCTTGCGATTCGTGGCTCCCAAGATTTCTTACTGCCTCACTGACTGAAGTGTTTCCAAACACCAGCTTTGATATTGTGACTGAACAGGTGTTTCCATCATTTGAATCTGTGAATCTCTTGAAATTGAAGACCTTTTTTGGCTCTTAGACATCGTTGTGGGGCATGCAATGACATACGATGGAAGGATGTGGAAGGATGTGGACATTGCAGGACTGCGAGATTTGTACAAAAAATGCCGCATGAGCCTAGACACAACTAGCCATTGCACAGGGCTTTGACACAAGACTGAAAAAAACTCTCAGAACTATGTGCTCATTTGTAGCTGCAAAGATGCAAGATGTGTAATGTGTGTTTGGCAATTAACTTGCAAATACAGATATTCCAAGCATAAATCTGGCATTTAAATTTAAATACAGCTTGACTGCACAACAGCCTTTCTTTGCTTCTGGAGCTATCGTTCCAGACCATGACGACTTAGTTGCCATTACCCCTGCGCATGACGCATGGCGGACCTGTGGAGGAATCGTTTTGGCTGATCTGAGAGGTTTTTTTTTGAATTCTGGGGTTGAATGAATCTGAATAGCTAGGAATACTGTAGCATCTGTAGCTGATTCCCCGGAGATCCAGCAGAGCAGCTTCATGCTGCAGATTGCAGAGGATCGTTTGGTTTAAACATGCTGGTTTCTTATTTCGATGCAACCACATTGACATGTAATTGACATGTAATTGACATGTAAAAATAGTGCTGTTCAGCTCGATTGCCTGGTTTCGAGAGTATGAATGTGAAAACATGCAGTGTTCCCAGGACAGACAGGTGCGTGAGAGCCATGACAAGAGCTGGCATGGGCTCCCATTTTGGCATGGCCAGCTGGGTCGTGGACAGGCGTGGCATGGTGCGTGGCATGGCATCATCACCAGTGACACTAGTGTGACACCATTGACACCATCCAGCCCCAACACCACCATTCTCTACTTCAGAATCTTCAGATCCCAAAGATAACATAAAGCTATCTAGAATTATTTAAGGGCTGCCGCCCCTGCCGCCGACCCCGGAAAAATGGGGAAAGAGGAAACAGCACGATTAACATTTCCCATATGTGTGTGTCGTGTTGTGTATGTGTGTTTATATGTATATACCTTGAGCAGCCTTTGCTCACTTTCATATAACATCGCCAGCTTGCAAACCAAGAAGCAGGCATCTAGAAAAAATGTCTTTTTCCCAACCTTTTCCGCTTTTTCAATCTCCCATCAGCTCACCTGCTGCTGCTGCTGCTGCTGCTGCTGCTGCTAACAGAAGAGTAGCGAGAGCAGCTCCCGGCACCAAAACAGCAAGGCACGGAAGGACGAACATGCCATAGAATTGCACCGAAAAAGTGCCTAACGTCCCTTCGCATAGTGCCGAATTTTCAAACTTATCCACAAAATATCCGTAACGTCCCTTCTGAATTCCTAGACAAAATGTCTTTTTTCTGCCTCCTGTTGTTTGGTGGCTCCAAGCTGCAAGCATCAAGCCTCCAGAACGGATCCTTCGCCACAGCAAAACAGCACCTAATTGCGTACCGAAACCGTGTTCAAACTTATTCACGTCTGGTGGCTCCAAGCTGCAAGCATCAGGCTTCCAGAACGGACCCCTCGCCACAGCAAAACAGCACCTAATTGCGTGCCGACACCGTGTTCAAACTTATCCAGAAAAACTCCCTAACGTCCCTTCTGAATTCCTAGAAAAAATGTCTCTTGTTTCTGCCTCCTGCAGCTGTTGTTTGGTGGCTCCAAGCTGCAAGCACATCAGGCCTCCAGAACGGACTCTTCGCCATAGTGCTGGCTTAAACTTACCCGCAAAAACTCCCTCACGACCCTTCTCAATTCCTAGACAAGTTTCTCTTTTCTACCTCCTGCAGCTGTTGTTTGGTGGCTCCAAGCTGCAAGCATCAGGCCTCCAGAACGGACCCTTCGCCACAGCAAAACAACACCTAATTGCGTGCCGAAACGTTGTGCAAGCTTATCCACAAAAACTCCCCAACGTCCCTTCTGAATTCCAAGAAAAAATGTCTTTTGTCTGCCTCCTGCAGTTGTTGTTTGGTGGCTCCAAGCTGCAAGCATGAAGCCTCTAGAACGGACCCTCCGCCACAGCAAAACAGCACCTAATTGCGTGCCGAAACCGTGTTCAAACTAATCCAGAAAAACTCCCTAACGTCCCTTCTGAATTCCTAGAAAAAATGTCTCTTTTTTCTGCCTCCTGCAGCTGTTGTTTGGTGGCTCCAAGCTGCAAGCATCAGGCCTCCAGAACGGACACTTCACCACAGCAAAGCAGCACCGAATTTTCAAACTTATCCACAAAATATCCGTAACGTCCCGTCTGAATTCCTAGACAAAATGTCTTTTTTCTGCCTCCTGTTGTTTGGTGGCTCCAAGCTGCAAGCATCAAGCCTCCAGAACGGATCCTTCGCCACAGCAAAACAGCACCTAATTGCGTACCGAAACCGTGTTCAAACTTATTCACGTCTGGTGGCTCCAAGCTGCAAGCATCAGGCTTCCAGAACGGACCCCTCGCCACAGCAAAACAGCACCTAATTGCGTGCCGAAACCGTGTTCAAACTAATCCAGAAAAACTCCCTAACGTCCCTTCTGAATTCCTAGAAAAAATGTCTCTTTTTTCTGCCTCCTGCAGCTGTTGTTTGGACTCTTCGCCATAGTGCTGGCTTAAACTTACCCGCAAAAACTCCCTCACGACCCTTCTCAATTCCTAGACAAGTTTCTCTTTTCTACCTCCTGCAGCTGTTGTTTGGTGGCTCCAAGCTGCAAGCATCAGGCCTCCAGAACGGACCCTTCGCCACAGCAAGACAGCACCTAATTGCGTGCCGAAACGTCGTGCAAGCTTATCCACAAAAACTCCCCAACGTCCCTTCTGAATTCCAAGAAAAAATGTCTTTTGTCTGCCTCCTGCAGTTGTTGTTTGGTGGCTCCAAGCTGCAAGCATGAAGCCTCTAGAACGGACCCTCCGCCACGGCAAAACAGCACCTAATTGCGTGCCGAAACCGTGCTCAAACTTATTCACGTTTGGTGGCTCCAAGCTGCAAGCATCAGGCTTCCAGAACGGACCCTTCGCCACAGCAAAACAGCACCTAATTGCGTGCCGAAACCGTGTTCAAACTTATCCAGAAAAACTCCCTAACGTCCCTTCTGAATTCCTAGAAAAAATGTCTCTTTTTTCTGCCTCCTGCAGCTGTTGTTTGGTGGCTCCAAGCTGCAAGCATCAGGCCTCCAGAACGGACACTTCACCACAGCAAAGCAGGACCGAATTTTCAAACTTATCCACAAAATATCCGTAACGTCCCTTCTGAATTCCTAGACAAAATGTCTTTTTTCTGCCTCCTGTTGTTTGGTGGCTCCAAGCTGCAAGCATCAAGCCTCCAGAACGGATCCTTCGCCACAGCAAAACAGCACCTAATTGCGTACCGAAACCGTGTTCAAACTTATTCACGTCTGGTGGCTCCAAGCTGCAAGCATCAGGCTTCCAGAACGGACCCCTCGCCACAGCAAAACAGCACCTAATTGCGTGCCGAAACCGTGTTCAAACTAATCCAGAAAAACTCCCTAACGTCCCTTCTGAATTCCTAGAAAAAATGTCTCTTTTTTCTGCCTCCTGCAGCTGTTGTTTGGTGGCTCCAAGCTGCAAGCACATCAGGCCTCCAGAACGGACTCTTCGCCATAGTGCTGGCTTAAACTTACCCGCAAAAACTCCCTCACGACCCGTTCTCAATTCCTAGACAAGTTTCTCTTTTCTACCTCCTGCAGCTGTTGTTTGGTGGCTCCAAGCTGCAAGCATCAGGCCTCCAGAACGGACCCTTCGCCACAGCAAAACAGCACCTAATTGCGTGCCGAAACGTTGTGCAAGCTTATCCACAAAAACTCCCCAACGTCCCTTCTGAATTCCAAGAAAATGTCTTTTGTCTGCCTCCTGCAGTTGTTGTTTGGTGGCTCCAAGCTGCAAGCATGAAGCCTCTAGAACGGACCCTTCGCCACAGCAAAACAGCACCTAATTGCGTGCCGAAACCGTGTTCAAACTTATCCAGAAAAACTCCCTAACGTCCCTTCTGAATTCCTAGAAAAAATGTCTCTTTTTTCTGCCTCCTGCAGCTGTTGTTTGGTGGCTCCAAGCTGCAAGCATCAGGCCTCCAGAACGGACACTTCACCACAGCAAAGCAGCACCGAATTTTCAAACTTATCCACAAAATATCCGTAACGTCCCTTCTGAATTCCTAGACAAAATGTCTTTTTTCTGCCTCCTGTTGTTTGGTGGCTGCAAGCATCAAGCCTCCAGAACGGATCCTTCGCCACAGCAAAACAGCACCTAATTGCGTACCGAAACCGTGTTCAAACTTAGTCACGTCTGGTGGCTCCAAGCTGCAAGCATCAGGCTTCCAGAACGGACCCCTCGCCACAGCAAAACAGCACCTAATTGCGTGCCGAAACCGTGTTCAAACTAATCCAGAAAAACTCCCTAACGTCCCTTCTGAATTCCTAGAAAAAATGTCTCTTTTTTCTGCCTCCTGCAGCTGTTGTTTGGTGGCTCCAAGCTGCAAGCACATCAGGCCTCCAGAACGGACTCTTCGCCATAGTGCTGGCTTAAACTTACCCGCAAAAACTCCCTCACGACCCTTCTCAATTCCTAGACAAGTTTCTCTTTTCTACCTCCTGCAGCTGTTGTTTGGTGGCTCCAAGCTGCAAGCATCAGGCCTCCAGAACGGACCCTTCGCCACAGCAAAACAGCACCTAATTGCGTGCCGAAACGTTGTGCAAGCTTATCCACAAAAACTCCCCAACGTCCCTTCTGAATTCCAAGAAAAAATGTCTTTTGTCTGCCTCCTGCAGTTGTTGTTTGGTGGCTCCAAGCTGCAAGCATGAAGCCTCTAGAACGGACCCTCCGCCACAGCAAAACAGCACCTAATTGCGTGCCGAAACCGTGCTCAAACTGATTCACGTTTGGTGGCTCCAAGCTGCAAGCATCAGGCTTCCAGAACGGACCCCTCGCCACAGCAAAACAGCACCTAATTGCGTGCCGAAACCGTGTTCAAACTTATCCAGAAAAACTCCCTAACGTCCCTTCTCAATTCCTAGAAAAAATGTCTCTTTTTTCTGCCTCCTGCAGCTGTTGTTTGGTGGCTCCAAGCTGCAAGCATCAGGCCTCCAGAACGGACACTTCACCACAGCAAAGCAGGACCGAATTTTCAAACTTATCCACAAAATATCCGTAACGTCCCTTCTGAATTCCTAGACACAATGTCTTTTTTCTGCCTCCTGTTGTTTGGTGGCTCCAAGCTGCAAGCATCAAGCCTCCAGAACGGATCCTTCGCCACAGCAAAACAGCACCTAATTGCGTACCGAAACCGTGTGCAAACTTATTCACGTCTGGTGGCTCCAAGCTGGAAGCATCAGGCTTCCAGAACGGACCCCTCGCCACAGCAAAACAGCACCTAATTGCGTGCCGAAACCGTGTTCAAACTAATTCAGAAAAACTCCCTAACGTCCCTTCTGAATTCCTAGAAAAAATGTCTCTTTTTTCTGCCTCCTGCAGCTGTTGTTTGGTGGCTCCAAGCTGCAAGCACATCAGGCCTCCAGAACGGACTCTTCGCCATAGTGCTGGCTTAAACTTACCCGCAAAAACTCCCTCACGACCGTTCTCAATTCCTAGACAAGTTTCTCTTTTCTACCTCCTGCAGCTGTTGTTTGGTGGCTCCAAGCTGCAAGCATCAGGCCTCCAGAACGCACCCTTCGCCACAGCAAAACAGCACCTAATTGCGTGCCGAAACGTTGTGCAAGCTTATCCACAAAAACTCCCCAACGTCCCTTCTGAATTCCAAGAAAATGTCTTTTGTCTGCCTCCTGCAGTTGTTGTTTGGTGGCTCCAAGCTGCAAGCATGAAGCCTCTAGAACGGACCCTCCGCCACAGCAAAACAGCACCTAATTGCGTACCGAAACCGTGTTCAAACTTATTCACGTCTGGTGGCTCCAAGCTGCAAGCATCAGGCTTCCAGAACGGACCCCTCGCCACAGCAAAACAGCGCCTAATTGCGTGCCGAAACCGTGTTCAAACTAATCCAGAAAAACTCCCTAACGTCCCTTCTGAATTCCTAGAAAAAATGTCTCTTTTTGCTGCTGCTGCTGCGACCAGTTTTTGTAGTCTATTGTTTGTACAATGAGACATAGAACCCTCCTGCTGCTCCTGTTGCTGCTGCTGCTCTTCCTCCCGAAGTTCAAAACGCACCCTGCCGGACAGGGAAGCACAGTGGCCCTGAAGGACGGAACGGCGCCAGAATCGAGCCCAAAAAGTGCCTAACGTGTCGTCTAAAACCGTAGAAAAACAATAGTTTTCGACCGGTTTAGTAGTAGTAGTAGTAGTAGCAGGAGTAGTAGTAGTAGTAGTAGTAGTAGTCGTAGTCGTAGTCGTAGTCGTAGTCGTAGTCGTAGTCGTAGTCGTAGTAGTAGTAGTAGTAGTAGTAGTAGCAGTAGCAGTAGCAGTAGCAGTAGCAGTAGTAGTAGTAGTAGTAGTAGTAGTATTAGTAGTAGTAGTAGTAGTAGTAGTAATCGTAATAGTAGTAGTAGTAGTAGTAGGAGGAGGAGGAGTAGTAGTAGTAGTAGTAGGAGTAGTAATAGTAGTAGTAGTAGTAGTAGAAATAGTAGCAGTGCAATACATCTTTTTCCCTTACGCGCTCCCCCTTGCGTCGGCCGGGGTCGGCGGATTTTAGCTACTTTTTCCTCCTGCTACTATTGCCGCTGGCTGCTGGCGACTGACTATGTGCTGTTCTACCCTATAGAATATAGAAGTGGTACTAGTCCGAAACCAGGGTCAAATGTATTATTCCCTAGCGCGCTCCCCCTTGCGTCTGCCGGGGTCGGCGGATATAAAGCTATCATCAACTGCTTAACATATCATTAAACATCATTACACCAATTGTAAAACATCCCAGTTCTGGTGGATTTTTTTTCACCGACTCTCCAGGCCCTGGTTTCTCAGCTTGCCAGGCATGGCCAGCTCCAGAACTCGTGGCCTCCGAGCCGCAGGAAGCGCGGCCGGGCTTTAGCAGTTGCTCTGCGGATGAATACGAGGCACCAGGGGAAAGCCACGGGTTTCAGCCACGGGGCAGGGCTGAACCAATGGCTTTGAGTCAGTTGATTGGAAAAACAGTGTACTGATGAATCTCAAGATTCATGTTTGTTTGCAATGCCTAATGACTAATGACTATTATGGTACTCAGATGTTATGATATGATGATGGTAACCGCTCACCATAGGCATTTGATAATTTTGATTATTGATTGCTTGCGAGTTGAGGATGAAAGACAAGTACAGTAAGGTTAGACCACCAACAGATAGCTCGGGAGGGTTTTGGATAGGAAACAGATTGGTGGATTGTGTCGATTATGCTGGGATGATTCTTGGACAATTGTGACCAAGAAATCGTTTTTTAATAGGAAAGGATTTCTGTGAGATCTCATGAATGCATCGGGAGGACTTTCCAGAAGTCCTTGCGGCTAAAGCAAAACTAGTGGCAGGTTTGCTCAGGACCCGACGGATGTGGTTTCCATAATATGTGCGGAGACACGCTTGCCATCGACTCGTAAGTATGTGAATGCCACTCCTACTGGGAGAGTGAATTGAAACACGAGTAACATGTAATTTATACATATTTATACGCTCTCTCACTTGCTGAGTAGATACTTGCTCAATGCTGATCATACGCGAAGGAGAGAGCCACGGGAATTTGTCTCAGAAGATTCTGTCGTATATATATTATATATATATATACAGCCAATAGTACGGTTCCAAACAAGGCTTCCTTGCTACCTGCCTATTTAGACTCACGTAAAAGACACGACCTATATTCACTAGATTGCCTTAGAGTTCTGCGGATACACCAGTGATTCAGGAGAAGCCGCTACACAGTGGCGTACACTGGTGCTGGCATATCGACAGCGGCTGGCATAAAGGACTGCCACTTTGTGGATATTAAGGATCATGAGAGTGTGGTGATCACGTGCAAGCAAAGTAGGCATGGCCAAGATTGGTCCTTTTTGCTGTCACAAAAGTGAGGCAAATCCGTGCGTGGGGCTTTTTCTGCGGGATCTTTGATTCCTAGAATCTGGCATCATCATGCATCATCAAGTGGGGCTTTTCTGCCACTGACACCATCGACCTGTGCCTGCCGATGTCCAGGACTATGCCTCCCGCGCTTCAACTAGCAAGGTGTCGCTGCGGCAATTTTGACAGTTATTTTTGTTCGATTTTGCTCAAAGGGTATTGGAATTTCATTCCTAAGACTCAGCAACCATTCTTGCCCAACTTCCGGCTGAACTCAATTTTTTCTGTGTCACTGTAAGCCAATTTTGGGAGTCTTAATTTTGAGGTTTGACCAACTGCTTTGGCAGATAAAGGTGGACATGTCGATCGGACTCGGAAGGTCTGCAATTGCCACCTGAGGTGAACCATCTCGTGACCAACGATAGCCTCGAAGAGGGTTTACACGCGCAGCCCACATGGAGTCACAGGTGGGAACTGGGTTCACACGTTGATTCGCGGGTGACTCCCTTATGGGGTTTGGAGCATGCTGGAAGACACGTAAAGCACCATGATGTTGAGGTTCTTCACTGAGCTGTGGCGACAAGAGCTTCTACATCATTGGGTGCAGCAGAATCATGATGGATTGCCACAGAAGGTGGGATGCTGGTGTGACAACCATGTGCCATGGTCAAAACCTTTTCTGTTATTTCCCCATAGAAACAAGGTCATTTCTCCATTAGATAAGAGAGAATTGTAGCGGTCAATGTAAGGATTCCCAATAATGGCTGGATGGCCACAATCCATATACCATGCTTTGATCATGGCACATATGAGTAACCGACAAAAATATTGTAATACTAATTTAGTTTTGCTTCGCCTTGGCCTTTCCGAGGTTGCACAAAACCTTCACAACCGATAGGGGACGATCCTATACCGATACCTCATTTGTGATACCTCCGGGAATACTGAAATCCTCACAACCGATAGGGGACGACCCTAATTTGTGCATGGCATTAAATTTATCATATAGATTTGTCTGCTACTCATATGAAGAAGCCAGAGAGATCCAGACAGTACTCTTGTTTGCAGGGTCGATCCATCTAGTGACTTGGACATTTTTGCGCCATGATGCGTCAAGACATGCAGTCTGCCAGGCTGGATATCCGCAGGAGGCCTTGAACGAGATCCATGGATCCTGGTTCGACCCTTCCAATCCTGTCGCCGCTTGGCTCAATGGAACTGACGATTCTTGGGGTCTCAGATGGTCTCAGCCAAGAAAGGTTCCGGGGTGAACTGTTCGTACTGGGTTTTGGATGTTTTTGTTGGCTTTCTTTTTGGGCCCCAATGGGGAAACGCTGTTCTTGATGTTCTTGGGGGAGTATTTTAGGGAACAATGCAGAGGCTTCTTTAAGGAACCTTTTTTGATTGGGACGGTGTCCACAGGGTTTCCTGGGAAATATCTCGGGAACTTTTCGGGGGTATTTTTGAGAGATCTTCCTGCAAATGTTTGAACACTGGGCAATTTTCTTCGAAACGTCCTTGGGGATCTTTTGGGTGAACATCCCAGGGGGGATTTTTGAAGGGAACTTCCTGGGTGATTTTTTTGAGAACTTGACTTGGCCTGAACTTCCCTTGGAACTTGTGACCCACCAAATATCACAGTAATTTGAAATATTTCAAGCTTCATTCTTCCCTATCTTTCCATCAGACCCTGAAAGTTTCCTCACCTCAAGGTTCACTTCCGCGCAGAGCTTCGTCCTGAAAATTTCGCGCAACTTAGCGAAATCCAGGAGTTTTTCTTGCACTCCGCCGGTGCAAAGCTATTGCACGCTGCTGTGCAAAATGCTGCACATTTTTGCACAGTTTCAAACACACAGTGCTATCCTGGGTGCCAGCTGGTTCAGCGACTAGATTTTTTCACGGGGGTCAAAGTCACAGATCAATGAGGCTTCCTTACTCTAATATACTCTAATAGTCTTTGTATACACGCAAACAATTGTCCAAAAGGAGACCAGAGGACTATCACAAACCCAGTTCGCGCGAGAACATACGATGAGGTTCTTGGGTAGGTATCCACAACTCGATTCAGAATAGGCAGATTGACCACACAACATGACCACATACTGTATCTTCTCTGGAAGCAAAGGTGGATGCTGGATGCTGAGCTGCGCTGTGATTTGGTGCTGGCAGTGGGAACTTCTTTGTGTGACACGCCTTCCACGGCAGAAACTTGATCCCATGCCAACCTGAAGGGTCCTTGGGTTTTGGGGCTGTGGTAAACATGAAATGAAGATTGACATGTTGCGTTCGATATTCCTGATTTGTGGCGCAGCACCAATCCGAACCTATCCGAATCCAAAGCTACTGTACGTCCTTTTGGTATCGTAGCGAATGCGGTGGTTTGTGACAAGCTTTGGGAGACACTCTTCTTCACCACCAATCTACTGAGTCTACTTGCATGGGGCTGGTGGTCGATAGAAAAAAGCAGCAGCGAGTGGATGAGTTGCTTTTCATTTTGAGTGAGTGTAGGGCAATTATTCTTCGCAGCGTCAAAGAGTACCAAAGGAACTACGTTCCAATCTCCAGTAGGCATTGAACACAATTTTTTGATATTTTTTGAATCATGGTTCATCAGGAGCTCATCAATGAATTTTCATTTGATGATTTTGATATGCATCTTTTTCTCCACTTGAACTCCATCCCCATCCCCAGGATCGCATGGTTGTGAGCCCCATGGAGCGCACGAAGAGGGCCCGCCCATCCAGCTCCAGCGGTGCAGATGGTGCGGCGGTGGTGGTGGGCCTGCAGCGCACTCGTGGATCGGCAGCAATCATCATGAATGAAATACACGATGATTTACTGTAGATGATTAATGATGATGAAACATGAACTGCATGAATGATTTATTGTAAAACATGATGAACTGTAGAAGCACTTTAACATACTTTATATACATACTTTAACCAATCCAGAGAAAAGCAGATCTCATTGTCAGGATTGGAAAAACGGGAGTGATTTCATGGCAGATATGGCGCATGGCTTGCATAAAAATAAGGACTGGATCAAGACGTTCAACTCCGCGTTTTCGGGGAAGCAGATGCTTTTTTCCAGCTGGTGGCCAAGGACTGCCGTGATGAACTGCAGATTGTCCTGCAAAGGTTTACTAAGCTGTCAAGCTCACAACGTGGTGGATCAGAGACAGGTGAAGCATGATGAAACATGCATGTACAGGATGAAGGTAAGGGTTGAAGCTGGCAAGATGTCTTTTGATATCCGAAGTTTTACAAAAGATCCAAACGTATTGCTCCAGTTCAGTCCATACGAATCCTGCTCATTGCCTGTGACACCCCCCCAATGGGACCTGGGCCACCCGAGGAAATGTCCCTCAGCATCAAGGCTGAGTTGACAGTCGAGAAAATGAGCGAGGTGCAACCGGCCGAAGTCTTCCATGAGTCGGGGGGGATATAAATTTATGGATATATCATGATATATCATATCCATAAATTTCCAGAACGGCCCCTCATGGGGGAGCGATTTTTTCTCTAAAAATTGTCAAAAATACTGGTATTTACAGTGTTTTGTGACCAAAGTGGGCTTAAAACCGTTATTTTAGAGCAAAAAATAGAGTTCACCTCCAAAGGCTCTCATATGCTGTCATAAATCACTGGCATTTACAGACTCTTGTGGCAGGATTCAATTTTTCCTGTGAGGCTTGCAAAGAACTACAAACAATCAGCACATAACAGAAAACATCTGCTGCACAACATGCCATAAGAATGGGTAGCTGCACATCTTGGAACAGAATATCCAGTAGCAATAGGTGACTAGTGTGATGGAGGTGATGGAGAAATTCTATTGCTAGAAGCAATTGATATGATATAGCGGTTTCTTCATGAACTTGTTAGATTAATATCATCTTAACATAATATATTGTATATAGAAGCATTTGCGCTACATAAGAAGTATGGTGAGAAGTGCATACATTATATTGTATAGGTGGATATACACAAGCACATCTAACACTCTGGATAAGAAGGATGGTGGGAATGTTACAACTCAAGAAGTAGGTACATATCTTGTTTACCATTGTTAACCAGACCACTAGATGCACCAAACCTGCACAGGCACCAAAAAAACAAAAAAGACTAAAATTTCCAGGAACTATGGGTCCACTTCTGAGTACTTGCTGGATTTTTTTGTTGTTTTTTTTGGTGCCTGTCGATAATATATATCCAACTACTTTCCTAATATGATTGATTTGCTTGATTAAGGATAATACAGATTTTACGGACTATATTTATTTACATAATATATATAATATATAATATTTATTTATTCATGCATTGAGTTTGGCAGGCTTGGGTGTGCATGTGTCATCTTTAAGTGAGTCAATGAATGCTTTCATTTTGGCTCAAGTGGAGCTGAGCCAAAATAGCATTCATTGCTGTTTCTTTCCTGGCCCTGGTAAGGGGTGACCTTCCTAGACCTTGATTGAGCGGCTCACCACATCAATAACCAGGGGTGACCTGGTTGGTTACAAGCATCGTAAGGGGTGACCTGGTAGTTGCAAGGGGAGACCGTGCATGCAGCGTAAGCTTCGTGGGAGCGATATCCCGGCGGCCACCGAGGCGTCGCTCCTCCATGCTGCTGCGTTCCTGGAGTTCAAGCAGCACGTGGCGAAGCGATGCATTCTTGCTGCAGCAGTTCTTGGAAGACGCCAGAAACGGTTTTTGTACACCTCCTCTGCGGCGAGCAGAGTTCCTCAGGGACATTGGCGGCCGGGCACATCGTCTTATCCTGCGCTGTGTGACCACCCAAAGTTCGGGGAAACAACGAGTCATCGACAACGGTGACACCGGAGGGCAATCAGACCTTTCTTCCGATGCCAACATGCTTACACTATGTAGTCGCCCATAAGCCTGGTTATGCGTCGTTGGTCTGAGGACGAGGTCGCCGAGTTTTGTCACCATGATGCCTGGGAGACAGGCTAAGAGGACCTGCCGTCTGCCTACAGGTACTGCCCCATGCCAGCAGGAGAGCTTAGGCTGCGTTGTCGTCTGGTTTCACTGATGAGTGGCAAACTCCGGTATCCCAGGTCTATGCAGGCCTCTTGTTTAGGCTCCCCCTGGCAATCACTTCGTTCAGCTGATTTTCCCAGACTGTTGGAAGCGCTGACTCGCTGGTATTGCCAAGTTTTGACATCCCTGTACTTTAATGCCGCGATCACTGATGTCCGCTCTGCCAAGGGCTCCGGGCAATGTGCGATGAAACAACTATGCCTGATGATCGGATCTTTATTTGCGGAAGACAAAACGCAGACCATGCAGAGCACTGGCGCTTCTTTGGGACTTACCCATGACCTGAGTTGCATCAATAAGACAGGTCATCTTCGTTTTTGGGCCCGCACCAGACTCCATGGCAAAGTTCGTGATGTCTTGCCACAGCACGTCAAGCAGGCCACTTTACTCGAGGCACAGCTTCCAAACTTTATAGACTTGCAATCTTCTTGGAGCAAGGTATTTCTGGGCGAGTCGGGTATGGCGGTCTCATGGCCATCAAGGCACGCAACTGGAGCTCTCTATGGTGTTGTGCGCCTTGATCGAGCGCCCCGACCTTTTCCGACATCGACATGGTCTCTGGTTCCTCGACAACGTTGCCGCAGTCATGACCTTGGTGAGAGGGCGCTCTAGCAATTCGGGGTTAGCAAAGCTCGGCCATTTGATCCATTTGGCTCTGTTTGCACTGCGTGCCCAGCACTTGAGGGTTCCCAACACTTGCCATGCATATGAATTGACTTTTTAAGCGAGTTTCAGTTTCCAAGTAGGGGTGATCCTACTTCTGGAAACCTGGATATTTGCGATTTCAGCAGCGCTGGCTGCTGCTGGTTTTGACTTCCCCAAGCAAGCTGGGTGTCGGCAGTGGGCACAGAAATGTGGGCGTTTGCTGTTTTAAGCAGGTTGGGTTTCCAGCAGGAGGTGATCCTGCTTGGTGTGGCCGTACTTGCTTTCGTGACATATATTGGGGTCCAAGCGGGGGTGATCCTCCTTGATGGCGCCCAACACTTGCCATGAGTATTGCTTGGACCACAGGGGGAGTGACCACACGGCTGTGGGCCTCTGCGTTCTCAAGTAGGTTGGGTTTCAAGCAGGAGGTAACCCTACTTGGTATGGCCGTATTGCTTTAGGGGCATAGGGTTTGGGTCCAAGTGGGGGTGGTCCTACTTGAGGGTGCCCAACACCTGCCATGAATATGGCTTGAAGTTTTAAGAACAATTTCAGTTCCAAGTAGGGGTGATCCTGCTTCTGGGCAACTTGGTTTCTGGCCATTTCAGCAGCTGGAGGCTGTTGGTTACTTTGACTGCCCCAAGCAAGCTGGGTTTCCAAGTAGAGGTAACGCTACTTGAGGATCACAGGTTGCCCACTGGCACTGCCAGGAGTGAACACAGGGCTGTGGGCCTCCGCTGTCTTAAGCAGGTTGGGTTTCAAGCAGGAGGTAATCCTATTTGGTGTGGCCGCACTTGCTTTCGTGACATAGTTTTGGGGTCCAAGTGGGGGCGATCCTACGTTTTGGTGCCCAGCACTTGCCATGATGAATCTGGCTCGAATTTTTAAGCGAATTTCAGCTACCAAGTAGGGGTAATCCTACTTCTGGGCACTTGTGTTTTTTTTTGCAAATTCAGCAGAACTGGAGGTTGTTGGGTCTGACTTCCCTCCAGGAGGCTGGGTTTCCAAGTAGAGGTAACGCTACTTGCAGGCCACAGGTTGCCCATCGACACTGCAAGGCAGTGACCAGAGGGTTGTGGGCCTCTGCTGTCTTAAGCAGGTTGGGTTCCAAGCAGGGGGTAATCCTACTTGGTGTGGCCTTACTTGCTCTAGCAACATAGGTCCGGCGTCCAAGTGGGGATTATCCCACTTGAGGGTGCCCAGCAGTTGCCATGAGTATGGCTTGAAATTTAAGCAAATTTCAGTTTCCAAATAGGGGTGATCCTACTTCTGGAAACTGGATTTTTGCAATTTCAGCAGAGCTGGGGGCTGTTGGTTTTGACTTCCCCAAGCAAGCTGGGTGGCGGCAGTGAGCACAGAGATGTGGGCCTCTGCTGTCTTAAGCAGGTTGGGTTTCAAGCAGGAGGTAATCCTGCTTGGCGTGACCTTATTGCTTTAGTGACATATGTTTTGGGCCCAAGTGGGGGTGATCCTACTCGTTGGTGCCCAACACCTGCCATGAACGTGGCGTCAGTTTTTAAGCGAATTTTGGTTTTCAAGTAGGGGTGACCCTACTGGTGGAAACTTGGAGGTTTTCGTTTTCAGCAGAGCTGGAGGCTGTTGGTTTTGACTGCCCTAAGCAAGCTGGGTGTCGGCAGTGCGCACAAAAATGTGGGCGCTTGCTGTTTTAAGCAGGTTGGGTTTCCAGCAGGTGGTGATCCTGCTTGGTGTGGCCGTACTTGCTTTAGTGACAATTGTTTTGGGTCCAAGTGGGGGTGATCCTACTCGTTGGTGCCCAACACTTGCCATGAACGTGGCGTCAGTTTTTAAGCGAATTTTGGTTTCCAAGTAGGGGTGACCCTACTTGTGGAGACTTGGAGGTTTTCGTTTTCAGCAGAGCTGGAGGCTGTTGGTTTTGACTGCCCCAAGCAAGCTGAGTGTCGGCAGTGCGCACAGAAATGTGGGCGTTTGCTGTCTTAAGCAGGTTGGGTTTCAAGCAGGAGGTAACCCTACTTGGTGTGGCCTTATTGCTGTAATGGCATAGGTTTTGGGTCCAAGTTGGGGGTGGCCCTACTTGAGAGTGCCCAACACCTGCCATGAACATGGCTTGAAATTTTAAGGAAATTTCAGCTTCCAAGTAGGGGTGATCCTACTTCTGGGCAACTTGCTTTCTTTTTTTTTTGGCATTTTCAGCAGAGCTGGAGGCTGTTGGTTTTAACTGCCCCAAGAAAGCTGGGCTTCCAAGTAGAGGTAACGCTAACGCTACTTGGGGATCACAGGTTGCCCACTGGCACTGCCAGGGAGTGACCACAGGGCTGTGGGCCTCCGCTGTCTTAAGCAGGTTGGGTTTCAAGCAGGAGGTCATCCTACTTGGTGTGGCCGCACTTGCTTTCGTGACATAGTTTTGGGGTCCAAGTGGGGGCGATCCTACGTTTTGGTGCCCAGCACTTGCCATGAATCTGGCTCGGATTTTTAAGCGAATTTCAGCTACCAAGTAGGGGTGATCCTACTTCTGGGCACTTGTTTTTTTTTGCAAATTCAGCAGAATTGGAGGTTGTTGGGTCTGACTTCCCTCCAGGAGGCTGGGTTTCCAAGTAGAGGTGACGCTACTTGAAGGCCACAGGTGGCCCATGGGCATTGCCAGGCAGTGACCAGAGGGTTGTGGGCCTCTGCTGTCTTAAGCAGGTTGGGTTCCACGCAGGAGGTAACCCTACTTGGTGTGGC